GTGCTCCATTTATTGCCCGGGCGGTGGGGATGCTGCCTGTTGTTGTTGTTTTTGTCGCTCTCCAGCCTGTCCCTGGAAGTGAAATTTATGCAATACCCCAGCATACAAATGAAAGCATCCTAGCTGAATATTATATTGACATGGCAAGCTTTCCTGAATGGATTCCACTGACAATAGATAGCCTGGATGTCTTGTCTCCCCAAGATTTAATGACCATTTCATTTCAGTTGGATTTCTCTTTTCCACATAACAATATCATTCTATAGAAAAATTGCCCAGACATTTCCCTCCCCACCCCACACCCTCACTTCTACTCCTGACACAGAGTATGTAGGTTTCTGGGAATGCTAGACTTTGCCAGCTTTGAGCAGACTTCCCGTGGTTAGGGACATTTCCATGCAATCACTTCATGCTCTGAACAAACCACTTGGACAGTCATTTCCTCTTTCCAGAGAAACCTGGCAACTGTCAATCTGTGAAGTACCGTATATGTAAACCAGCAGCATGTTAGTGTCTCTAACCCCCACTGCCTTCTGAAAATATGCAGCCAATAGTCAGGGTAGGTATTAGACTTTTTGTGAGGTTTTTCCCACCTGGTGCCTGCCTCTCCTTCTTGTTGGATGCCCTTCTCCCTTACAAGCACAGATTGCTCTTTGATCCATGGCTGTCTGTATCCAACTCATTTGATGCCCAAGCCCCTCTGAATCTGCCCCTCTTGGCTCAGGACTCAGACAAATCCAGTGCACAACCCTACTATTTACATAACAAACCATGTACACATGCTTGCATCACATTCACACAATTAATTGCATTCATGGCTAGCTTAGCCCATGATGGCTGGTAGGAATAGGTGAACTTTTCCATTTTGACTTCTGTTCCTTTTGCAGTTTTCCAATCTTATGTTCAGTTCTCTGCATTTCCACACAAGTTTGCATTTTAAAAAGAAGTCATTGTGAAAATTATTTAGCATGTTGGTGTGAATTTCTCCACACTATTTTGCCTAAATGCACATCTTTGCAAATAATTCCTTTTTGTGTTATTTTCACTAATATATGCATTTTATGCATTTTACCCTAATATATGCATTTTGTTACACATTACTTGGCTAGAGAATTGCATTGCAAACTTTGGAAAGTGCGGATTTTAAAGGATGGGTGTGCTTTGGTTCACTTATTGTTTTGGAAAGAGTTGATTAGGTAGGTTCACTTTAAATGACTACTGGGTCAATTTGGGGGGCTGGGGGGCATTCTTAACAACTGGAGATACATATGGTTTGATCTGTTCAAAGAAAGAAATGAATTGGATAGGGTGAGGTGCTTCATGCAGTGTTTGGTTTTTTTTGTTATGAATGTACTCAATAAAGTTGTTTTTTGAAAGGGCAAAACTGCAGGCGGTGATACAATTCTGTTGTTTATGTTGAATTAGAAAACAAAAAGAGAAAGGGAAAACTCCCAAAGGCACCGTCTCCTGATGCAAACACAGAAGGACTGAATAAGACAAAATACTGCTTGCTTTTATTAGCAAAGTCTTTGCAACTGTTCACTTGCTACAAGCTGTTGTCCAATTGCTGAGGTTGCTCTAAAGTTGATTCCCTCTCGGCCTTACCCGTCAAAGCCCGTCAGTTATCCTGATTTCACAGCCCAATGTTAATTTTTTTTCCTGTGTGTCTTTTTGCATAATTAATAGGACTAGCAAGCCCACTTGGAAAGGGCATCATTTACAAAACCATATGCCAGAATGTTCATCTGGCCTTAGGCAGAAGGCACTGGAGGGTCAATGAACACCCTGCAGTCATTTTGGCTGTGATTATATGGTAGATGGAAGTTTGCCAACAGTGAATGTGCCGTGAAAAGGTCTAAAATGTCACTGGCTTCCTCTGTGTGTTTAAACAAAGAACATTTGCAATTTATGAAGCATTTCAGAACGGGTTCTACAAATAATAAGGAACTCTGAATGAGCTAGAAGGGAAAGCTATTGAGTGCTGTGTTGGTAAATATTATGTGGTGTCCAGTGTTATATGTTCTCAGCTCAACCGTTCATAGGTGATGTTTCCATGTTCTCCTCCATGTCTTTGCAGAACACTTGAGAGAAAAGCTGGAGGAATATATGGCACGTTTTGTCAAAGTGAGAATTGTGCGCACCAAAAAACGGGAAGGGCTCATTCGCACCAGACTACTTGGAGCCTCAATAGCTAAAGGAGAAGTCTTGACCTTCCTCGACTCTCATTGTGAAGTCAACGTGAACTGGCTGCCTCCTTTACTTAGTAAGTTATACTGGAACTTACAACATTAGGATTTTCATGGTACTGAAACATATACTTTATCTCATGAATACATTCAGGATGCACATTTCATTTAGTACAACCCGCCAACAGCATCTATAACTCACCTGTATATTTGGACCTGTATATTTGGACCTGGAAGTGAAACTTTCTAGACTGTAATGCAAAATAGAATTAGCAGAAGAAACATGATGAGAATTAAAATTTTTAGGATGGAACTCTTATTCATTTGGGTTGAATTCAGCACTGGTAGCTTGAGTTGCCCACTAGTGGATCTTGAGGAGGCATGTTTTGAAACAGCCTTCCCCAATCTGGTGTCGCCCAGATGTTTCGGACTACAACTCTCATCAGCCCCAGCCAGCACAACTGTTGTATTCTGAAACATTTGGAAAGCACCATGTTGGGGGACAGCTGTTTTAGAACATCTGACCATATACTGTGCCTTTTATAGAATTATTTGTTTATGTTGTCCAACCTAGTAAGGCTGGATGAGCAACAATGGAAAACACAGCATTTGAACCAGGAGGACAACATGTCCACTTGGATGATTCTGACACATCTGCCTGGAAAATAATTCAGAACTGTTATATTTGGGGGTGACTTCATTGGAACTTGTGATCTGAGCCTGTTGACCTTTTACTATCTTAATCAATAGCCATTTACCATCTTCATCAGTGGCTCCCACCAAGAGAGGCTATCATAGCTATGCATCTAATGTGTTCTTCAGGCTCTCTGTTTTCTTTCGTTGGTGCTGGTCATTGGCCATAACAGAAAAGATTTGATTTGATTTGACCTAAGCTCCAGATTTTGCATTTTTCATGAATGTTGTAATACATCTCTCAGCAACTTAACTATACATCAGAATATACATGCTGAGAGAATTTTTTTTTTTTAATATTTGAGATGGGTCTGTTGAGCAGATTAAAACATTAACAGAACAGAATTCTGTGTCAAAGTGACACAGTCAAGAATTAAATAGATATGCTCCTCCCTTGCATCTCCCCTCCGCTGCTATCAGAGAAGAAGCTGAGTTGCAGAAGTCTGATGTTCATATTTTTGGAGCCAGAATGAGCAGCATTTTCTCAGTGCATTCTTGCTGTACATACTCAAAGCTAAAATGACAATTCTTTTGCTTTCTGGTTTTTATTTTTTATTTTTTGCTTGCTCGCTGACTCCTTAGGTGACAGATTGGGGACAGCTTAGAGCAGCAAAGTGACAGAGATATAGATGACTTGACTTCTGTGGGTCTCGCTGGGATGTGACTCTCTTTGAAGAACTATAATGGCTTCTAATAACAGGCCGAGTGCGTCAAGCCCGTTGCAGATAGAGGCCGGATGCAGATTTGAAAACTGAAATGATTTTAGGGCCATGGGGAGATGCTGAGGCAATTTTCAAAACTTTGAGGGGCGGGGGAAGAGGAGAAGTAAAAGCCTAAGGGATTTACTTTGCGGTAAATGTGATAGATGGCTTGGCTAGACGTACCCTCTTTTTTGTATTTTTATGCTTTCGTCTTTCAGATCAGATTGCGCTAAACCATAAGACCATTGTGTGTCCCATGATTGATGTCATTGACCACAATCACTTTGGGTACGAGGCGCAAGCGGGAGATGCCATGCGTGGAGCCTTCGACTGGGAGATGTACTACAAAAGAATACCAATTCCGCCAGAGCTCCTGAGGGCTGATCCCAGTGACCCTTTTGAGTAAGTAGTAGCGATACCAAGCATTAGAATGAGACATCGCAGGCAGCAGTTGCAAGAACTGTGGCTGCAGCAATAGAGGTAGGGCCTTCTGGGCAAATTAACCTCAAATTAAAGATGGCAAATGGGAAGCAGCAACAAGCAAGAGAATGGTGGGAAAGGTCAGGATGTGGAATCGCAAAAAGGGGGCAGATCACTCTCTAGAGTTCCACTGCCTCCGCTGCTCTCATTTGAGCAAGGAAGAATCCAGCCAGCAAAAGATTCCTGTTCTTTACTGTTAGCAGGGGGGAATATTGGGAGTGATTGGGGAATAAATGCATCTGTGCTGATTTTCTTTACTATTCCATGGAGTAGCCTTTGAAGAGACATTAGTTTATTATTTCTTTGCTAGAGATTGATGCAACAGATGAATCAAAAGTAAGCTTGTTTTCAGCTAGCAAAGCCCCTATGTATGATTGATGGTGTTGCTACCATATACATCCTGCTATAATTTAAACACAGGGGTATAAGGCAGCTGACTTGTGAATAATCTCAGATAAGCCATCGTCTTATCCCTGGTATTGGGTGGATGAGATAATTCACAGTAACAATCTCCCAAGGCACCACAAAGTTGAGTCCATTTTTGCTTTGATTTTATTTTTGCCTGTCATGCAAAGGGGGATTTATCCTCATCAGCCAAGAAAGTGAGAGGAGAGGGCACCAAGGGAGAGGAAGTGGAGTTATGGCCGGTGATCAAAACCACAAGCCAGTTAAAGTGAAGTGCTTAGTATTCAGAAGCTGATTCGGTTCTTTTCACGTTAGAGGGACTAAATCAGGAGACGTTCAAGATGCTGCACTTAAATGGAGTCCCATGTATGCAACCAAATGACACTAACGTCATCAAACACCATTATTTTGTGCATAGATGCTGGTTACTCTTATTAAAGTACCAAGTAGCATTCAGACATGATAGCTGCCTACTTTCCTAGTTCCATTCCATTTTACGACTATGAACAGGCAAGAAAGGGTATATGATTACTGTGGTCAAGCCCTCTTGGACAGTGGATTTGCATTCCTGAAATAACCACAGCAAGAAGACTAAGGCTGTGGGAAAGCAGGGAATCCCTAGCCCAATGACCCATTGACCCACACCAGCTTAACAAAGCACAGCGAGGTCGGAACAAGAGAGAACATGGTAAGATAAAGCTGAATGTAAGGCAAATCAGGACAATCTGGGAGCTTATTGGTCCAGCAAATGCCTGGAGCCAGCTGTGATGTTAAGTAGATTTATGGCAAAGACAGTGTCCCAGTCTCTTCCTCCTTGTAGGAACACTGTGGGTTTAAAGGAACAGTATTTTATTCTGAAGTTTTGTACTGAAGCCTTCTGCTGCTTCTGGTCATTGCATGGCAGTAGAGGAATAGCCTTCCCAGCTGCATGTGCTCCTGGAATTCAGTCCGGAGTCACAGGTTTGAGGTTTGCCTAACTTCCAGGCACCAGGGATGGAGGGATTGTCTTCCCCTACATAGAAATTTGAATCAGCCTCTCCCAGGTCCTAATCCAAACAGTCTCTAGCCATTACGCTACTTTGCTGAAGTTCAGTTCCAGGACATCAACAAAATTTCACCACCAGTATTGAAGCTTTACACTTTTCCAAAAAGTGTGCTCAATTGCTTTAAGCACAATTGATCAGCCCATTTGTTTGGGATTATCAAGGCTTGCTCTTTTCTTAGAGGAAGCAACGCAAACTGGTTTCAGATTTACATTATGTTTCTAAAGTTTGGTAGTACATAACTCCCAGCGGAGGGACATGTGCAACTTTAAAGGGAGATTAAAATCTGTTTGTTCTGTTTAAAAGTCTAAGAACTATTAATGCCTCCCCTGGTACTTCTAGCTTTTAACTGCATTTCACTCCTCAATAAATCTACCTGCTGCAATAAAATAGGGAGCACACGATTGCAGGCCATGTAAACAGCACCAACAGGCCATACCTAGAGGTTTGCATATCCATTTGCTTTACAAAAAGTCATAGAGCTGAATGGAACCTCAGGGATCATCCAGCTCAACCTCCAGGGCAATAAAGCAAAGTAAACTTCACTCTTCCAAAAATGATCAAGTGATAGTTCTGTCTTAAAATGACTTCCTTTGCTTTGGTTAAATGCACCAGTGAAATTATATGCAGCTTCAGCATGCAACATGCCCCCTTCTCCCTATACGCATAACTCCCTTTTTATTGAAAATAAAAAAATGTTACAATCTGATGTGTAAATGTGGAGAAGTGAATGGAATAATGAGAAACTGAGGGAAACCAACAACTTTGCCCATCCCTAGACTGGATGCAAAACAAGGCTCTGACAGTCTGGCTGGATGCAAGGCAGGCCAAGCAGCTTCAAGCTAGAGGTAAGGCAGGGCTTTGGTTGGATGCAAGGCAACTTCCATGTTATCTCAACTCTGGGTTCTGAAATGGCATTTTAGGCCTGTCCTTGTAATCAATCAAATGGTAAACTAAAAAACTTAAGACTTCACTGGACAAAGTTATTACGGAAAACAATGCAGAGGAAATAAGTTGAGGATCGCTGGGGTGGGGAGGGGAGAGATACTTTGGGTTGGCCCTGTGTGTCCTGCTGTTTTAAAACAATATATCAGCAACAGTCCCTTGTTTAATATCAGCATCAGCCATCTTTACCTCACAAGAGGGCGGAGGGCAGTTGCTTGTGAAGCAAACAAATCACTGGGGTCAAGGAGACCCAAGACAAGAGGATGTGGAGGATAAACTGGGGTGGGGTGAGGTAATAGGTCTTGCCCTCTTTTATGTATTTGGAGAGTGCAGGCAAGATGATAGTAAGCCAGTTCCCATAGTCTTTTGAGACAAAATGCTGAATTCCAAACAGCTGAAAGAAAACTCCCACTCATGGATTTGAGGGAAAGTGTGTGAAGTGAGGACCATTTCCTTAACTTTCCGTGTGCTTTGGGATAGTGGAGTCCAGAAACAGCACGCTAGGTGGGGAGGAACCAGTGCACTAGCTTCCTGGCAGGTGGGTCACCTTTGCTTACTGGGAAGACAGGGGGAAAGAGGGGAGATTGGTGCGCTGCAAACGCACTAGTGGAGCCAGTCTGGTGCTCCTGCCATTGTGTCTGCACTACACCGACCTTCTCATCACCTTGCCCTCTTCTTCATCAGAAGCAACAGCAACCCCACCTGCTGAGAAGGTAGGATAGCAGCTCCGCCCCACTGTCTGAGCCACTTCCAATTGCTCGGCATTCCCTTGCCTGCTGAATCCTGAAACACCAGGCTTGACTCTGAAATGAAGCTCTCAGAACAAAACCTGCCACCACAAACTATTCTACCCTGTCCTTATTACTGACATAAAACACAGGAAGTAATTAGCTGGTATAGAGTGAAAGTCACTGTTTTGTACGTTTAATTTGATTTTATGCTAAAGACTGCATTTGGTTCTATTTAATTAAAACTCCTTTGGTTAATAAGTTTCCTATGGATTCAAGGATTTCAAACGGTTGCCCCTACCTTTTGAGAAAATGCTTGAAGATGCTAATGAGGTTAGTATAAGTAGGGTATAAAAAGAATAAACAAGGGGGGGCAGATACTGCCTAATGACTGCACACACTTTTTAAATTGAATTTTGTTCTTTAAAAAAAAAAAAAGAGGCTTCAGCTTGCAAAGGTAATCTATAAAAGTATCCAAAAGTAAAATGGAGCAGGTTAGAAAACAGTTATCGGCTTTAAAGATAAAGAGAAAAGGCATATAGCTCCAGGCTCAGTTAAGCAGAAAATGAACATCTGATGCCTTTCTTAGTGTTGCCCCTCTATGAGTGGTCTGGTGGGTGGCAACCCAAGAACAGGGTTTTTCTGCGGTGACTTCCTGTTTATGGAATGCTCTCCCCACGGAGGCTCGCTTGGCACCTTCACTACATATCATAATAAGAACAAAAACCCCACAAATACATTTAAAAGGCCATAGATTGTTTACTCAGTGCCTCAAGATTTTGATGGCAATGATATTACTGGGCACTGGAAAAAACTGCACTCATGAAGAGTGCTACATCTGCAATAAATTGCCAAGTACAGTGGTACCTCAGGTTAAGTACTTAATTCGTTCCGGAGGTCCGTTCTTAACCTGAAACTGTTCTTATCCTGAAGCACCACTTTAGCTAATGGGGCCTCCTGCTGCTGCTGCTGCTGCTGCTGCGCCGCCGGAGCCTGATTTCTGTTCTTATCCTGAAGCAAAGTTCTTAACCTGAAGCACTATTTCTGGGTTAGCGGAGTGTGTAACCTGAAGCGTATGTAACCCGAGGTACCACTGTAGAGGAACACTGATATGGTTTCCTTGGTTCTAATAACCATATTATCTTACTATGGTTCAAACCAAGTGAAAACCTAGCCTTTGGAGAGGCGGGTGGAATAGTGCTGGTTATGTCATGTTTTTAAAATAGAAACTAAAGGCAATGCATTCCTCAACACAAGAAGAAGGTCACACCATCTGCTTCAGATGTGTCACGCATCTGAAAAGAAACAACAATCAGTGTCTGGTCACTTAAAAAAAAGAAAAAAGATAACTGTCTGCCCAACTATTACAGCAGAGGATGCAAGCAGAGAAAATTGTATGACTATGTCTTGCCCCTACACAGACAATCAAAGCTATTCTGCCAGATAAACTTTTGCTGTGACAGTGCTAGGCAGCTTGCTGAACAACCATCGGCAGCCTTAGCAGGTAACATTTGGAATTAAATTACCTCTTTTGACCATCATCTTGTTTTGCAACGGGAGCAGAGGCTTCCTACAGGACACTTTATTGCTGTGCAGCAATGCTTGATTGTGGAGAATTGGGACACTCTTACACCCTTGAAATACGAATTGTTAGTTTATATTGCACTTACATCCACATTGTCGCTCACATAGCAGATTGCTTCCTGATTACAAAGCAAACAAGAGCCCAGCTGCAGAAAATGCAATCTTTGTTTTGGTCCTGGGATTTTTTTATCCATCTTTTTTGTTTTTTAAAAATAGTAATAATAATCATTATGTCCTTGTTCCATGCACATGCAATTATAGAGAAGATAAAAGAAGAATTTTGTCTGAATATTTGTAGTCCAAGTTATGTGGTCTCCCATTCCAGAATGTATGATTCTGCATTCAGCTCATGGTAGGAGGCAGATGATGCATAGAAAACTTTATGCAGCAGACTTGGAGACACAAGCAGGGTCTTCTTGGGGCTGCTAGGCCACAGTTGCCCAGACAAACCAAAAGGGAATCAGGCACTCCTCTACAAAGTCTACCTTAGGCCTAAGAAGTTACGTTTGAGCTATTTCCCCTGTCATTTCCTCTGCTTACTGTGCCTTGTATAGGTTGTGTTCTATATTGCAATAGGTCAATCAACAATTCTGAGTATGCAGCTTTATGATCACTTTTCGAAGACTATGCAATGTTATGCTTTTTGGGCATAGCAGGACAGCATGCTATGCCTTTTGGTTTGCTGCAGTATTTTTTTCTTCCGCAGTGGGCATACCAGTTACTGGTGTGCATCAAAGTTGTAGGGCAGCATTCCCCAACCTGGTGCCATCCGGATGTTGTTGGAACACCAGTCCTGATGGGAGTCACAGTCCAACAACATCTAGATGGACCAGGTTGCTGAAGGCTGTTGTAGGGGATGCTGGGACATCTGGGACACATGCACCTCAATATCAGTTTCCTCACCAGTGTGCTAAATTGCAGGGGGGGAGAGTGTTGCTTTTCAGAATGCAATTCTATACCAATAAACCTGGGAAGGTGCCTCATTAAAGCCAGTGGGGCTTTTTCAGATTAGGCATGTAGTACTGGAGTGCCTTGCTGCTGAGTAAGTTTGGAGAGTCTGGACATAACGTTTGATGGGATATAGTTTGATAAGTTATATAACAAATATATATATATGTTTCCTAGGCAAGAGGGAAATGTACACTCCGAAGCTAAGGTTTCCAAAATTCTGCACTGGTAGCATGCCCTTTGGATAAAAAGTTGATGGTTTGGGGAAAAGCACTGAAGTTTCCCTGGTTTCTGCTCTCCATGGTTCCATGGCTCTGCTTTCTCCCTTTCTAAGTAAAAATAAATTGCTTCTTTCCAGAGCTGTCAATTTCCCGCTACATTCCATTAACTTGAAAGGATATTTGGGGGTGCTTTCATATGTCATGCAATTGGTATCAAATCAGGTCAGCACATGCGCTCCAGTGGCCAATTTCGGTGCGTGTCAAAGCAGTAAAGTGGCTGCTGTGCTGTATGCGGTGGCTCCCGTGATAAGCATTGTGTTTGTTTGGCTAGCAATGTGACTCCAATGTGCCCTGCATTAGCTACCTCTGCCCTGAGAGATAGAAACCACTGAGAGCCTAGCCAGCAGCACTGCATATTAGTGGGCAGTTGCTCCACTGAATTTTGAAACTTGGTTGTCAAGGGACAAAGTTTCAGTCACTGTGGGACTCGCCTGTATCAAGGCCCCATATCACAAGATTTGCCTCATACGGAAATTGACTTTCCTTATGTCATTGTGGTTCCTAAACCTTGCCTCATAAATTGAAGTAGCCCAAGGTTCGTTTTCCTAAACTGTCACGAATGCCTTTTAAATTGAAGAATCCCAGGGTAATTACTGGAGCCAAACACATCAACAGGAGAAGGACAGGTGACCTGTTGCCCTGGGCAAACTGCTTGAGTCTGACAATAACATTTGCAATCTCCTTAAGAAGAAAGGTAAAGTATACTGCTTTGAAAAAATAATAATAATAACTCTATTGAAAACCTTGGTCCAGAGCATGAGCCAAATTTGGGGCTAAATTAACAGTTTGCAAAGTGGCATGGATTAGAAGCTTTTCCCTACATAAAATTAGTTAAATTCACAGCAGGGGAGTTTTCCATCCCTAAGTAGCCACCTGTGATGCCCTGGGATAAGAAGGGGCAGGAAAGTTTCCTTCCATGAACTTCCTTAGGTTGCCTAAGGATACAGGCCGTTACTACTAACTAAATACTGAACAGCAGTCTAAGTCAAGTTTAGCTTTTTCCTGCTGTGCAAGCATTCAGGTGTGACTCGTCTAGTGGGGCAGAGCTACAGCAATAGTGTCCCAGCCACAGTGGTGCTGTCACTTTCTGGGAGGGGAAACAGCAAGTTTGTGTGGGCAAGTACATCAGATTGGCTTCATGCAGATCTTACCTCCTTGTCACCCCTCCCAGGAAGTGGCAGCAACACCATTGCTGGATGCTGTTGTTGATGATGCTGATGGTAAAGGAGGCCCAAGACCCATTTTTAAATAATCCTGGCTGTGTAGCAGGCACTGAAAAAGCAAACCATATAAGCCACCGATGGCTAATTTTGTGGAATGCAGTACTCTCGGCAATTTTATCCACACCAGCAAAGTCTCCCAGAAAAGGTGTTTAAGAAGTCACCATACAAACACTGAGAACATACTCTGTGCTCTTGGAAGCAACTTTGGGTGGTACTCAGTGTCATTCCTCCTAAGAGAAGACCCACTGAGGTTAATAGGCATGGCTAATGTAGGTTCCTCAATTTCAACTGGTTTCCAGCAAAAGGTGAGAACCAAACTTCTTCAGTCTCCCTGCTGGAAGAGCAGATTTCTGTTTATCCATGTACAAAGGAAAGGGTGTAGGTCTAAGCACGAAATTGTCAATTGCGCCAACCACATGCTAACTGAAATGGCAAGAATAATCTTAATAAGAAAAAGTACTGATACTGGTCAGTATAGTGAATTGCTGTCGGTCATGGCATTTCATGAAAATTCTCTGAAACGTGAATATAATAAGAAGCAATTGGTAGCGTGGTGGGTGACATTATCATCTGGAATTGAAAGACAGAAACTTACTTAGGCACCCGCCACTGCAATTACCAGTTTGAACTTGTGAAGACTGTCTTCTGTCTCTTCCCTTTGCATGAAAATATGTTTAACTATTTCTTCAAATTCATGGCTCAGAATCTGAGGGTAAAATGTCACCTTGAAGTGAGAACTTGTAAATTGGTCAAGCCCTGCTGACTCTTATACATGCATCCAAACCCTACATGATAAAAGGGAGAGACAATCATAGTAAGGGGGGAACGCAATAAAAACATTTCATTTGGCTATAGATATATTTTGCCTTTTATAAGAAATTTACACAGAGACCATGATGTCATGGTGGCAAAAATTGACCATGCGTATTCATCTCAGATAGCGAATTCCTAAAAGTACTAACTTACTTATTTACTTCATACACTCCAGCTCCAGGTTTTAGGGAAAACCCACCCAAGGTGACTAACTGTAATGCCTGCAATTGTATAAACTTCATTTCTATTGAGCTCTTAAGGCATGATATCCCAATGCACTGATGCCGTATCATGTTACAGTACTTCATTGCTTCTGCCCGAATGGAACTCCCTTACCTAGATCTCTCCCTATCCTGCTGTAAACCATAGCAGTACATTGTGCAGCATAGTGGCTCAGAGGCTGAGCTATGAATCAGGAACTCCTCTACTCATGAACACTTTAGGTGCCCTTAAGTAAGCTGCTTTCTCTCAGCCTTGTCTCCACCCCACAGCTACAATCCTGGGAAATGATGCCACGGACTTAGCATAGCATTCTGGAGGGCTGGATGTAGAGCCCAACACCAGTCTGTAATAATCACACTTAAGTATTCCAAAATAGAAGCATTGCAAATTGCAGTGGGGAACCTGATTCTCCCCTCCAGCCTTCCAGGGCTGCTTAAGGATTGTAACTAGGCAATGTTTGAAATCAGGCATAGGCAAACTCGGCGCTCCAGATGTTTTGGGACTACAATTCCCATCATCCCTGACCACTGGTCCTGTTAGCTAGGGATCATGGGAGTTGTAGTCCCAAAACATCTGGAGGGCTGAGTTTGCCTATGCCTGTTTGAAATCTTGAAACACTCTAGAAATGGTAAGGTGATGATTGGGAAAGGCTCGTCCATTAGCTTGATGCTACAGCAATAGGTAAAAGGTAAAGGATCCCTGGATGGTTAAGTCCAGTCAAAGGCAACTATGGCACTCAACTCGCTTTAGGCCAAGGGAGCTGGCATTTATGCACAGACAGCTTTTTCGGATCATGTGGCCAGCATGACTAAACCGCTTCTGGTGCAATGGGACACCGTGACAAGTGCCAGAGAGCACGTAAACATTGCTTACCTTCCCGCCGCAATGGTACCTATTTATCTACTTGCACTGGTGTGCTTTCAAACTGCTAGGTTGACAGAAGCTGGGACAGAGCAACGGGAGCTCACCACCATCGAGCCGATTCGAACCATCGACCTTCCACTTGGCAAACCCAAGAGGCTCAGTGGTTTAGACCACAGTGCCACCTGTGTACCCACAGCAATAGCCTCCCAGTAGAAACATGCTGTTATTTTGCTGTAAAGGTGAGGGTGATGTGGCAGCAATTCTGGGGCCGCACAGACACGCTGGCAGAGCCAATCCAGCATTCCCACGTGCAGCCCCAACCTCACAGCTGCCTCGCCCTCCTCCTTCCTCCCAACAAGCGGTAGTGATACTTCTACCTGGAAGCTTTTGGTCCTCCTCTGCCACAGAGGATGAGCCTCTCCTGATGAGGAGGATGATTAATGCAGCTTAGAGCTCTTTCTTCTGTGTCTGCAACTTTCTCATCCTCACTCTTCTTTGTTCCTTTTCTTTGTAGTGTGCTGTAATTGCATTCCCAAAAATCCACAATTTACTGTGAGGCGAACAAAAAGCTTGAGGCTCAGCACCTTTGGGTTGTCTCCATTGTCTCTTAATTTCTGTGTTTGTGTATTCACATTCTTCCTAGCATTTGAAGCTATTGTTTACTTTTAATTACCCATTGGTTCAGTTAGCCACCCAGAGAGCACATTCCTCTCCAGGTAATGAGAGGGAAAGCTCATTGCCCACATTGGTGGTTTTGCTTTTTGCTTTTCCTGCCTCCACAGAAAGGAAAAGAAAAGAAAAAGATTGGCTGATTCTGCAGAACTGCTCAAGTTTTTTGGTGGGTTTTTTGTGAAGGCCATAAAGGGTTTTGTGTTCCCTTGGGCGTTTGCACGTGGCCGAGCTTTGATTTGGAAGGGTGGGGAGGAAGCGCTCCAGAAACACAGAGAATGTGATAGTTGATATTTTATATTTTCTAAGCAACTATGCAGAACATTTGGAAAGATGCACAGATAACAGAATGGTGAACAATACCAGGATATATTTTCTTAAGGGAATTTCATTAAAATTAAGAGGCATAGGGATTGTTCCTCTCCGCACCAGGCCAAAAAATAATATTATTTGTACAGAACTCTCTGCTATTTCTGCCTCTGTGTTTCCAGTGCTCAGCTGGCTGACCAAGGATGAAATGGAGCTCTTTCTTTCAGATTTAGCTCTGCAGTTGTTACTGTCTCCTGAAAGGGAGTGAGGAAAGCCAATGTCAACGATGCCCCTCACATCAACTGCTTCTTCTGAGTGTTTCTTTGCCTTAAGTTGTCATGTATGTATCAATACTGTTCCTAGCCAATCATTTTCATTTTGTGAAGAATTTCACTATGGAAATTAGACTTGAAAGATTCAGGTTCATGTGTTATGTATGGGCTGCATCCATTCCTTTGCTGGCTGGGTAAATGCCCTAAGGGGCATTTGAGTTTGGTTAGACCTGGCTGGAAGGCAGTGAGACAGGGGAAATTCTGATGTTGGAGTGGGAATGTGGGCATCAGTTACTACTAATGTGGGTGAGGCTTGCAGCATACATCAAAACTTCAGCATTGGGGGATTCAGAAACTGGCTTGTCTGCAGCAGCAAAGCCCATTTTTGGATCTGCAGATCCAATGCACTATAGAAGGGTACAATTGCATGTCTGGCCCATGATATTTTGGAGATGGAGAAATGAAATGGTCCCCACTGCAAATCAAGGTGAACCAAACTCATATTATGGCACCTGAGTCAAAAAAGCCCTAAAGCACCTCTCACTCTCGCTGGCATAAAAATGAAATAATCAATTAAATAACTTATTTGCCACCTTTTCATGACACCTAAGGCAACTGCCTAACTCTGCCTAATGGTAGAGCCAACCCTAAGGCCTTTTCCAAGCTTGTGGAGCTGGCATAGGCAAGCTCAGCCCTCCAGATGTTTTGAGACTACAATTCCCATCATCCCTGACCACTGGTCTTGTTAGCTAGGGATGATGGGAGTTGTAGTCCCAAAACATCTGGAGGGCTGAGTTTGCCTATGCCTGTGTGGAGTAATTTGTTGGTGACCAGGATGAGCCATTTCAACTACCTTGCCTGGTCCTTAGACAACACCTCTTTTATTTCAAGATGACACTAAACTTGTTTTGCCACTTATAAGGTCACTGAATTGCCTGTAACACCTGACCAAAAGCTAACAGCTTAGCATCTGACTTCGTTAAAATTAGCTTATTTGATGTTATTCCCTCCCCGAGTCAGAACAATTACCTTAAATTGGAAAAGTGAGGCTCAGTGATGTGTCAGAATATTTGCCACGCATGATGCAAATGCTCAAATTGTAGGCGAAGCTCACCTTCCTCATCTATTTATTGTAAGGAAAGCTGAACTCAATTATTTTTCACATGTCCAATTGCGGACACAAGACTGCCAGCGCCGCCAGACAGCTGGAAAATGGCAGATTACGGGCTTCTACCCCCACCTACTGGCAAAGAAAGGTAAACTTTACTTTAAAACTCTTCCAAAGGTCAGTCTGTTATTTAATATCACAAAACTAAACTGAGAGTGCATATCTCATTCAGAAAAGGTAGCCAGTGGCCTGTTGCTGTAATATATTCAGACACATTTTCTAATAGGCTTGTGAAGTGAAACACAGATCTGCTTCTTCCTCCACACTAAAATGCCTCATGCAGAGAAACTCTGAGGCCACAGGTACATGGAGAAGTGATGCTGGAGCCACTGGAACTACTCTGAGCAATTAGGGAAGGGATTTACCTGACAGATGGATGCCAACAAAAAAAAAGGACCTGGCAATTGAGAAACTCCAGGGCCAACTACTCATGGCATTAGGCACATGTTTAAACAAGCATATTTAGCCTGTCTGCTTCTGTTTTGGAGAGGAGAAAATGCACCCATGGATCCCCAATCTTAAATGTGCTGCTGATATGGATTGGTGTCCCACTATTTTTCTGCTGGAATTCACTTCCCTTGTGGCTAATTTTTTTTAAAAAAACAATATTTATTAATTTTCAACCGTTTAAACACAACAAAATAGAAAAAACAAAAAAAGCATAACAAAATAAGACACAAACCATTTAAAACACAAAACAATTTCAATATCTTATCTTTCATTCCCTTATTTCCATGCAACCTCCTCACACCTCCCTTTTTGTATTCCACTTCTGTTAATTGTTTCAGCAATTCCTTTCCATCTTCCTCTGTTTTCTATCCTATAATTATCTTAACATGTTCTAACCTTATTTTTCCCTTTAATACTCTATTAGTCTATTTATACTTAATTCCTTATAGCATTTCTACTAGAGCCATATAACTTCATTCCAACATTTTTCTTACATTCATTATTTTTACAGTATTTCTATAAATAGTCTTAAACTTTTTCCAGTCTTCTTCCACCGACTCTTCTCCCTGGTCTTGGATTTCTGCCAGTCGTTTCCGCCAATTCCATATAGTCCATCAACTTCATCTGCCATTCTTCCTGAATAGATAAATCTTGTGTCTTCCAGTACTTCACAATGAGTATTCTTGCTGCTATTGTTGCATACATGAAAAAAGTTCTATCCTTCTTTAACACCAATTGGCCGACCATGCCCAGGAGAAAGGCCTCTGGCTTCTTCAGAAGGGTATATTTAAATACCTTTTTCATTTCATTATGAATCATCTCCCAAAGTGTCTTAATCCTTGGGCATGTCCACCAAAGGTGAACTCTAATCCTCAAATTCGTCTGTTTTTCTTTAAGTTCAGTCATAGCAAGTGTCAACTTATGTTCATCAAATTGCCTCTGTAGGGCTGGGGCTCTCTTTCTCTTTCTCTCCAGTTGTGTTACTTTACATTCAGCAACAACAGCTTTTTCCCTGGCTTACTCCGCAGTTTGCCGTATCAAAGTAGGTTCCTGTATCAATTTCTACATCCACTTTCGCATTTATCATGTCCATTTTCCTGTTAAGCTGATCCAATGAGTCATTTATCTTGTATAATGCAGCCACTAAAGCCTCTTCTGTCGACATTCCTCTTGGTTTTAAATATGCTGGTACAAAGGCAGCAACAGAAGGAGCAGGGGGCCTGATGATGGACCTCTTCTGGATTATTGCCAAGTCCTCCCAGACCTTAATGTTTTGTCAGCAGTTGACTGGTCTGTTTTTCCTCTTCTATTTGCCATAACACTTAAAAGATTCAAGGTCAGTCCCAGAGTCTCACGGTTTTTAACTTGCAGCTGGAAATTCCCCTAGCCCAGCTCTTCTAAAACAACCGGTTTCAAAGGCTTCCACTAGGGGGAAACAGTTTCTATTTGTAATAGTCAATAGTATCCTCTTTTCAACAATCCAAAATTAGTTTCAAATTAGTTTCAATTTTCAGTTACTTTTACTCCTTTTTAAAGCAGCCGGAGACAGTAGAAACAATGTATTTCTCTTGTTTAACTAGCTGTCAAAGAACGTTCTAAACGCTGTCAATGAACATTCCAAAAGACGTCAGTCCTACTAGCAGCCCGTTTCCAGGGTCAGAGCGGCGGTGTTTTAAATCTCTTCACTCTCTCCCACAGGCATATTCAATCCGCAACTTCCCCCTCTCTTTTCCTGCCTCCAAGAGGGGGTTTAATGTTCCTTACTGATGGAAATTTAATCTTTTACAAAAGACTTTCCAGGACTCCAGCTTGCAACTTCATTGCCTCAGTCTATTTACAAAAGGGGAAGGCGGACTTCCTGTTTTGGACCTCCCGTTACGGTACCAAATTAAACATTTAGAAATCCAATTCTTCCGTTTCAGCTCTACTCACGGGTAATTACTTTAAAGTCAAATTGTCCACAGGAAAAGGTCAGCGCTCTCCGGCAACAGCTATGCGGCTTCGCTCCGTGGAAGAAGCAGACGATTCGATGCACCGCGCCGCTCACCCCACATCGCTCCGGAGCCCCAAAAACCGGGGTTCCCCGCTAGTAGGGGAGGCGCAAAAGGTGCCCACCGAATCCCACGCTCACAGGCTTCTCCCGCCTGTGATTTTAACGGGTCTCCGCCTTCGCCGTGGCGGCCAGACCCAGATTCCCATGGAGCAGATTCCTCCTGGTCAGAGGAATTCCGCCATTACCGGAGGCACCTCCCCGGAAGTCCCCCTTGTGGCTAATTTTTACCGCTGAAAGTGTGTTTTAATAAATTTTATTTACAATTTCCATAACCACATAAACAAAATGTGTTTTACGGTAAATAAACACTTTCAAGAGCAAATAACAGGCAAACACCTGAATAAAATCCTGTAGAGTCCTAATAATGATGATGATGATTTCGTTATACCCCGCCCATCTGGCTGGGCCTCCCCAGCCACTCTGGGCGGCTTCCAACAAAAGATTAAAAATACATTAAAACATCAGTCATTAAAAACTTCCCTAAACAGGGCTGCCTTGCATGTTGAATGATTAAAGAATGTTTGGCCATATGAATGGTCTAAGTAAGTTATACTCAAAAGAGTATACCCACTGCAATCAATGGTCTTGAATAACTCCAAAGTCCATTGGTTTCAATGGATTTATCCTGAGCATGGCTTAGAACCCCTGCTCAACATTTCTTCTTCTATGACTGTGTTCATTTCCATTTAACAAATATAGCTAACCAACAGTTGCAATCTGCATGCAGAACCAGGTGAATCAGATATAAAGAGCCTGATTGTTATACAAGGAAAAACCAAGCTGCATCTTGTGACAATGAGATGCTTATGGAATTCCATTCATCTGCCTTTCAAGTGAGGATTTCAGATCACTGTGGCATATCCAGCATGTACAGTGGTACCTCAGGTTACATACGCTTCAGGTTACAGACTCCGCTAACCCAGAAATATTACCTCGGGTTAAGAACTTTGCTATAGGATGAGAACAGAAATCGCGCATAAGCGGCACGGAGGCAGCAGGAGGCCCCATTAGCTAAAGTGGTGCTTCAGGTTAATAACAGTTTCAGGTTAAGAACGGACCTCCAGAACGAATTAAGCTCTTAACCCGAGGTACCACTGTACATAGATCCCAGAATGAATGAAATAGCATTATCCAGAAGGGTTAAAATTAGTGAGCGGTTTCTCAGTGACTTCAAGGTGTATGTAATTAGTCCAGTAGATTTTCCCCTTGCTAATATATCTAATGAAGTATGGGATTAGCAAATTTCGACCTAGTTCTTTGCAACAGATTACTGAAAATGTCATCAGAGCTGGATGAATTGCATTTAGCTTTGCAATTCATAAGAATAGGTTGCATTCTGTGATTGGTTCCAGACATTCAATTTTTTTTAAAAAAGGATTTATATAAATTTTTCTATGCATTGGATTAGCATTTTTTTAAAGTATAGCACTTATTTTTTCATGTTAAACCCCTTTGACTTATTGGCTGTATTTTTAGACCACTTTTTTTTAAAAAAAAAACCCTATCTCAAGTTAGCATTGTGCAGTTATTTGAAGAAAGAATTATGGCCATTCATCTTGCTGAAGGCTCTAAAGGTGGTGAAAACTTTAACACATTACACCAATGGCTCAGTGAAGATATTATCTTGCCAGCTGGAAATGTGCAAGGGAGCATACTATTAGACGAGAGCGGTTTTGATAATGAAACATGCAATGAGACTCTGGCGCTCTTTGTACGTTTTCCATGTGCTCGAGTCAAGTGGGGTGTTAACCAGAAGGTCATGATATTTCTTTACTCACCGGAATTATTTTACATTTGCCTGAGTCTGCACATAGGAGGAAGTCAGCACAGAATCGACCAAACTAGAGGAGATCCTGCCATGAGTCTGAGCTGTTTTGAAATCAGCAAATATTAAGCCAGACAGCGTATCAGTCAGATGAAGGGCTAGGGCCTAATCCTGTGGGCTATTTTTAAGTGGTGATGTAAGTCATACTCAGAGAAGACCCCTGAAATCGATGAATTTAAGTTTCTTGGGCCCTTAAATTTCAATGGGTCTGCTCTAAATATGAATATGACCAACACTGTTTATCACCCAGTGGCGCTCTTTCCACAAACAGGAGGAGCCCTTTCATTGCAGAAGAACCTTTCACCTTGCAAGGGCCTCTGCTAACGCAAGAAGAAGGAAGGTGTCTTTTATGGATTCCCCCAATGCCACATTTTACTCTGTTCTGGAGATTCTCAAATCCAGATGAGCAAAAATGATTGTCGTTTTCTTCAGTTAGCAGAGGCCTCCACTGTATCAAACGCTCTTCCTGAACAGAAGGGTGCCACTGAATTCAGCCCCATGGCTTTGAGCAGTACAAACAGTAACATGAACCCCCTTGATTAAAGTGTGATCCAGCATTGTACAGTACAGGGAACCCTGGCCCCAATCAACAGCAAAGCAAAACTTCGTATCAGCAGGGTCAAACTACAGAATTAATGACATGGCTTATCCTTCTTGCATGCTTGCTTCTTGTTTCCTTTTACTAAATAACAGTTGTGGGGAAGAGGAAGGATCTGGGTAGGGACCACAGTCTAGCGGTGGGCAGAGCTGAACTTTAACTCTTTGCCCCTGCGCAGTCCTGATCTGAATATGTCTTCTGCCACTCCCGCAAAAAACAACAACCACACTGCTCTTTGCCCTGGGAGCATAGGTACCGGCTCCTAGGGGCTGGTGCAGTTTTGCACCCCCAATGTCTTTTTTTAAGGGGCTGGTCACCCTCAATGTTCAGAGGGTGTTCGGCTCTGCCCCCTGGCTTGCCATGCAGGACATTTTACATCAGGCGTCCTCATTCAACTTGAGAAGATGGCACCTCTGTTTGGGAGGGAAGTTGCCATTCATTCTGTTGGTTATTGGAAATGTAGTGTCTGTAGCTTTCCTTGCCCAGGACAGAATAGCAAATGGATCTCATGGCATCTTGCCTTTTCATAGTCTAATGCCCTTCTGCATTGAAATAATTTAGTGCTGCGATTGCTTCAAATACAAAGAACCTCCCACGGTGATGGGAACTAGAAATCAGTAAAACTACAGAAGGCGATGCCCAGTTCTCTTTGTGAATGAATGTGCTTACTAAATCAACTGTGTATTGATTTAAACATTTGTGGCACTACTGTTGAGCAATAGATAATCCAGGATTGCTAAAAACGCAAGTCGGCTCTTGAGATTCTGGGAATGAAACCTTCAACTGAATCATTGGACTGGCTCTACAACAGTGTTAACAAGATGTGGAATGGGCTGTCCAGTCCCCGCAATGCTACTTCTGACTTGCTTGGCACAAATCCACTCCATTAAAGATTCACTCCTTTAAAATTCTGGCATGCAGCACAGGATATGCAGTCAGTCAAGAGAAGAAAGTGCTCTCAGGAGAGTCGTCTGGCATTTTTAAGGAAATCGTTATTCTGTCTTTAAGGCTGTGGACTTGTGTTGCTTTTCTTCCTGAGATTTCAAAGAGAACTACTTGTTAGGGAAGATCTTTGGCTTATTAGCTCCATACATGTTTGTATGCCTTTCAGTTTGACCTGTCAGAGGAGGCCTTCGAGGGCAGCCTTATTTGATCCATCGGTTTTCCTTCAGTGCACCCGACAGTAGCTGAACACAGTCACAACATACCATTCAAAGTGAGGAAATATAACTAAGACAGATTCACAAATATTCAAAGCATAGGGTGTACATAGGGTAATGTGGTGCTGAAGGATCAGTTTAGCTGCAGTACATGAGTCCAATAGAAATGCTTCAAATTTTAGATTTTCTGTGACTTTTGATACCAGTTCACCTGATCTGCACCTCCACACCAATATACAAATCATATAGTTAATTCTTCTACTTTTGGCTGAAAATATGTGTCACTTCTGATATAAAATACATTTAGAAATGCATGTTTTTGCAGGAAAATATGACAAAAATATGTACTGTGTTTACTTGAATCTAATGCTCACCTTTTCGGCCAAATTACATTGCAAAAATTAAGGTGAGCGTTAGATTCGATCGCACATTTACATTCACCAGCAAATACTTTTTTTGGTTTCAAGGTTCTGAAAATTGAGGTGCGCGTTAGATTTGATGGTGCATTAGACTCGAGTAAATACGGTAATTAATACCATAGTTTCTTTTTAAGTACAGATAAGGAAAACAGATCACTTTTTTCCTAATGATCATTATAGCATCTTATTATCATACACAACTTTTTAAATATTATTCAGAGTGGGTATGGTGTACAAACTAGTATCATTATGCAATTCTATGAAAACTCAGCCTTTTAATTTTTATTTTGAAAGCAGGCTTTCTATATTCCTTTGCTACCTCCAGAAATCCCCCACCCCCAGTGCCAGCATTTTGATATTGAAGGCAGCATGGCTTAAAGTTTATCTGGATTTTTAAAATGAGCGTGTTAAAGTTTATTCTGCCTTTCCCAAATATATGGGCAAGGGGTGTCCATAGTTTCTTTCCTATTTGTTATGGATGGTCCCAGATTTAAAGTGGACCATAAAAACAATAGAAGAATGGTAAGTCCAGCAGCAGCACAAAAAGTGTTTTCTTCTGCAGCTAACCCAGTGTCTTCTGCTAGGCAACTGAGGCATATGTGCCCTGTGAGCAAGCCTATACAGTTCCAATATTTTCAGGCTGCCATCCAATATTCATTCGCTTAGGAGTAAGATCCATTTAATGGGGCTAACATCCAAGGAAATATGCAAAGGGATGAACATCAGTAAACAGGGCCCTGGGCTACCACTGAACCAGGCCACTGCCTCTGTGCCTAATTTGACAGCTCCTGGGATTCTGCATGGGGTCTGACAGTGATCTTGCCTCGCCTAAATTCTGAGAGTGCCTTTTAAGCATATGAAACATGTTTCCAGATCAGGTCAAAGGCCCAACGAGTCTAGCATTGCTGTTGTTGTTAGTGGTGGTGTTGTTAATATATGTATACCGCCCTATACCCATAGGTGTCAGGCTTCGTGGAAACGGCTTCCTCCCTCCCTTTGGCCATGAATAAGCAGAACAAAGCGAAAATAGTATCTTACCAGTTAAAGATATTTTAATGATCACAGCGAAAGAACAAAGACTCTATTCTTGTAGGAAAGGTGCTCCCAATTAAGGTTTCCACCCACTTCCCCCTGAGCCACCCCCGTCATTTCCTCATCTGGCAACTTGATCTCGCAGCCATTTGGCCTTCTGTTTAGCTACCTTATCTGCTCTCCTTGACCTTGGACTGAGCACTTGGACACTTTCCAGTGAAAGGAAGTCTGTTAATTCTCTCTCTCCCTGTTCTTCTTCTCCTAGCTGTTCCCCACTCAGTTCTGCCCAGCTGTTGTCTTCCAAACTATGTCCCTCTGCAAACCACTGCTCCAAATCTATACTGCTCCATTGCTCCTGGGCAGCTTCAGGATTCTGGTCAGAAGCAGGGGGAGGGGGAGGCCCCCACCATTCCTCATCAGAGTAGCTCTCAGGACAGTTCACAACATAAAATTAAAATATGAAAAACACAAAATCAATAATCCCCCCTTCCACAACACATTTAAAACACATCAGATGTTACTTTTTTCCCCTGTGTTGTTTTCAAACAACTGAATTGGAAGAGCCAAATAAATGAAAAATTGTTAAATTTCCACCACTAGCTTCTGCTAATACTCTCCTTAATGCCTTGATTATGCAGATGTTCACAAGATATCCCCTATCTAAAAGGCTTCTCTCTTGGGGGAACTAAGCTGTACATGCCTTTGTGTCAGCCTTCCTGAACTTTGGTCCACAGATGCTGTTTAACTACAGCTCCCATAATCTCTCAACTACTGGCTGGTTGTGGGGTTTTCACCCTCAAACATTATACTCCCACAGTCACCAACTAGGAACCTATGACTATGAGAAACCCACAAGAACATGGGTGCAGTGGGTCTCCTGCTCATATCCCCCATAAACTGTTATTCAGAGGCAGCAGCCCTCTGATAACTGGAAGGAATACGTATTCATTAGAACTAGTAGCAATTGAACAGTGCAACTTTCAGCTGCACTGAAGTGCATTGTGGGAGTGCCCAAGCGTTAGGGAAAATTACAGCTGCAACACAGTGCTTAGAGAGTGTGAGCGGATGGTTCCCAGCACCAGCAGGAGCCAAGCAGGTTGATCTCTCCGCTCTGTAGTCTTCTAATGAGACGTTATCAGAGCAAAGATGGTTGTTTTCTTCCTATCTTTAAAAAAGGCTCATAGTCTACTGACAGTTTTTTTTTTATCCTTTCTCGGCAGAGAGTACTCTACTGAGCTTGCAGGGCAGCAGCTGAAGAAGGTGCAAAAAGGGTTTTCGTGTGTGTGTGTGTGTGTGTGTGTGTGTGTGTTTCTTTGTGGCTGATTAGCTGCTCTCCCTGTGCAAAGGTCAGAGGGGGCAGGGTTTCTGTTGAGGCAGGTGATTAGCTGTGGGAGGAGCTTATCAGAGCTTGCAGGGCAGCAGTTGAAGAAGGAGCAAAAAGGGTTTTCTTGTGTGTGTGTGTGTGTGTGTGTTTCTTTGTGGCTGATTAGCTGCTCTCCCTGTGCAAAGGTCAGAGGGGGCAGGGTTTCTGTTGAGGCAGGTGATTAGCTGTGGGAGGAGCTTATCAGAGCTTGCAGGGCAAGTTTGATCCATCTTTTAGATTTAGGGGAGCTAGTCTCAAACGTTTGTTGGGGGAGACCTAGGTTTTTTTGGGGGGAGTTATTTGTCCTGTCTTCACGCTTTTTATGATGGAGGACCGCTGTAGCCACCCCCAATGACACATTCTCAAGATGGAGGGGGAGGGAACAGCTGCAGTCACCTGCGGTTCCTGCGCAATGTTTGCCATCTTGCCAAAGGTTGCAGGCAGCTTTACCTGCAGCAATTGCATGTTGATTGCCCTCTTACAAGACAAAGTCCAGCAACTGGAGGAACGTGTAGCTACGCTCCAAAGAATTAGAGAGCTGGAGCTCTTCTTGGAAGCAACAGAGCACACCGTCTCCACCAAGGAGGAGACAGGGGACTCCCCCGAGAAGGAGGCTAGTTCACCAACACAGGAGCCAGATATATGGAGAAACGTGACTCAAAGAAGTAGGATTCGCTTTGATTGTTTAGAAATACACAATCACTTTGAGGTCCTCTCCCCTAGCATGGAAGACGAAGAGCAGACTCCATTTGAGGATCTCTCCCTCATTACAGTCGATCAGGTATATGAAGACGAGCAGCAAAGTCAGTCCTCAGGGAATGTGCAGGCAACCTTGGAACGGACAGCTCACGGAAGAACCCCAACCAGACCTAAGAGGAGGCGTGTAGTGGTGTTAGGGGATTCCCTACTGAGGGGAACAGAAGCAGTTATCTGTGGGCCTGACACGATGTCTCGGGAAGTGTGCTGTCTCCCTGGGGCTAAGATCCAAGATGTAACTGAACGACTGCAAGGAATCATAAAACCCACTGACAAATACCCCTTCCTCTTGGTTCATGTGGGAACCAATGACACTGCAAGCAATAGCCTCCAGAAGATCAAAAGAGACTAGGAGGCTCTGGGTAGGAAATTGAAGCAATTAAATGCACAAATTGTCATCTCATCTGTCCTCCCAGTTGAACGACGTGGCCCAGGGAGAGGGGAAAAATAGTGGAAGTGAACAGCTGGCTTCACAAATGGTGTAAACAGGAACGGTTTGGATTCTTAGATCACGGACTGCAGTTTCTTGAAGATGGACTTCTGGCAAGCGATGGGCTGCACCTCACAACAGTTGGGAGAAATGTTTTTGCCAAAAATCTCAGAAACCTCATCAGGAGGGCTTTAAACTGACTAATGTGGGGGGAGGGAGACAGTGCTCCTGAAGGTAGGAGTCTATCAATTGATGAAGATGATCATCCAAATGTCATAGACCAAATGGAGCAAACAGCATGCAGACCTAGTGGTGGGAGGAAAAAATCCTTAAATAAGAGACACGGGGGAATGATTAATGGACTTCAATGTCCATTACACTAATGCGCAAAGCATGGGAAATAAACAAGATGAGCTTGAGCTCTTGGTACAGCAAACTAAATATGACATAATAGGCATCACTGAAACCTGGTGGGATAAGTCCCACGATTGGAATGTAATAATGGGGGAATACAATCTATTTCAGAGAAACAGACCAGACAAGAAAGGAGGAGGAGTGGCATTATATGTCAGGGATGTGTATACCTGTGAAGAGATCCAAGATTTAGAACCTCAAAGCCAAAGTGAGAGCATTTGGGTCAAAATCAAGGGAGAGAAGAATAACAGTGACCTCATTGTGGGAGTTTACTATAGATCCCCAAGCCAAACGGAGGACATAGATGATGCCTTCCTGGAACAGATGGCCAAGCATGCAAAAGGAAGGGAGATAGTAGTAATGGGGGACTTCAATTACCCGGATATTTGTTGGATGTCAAACTCAGCCAAGAGCATAAGGTCAAACAGATTCCTCACTGGCCTTGCAGACAACTTCATTATCCAGAAAGTGGAAGAAGCAACAAGAGGAACAGCCATTTTAGATCTGGTCCTAACCAATGTTGATGACCTGGTTAGTGGGGTAGAAGTGGAAGGATCATTAGGCGCGAGTGATCATGCTCTTCTGAAGTTTACTATACAGCGGAAAGGAGCAGCCAAGCATACTAGGACTCAATTTCTTGACTTTAAGAAAGCCGACTTCATAAAACTTAGGGAAGTGCTGGGTGAGATCCCATGGACAGTAATACTAAAAGGAAAGGGAGTTCAAGATGGCTGGGAGTTTGTTAAGAGGGAGATAGTAAAAGCACAACTTCAGGCAATACCAATGAGACGGAAACATGGAAGGTGCCTAAAGAAGCCAGGGTGGCTATCTAAAGAACTTTTAACTGAGTTAAGATTAAAAAGGATGTGTACAAAAAATGGAAAAGGGGAAACCACCAAAGAGGAATTCAAACAAATAGCCAGCACGTGTAGACACAAAGTCAGAAAAGCTAAAGCACAGAATGAACTCAGGCTTGCTAGAGAGGTTAAAAGCAACAAAAAAGGCTTTTATGGGTATGTTCGTAGCAAAAGGAAGAACAAAGAAACAGTGGGGTCACTCAGAGGAGAAGATGGTGAAATGCAAACAGGGGACACAGAAAGGTCTGAACTCCTCAATGCCTTCTTTGCCTCAGTCTTCTCCAGTAAAGAAAACAATGCCCGACCTCAAGAATTTGGAGCAAATGATTCAGCAGAGGAAACACAGCCCAGAATAACTAAGGAGATAGTACAAGAATACTTGGCTAGTTTAGATGTATTCAAGTCTCCAGGGCCAGATGAACTGCATCCAAGAGTATTAAAAGAACTGGCAGAGGTGATCTCAGAACCACTGGCAGTCATCTTTGAGAATTCCTGGAGAACAGGTGAAGTCCCGGCAGACTGGAGGAGGGCAAATGTTGTCCCTATTTTCAAAAAGGGGAAAAGAGAGGACCCAAATAATTACCGCCCAGTCAGTCTGACATCAATACCAGGGAAGATTCTGGAGCAGATCATTAAGCAAACAGTCTGTGAGCACCCAGAAAGGAATGCTGTGATCACCAATAGTCAGCATGGATTTCTGAAAAATAAGTCATGTCAGACTAACCTGATCTCGTTTTTTGACAGAATTACAAGCCTGGTAGATGAAGGGAACGCAGTGGATGTAGCCTACCTTGATTTCAGCAAGGCATTTGACAAGGTGCCCCATGATATTCTTGTAAAGAAGCTGGTAAAATGCGGTCTTGACTATGCTACCACTCAGTGGATTTGTAACTGGCTGACTGACCGAACCCAAGGGTGCTCATCAATGGTTCCTCTTCATCCTGGAAAAGAGTGACTAGTGGGGTGCCACAGGGTTCTGTCTTGGGCCCGGTCTTATTCAACATCTTTATCAACGACTTGGATGATGGACTCAAGGGCATCCTGATCAAATTTGCAGATGACACCAAACTGGGAGGGGTGGCTAACACCCCAGAGGACAGGATGACACTTCAAAACGACCTTGACAGATTAGAGAACTGGGCCAAAACAAACAAGATGAATTTTAACAGGGAGAAATGTAAAGTATTGCACTTGGGCAAAAAAAATGAGAGGCACAAATACAAGATGGGGGACACCTGGCTTGAGAGCAGTACATGTGAAAAGGATCTAGGAGTCTTGGTTGACCACAAACTTGACATGAGCCAACAGTGTGACGCGGCAGCTAAAAAAGCCAATGCAATTCTGGGCTGCATCAATAGGAGTATAGCATCTAGATCAAGGGAAGTAATAGTGCCACTGTATTCTGCTCTGGTCAGACCTCACCTGGAGTACTGTGTCCAGTTCTGGGCACCACAGTTCAAGAAGGACACTGACAAACTGGAACGTGTCCAGAGGAGGGCAACCAAAATGGTCAAAGGCCTGGAAACGATGCCTTATGAGGAACGGCTAAGGGAGCTGGGCATGTTTAGCCTGGAGAAGAGGAGGTTAAGGGGTGATATGATAGCCATGTTCAAATATATAAAAGGATGTCACATAGAGGAGGGAGAAAGGTTGTTTTCTGCTGCTCCAGAGAAGCGGACACGGAGCAATGGATCCAAACTACAAGAAAGAAGATTCCACCTAAACATTAGGAAGAACTTCCTGACAGTAAGAGCTGTTTGACAGTGGAATTTGCTGCCAAGGAGTGTGGTGGAGTCTCCATCTTTGTTTTTTTTTTAAATTGATATTTATTAAATTTTCAAAAAGTAACAAGTAACAACAAAAATTTCCAAAAAAATTTGAAAATACAAATAAAACAAAAATAATACAGAAATAGTAAAGAAGAAAAAACCCAGCCGCAAAAAAGAAGAAAAAAAGAAAAACAGAAAAACAGAAATATAAAATCCTTTACGATCTCCATTAACTTCCTTTCTAGACTTCCTCCTCCTTCCGTCTCTTGTTTCTTAGTCTTTAATTTTTACAGCAAATCCTTTCTGTTTTTCATAACAATCTATCATTGCGTTTCCTTATTCTATTTTCCCTCTTGTCATATAAAAACTTTAAAACTCAAAGCTTATATTCAATATTTAGCAAATTCTTACATCATTACCTTTTTTCAAATCATTTGCCAAACCTTACCCAAGTTCAAGTTCAAGTTTATTGCGGCCAAAGCCAGTAACACTAGACACCATAAGATCAGACAACAAAAAATCAGCAACAACTTCAGAAAAGAAAAAAGGTTACACAAGAGAACTTCACAGTGTGCCATTCAACAGAAGAGATTTACGCTTCTTAATTACTAAAGTGCAAAATTTAGCCACCTCATATGATACTAAGCTTGAGGAGTCTTCCAGGAGGTATTTTCGAAGAATTTCAGGGGAGGATTCCAAATAATATTGAAGGGGTATAAATTTTGATAGAAGCGGTAAAATAAGTTGAACTCGTTCTTCACTATAGAATTCGCAAGATAGAAGAATGTGTGTGACAGATTCTACCTTATTAGACATACAAGGGCAGAGACGCGCATGCATTGGAACTCGCGTGAATTTGCCGTACAGCACTGCTGAGGGCATTGTCTCAAAGCGGGCTCTAGAGAAAGCCCATCTATAGGTTTCGTTAGTGATGTTAGTTAAGTAAGGGGCAGCTGCAAAATTAGGCCAAGCTTTTAAACATCTATACGTCTCTGGGAGTAGGGCCCCTTCTTGTTGTAATTCGATATCATAAAGTCTCCGAGTGATAGTAGCTTTTGCCTTGTTCAGAGTTCCAATAAAAATATTTTCAGGGTTTAGGCCAATTTGTTTGATCTTGTTAGTTATTTGCATAAGCCAAGGAGGATAGGGAACTGCGGCCAGGAAGCAAGGTAATAGACCCTTAGGATTGTAATGGATTTTCAGCCAGAGGGATATTGCTTGTTCCCAGACTTTTAATTCCACTCTGGGCAGTCCTGCCTCTTGCCTTAAGACTGCATTAGGTGTGCACTTAGGAGTAGCAAATAATGATCTTAAGAATTTAGATTGTACTGTTTCAAGGGTCTTAAGGTTGGCAGAGGGGCTAATTTGAGAGCCATATAGAAGTTGGGCTAAAGATTTTGCCTGAAAGACTGTTAGGGCCATCGGGAGGAAGCCAGCTCCTTTCCTTCTGAATAATCTAAGGATAGCATTTGCACTATCCGTATAGGTCCGTATAGTAAAAGCCATGGTTTTCCCAGTAGTGATGTATGGAAGTGAGAGCTGGACCATAAAGAAGGCTGATCGCCGAAGAATTGATGCTTTTGAATTATGGTGCTGGAGGAGACTCTTGAGAGTCCCATGGACTGCAAGAAGATCAAACCCTCCATTCTGAAGGAAATCAGCCCTGAGTGCTCACTGGAAGGACAGATCCTGAAGCTGAGGCTCCAATACTTTGGCCACCTCATGAGAAGAGAAGACCCCTGGAAAAGACCCTGATGTTGGGAAAGATAGAGGGCACAAGGAGAAGGGGACGACAGAGAATGAGATGGTTGGATGGTGTTCTTGAAGCTACCAGCATGAGTTTGATCAAACTGCGGGAGGCAGTGGAGGACAGAAGTGCCTGGCGTGCTCTGGTCCATGGGGTCACGAAGAGTCGGACACGACTAAACGACTAAACAAGCATTTGCACTTCTTTCTGCTGATATAGCTGATGTGGTCAAGTGTGTTGAGAATTTGGCATTATAAGAGAAAGTAATGCCTAAGTATTGGAAGGTCTTAGTCTGTTCAATGGCGTTTCCCTTTACGCTCCAATTATCCTTCCTAGAGGAGCGGTTAAAATGTACAATTTTGGTTTTGGCAAAGTTAATTGTTAACAGTTCAGTGTTACATTGGTCACTAAACTTTCCTAAGGCACGTTTCAGACCCACTTTGGTTTGAGAGAGAAGAACAGCGTCATCCGCATACATTAAAATTGGTACTTTTCTGCCATTAGAGAACACAGGGGGGTGGGTTTCAATTTCACGACAGCATGTAACCAGGGAGTTAACATAGATATTAAATAGGAATGGGGCTAATAGGCATCCTTGTCTAACTCCTCTTTGAACTAGGATTTCTCTAGAGAGTCTGCCGTCCTGTGCAAGTCTTATCTGGAGGGTATTGTTCTCATGAAGCTTAATCATCAGAAGTAATAACCTTCTGTTAATACCCATATTGGCCAATTTGGCCCAGAGCCTGCTCCTGGATACAGAATCAAATGCTGCCTTTAAGTCCACAAAGGCCGCATCTAATGACTTTTCCAATATTTCGCATACTTATAGACAAAGTAATCTAACACTAAGCAGTGATCAATGGTGGAACGTCCGGATGTAAACCCTGCTTGTTCAATTTCTAGCAAGTTATTATGATCTAACCATTCCCATAATTTTAGGCATAGATGTTTTGTATAAAGTTTACAGATCACATTCAGGAGACTAATTGGTCTATAATTAGATGGATCAGAGGGGTTGCCCTTTTTAAATATGGGAACAATTATAGCTAGTCCCCAATCTTTAGGGATTTCAGTTGTCTTATCTATATATGAAAATAGATTAGCAAGGACCGGGGCCCACCAGTTTATTTGCGCTTTCAGAAGTTCAGCGACAATGAAATCACTTCCTGGGGCTTTGCCAGATTTCATTTGTAGAATTAGCGAAGTGATTTCAGTTTCAGATGTTGGGGGCCATGGTGTATCATTATCTAAGGGGATGTTAAGCGGCGCAGAAGGACGATGTTCCCTAAACAGCACTTTATAGTGCTCTTCCCATGAATTTGCAGGGATTATTGTGCCCTCATTAGGAGCTTTGGTTTGACTGGAGATAATTTTCCAGAAGTTGGAATTGTCTTTTTCTATTGACGCTTTTATGAGGGCCTGCCAAATGAGAGAGTCTGCGGTTCTTTTTTGGTTTTTAATAACTCTTTGTAGTTCTTTTTTTAAGTTGTAACTCCAATTTAGTGATAGGGTTAGGATTTTGCTGGAAGACCTTAAAGCATTCCCTGAGTATAAGTTTTGCCTGAGTGCATTCGTGATCAAACCATTTTGGTTAGATCTTCTGGGTCTTGACAATAACGGTTGGAGTTTTCGGATTAATGTATTATAATGGTCAATTGGGGAGGTCTCTTCAGTGTCGTTGGAAGTCAGATCAGCCCAGAGGAGTTGACCTTCCATTGATTGTGTCCAAATACCAAAATGGTTATTAACATAAGGGGACCATTTAATTCTGGATCTGCCTATTTGTTGTAAAGCGCTAGGATCAGGAGTCTGCGGGGCAAGCCCACATCTAGAGGGTTCCCAAAATTCAGTCCTTTTAAGATTTAGGGGTAAATGGTCACTTTCGGTTCTTATATCTACAGCAAATTCAATATATTCATCGAAGAGTTCTTGGGAGACAAGGATGTAATCAATAACAGAATGCCTTAAGCCTGACCAGTAAGTAAATTGGCCAGGGCAGTCCCCGAGGAGAGGCCGTTTAAAATAACAAGGTTTAATCTAAGTGCCATTAAAAAAAGACATGTACCAGCAAAATTGGTAACTGGGTCAAGTGAGTGACGCCTGAATAGGGGCCAATGTTCATCATTAGCATTTAGGGGACCCATTCCACTTTCCTTGATTAACTGTTCGTCTGAGTGGCCTAGCCTTGCATTAAAATCCCCACCAATAATTAAGGAGGCAGAGGAAACTTATTTGAGACGAGGAGAATGCAGTCTTCCAGTTCGTTCCAGATGTTTTTAAGATCAGTTTGTTTCATAAGTGGGTGAATATAAACATTGATGCATATGATCTTAAAATGGGTGGAGAATATTTTAACGGCCAAAATCCATTTTTATCGATTTTCAATTGGATAGGGAGGCTCCTAGATCTGTCGATACGAAGGTGCTCAGACCTCCCACCGGTCTTCCGCCTTTTGGGCCGATTGAGGCAGGGGAATGGAAAGCAAAGTAATTGTGTAGTTCGAAAGGATTTTGCATCCAGGTTTCTTGGAGCAGGATGATCTTGAACTGTGATACGTAGGTTAAAACGTCTTTGTCCCTTGTTTTCGATTGCCATCCAGCAACGTTCCAGGATAGTAGTAGGGGTGAGAGTCATTTTGTCTCTTCAATAGCATCTAGGGCTTTCCCGGAGTCGTGGAAGATGCAACCATTGAATGGTTGAGTCTCCGGTAATGTGATTAGGGGCGCCACAGAGATTTCGGCGTGGATTTCAGATGGGCAGAGTAGGGGTGTGTGTTCTGCCGTGACCTGAGGAGATTCATGACCCATTTTTCGCTCCGAGTTAGGTGGAATATTTGCCTCTTTTGTGGGCGCTAGATCTTCAAAGTTGCGGAGATAGAGTAATAACTCATCTAGTCTGTCCGTTATCTCTGTTTGTTCGGCTTTTGGCAGATGGGAGAAGGAGACAAGTAATTCCTGCTCCATCGAATTCTCAAGATGAGTAGCCTTTGATAGGAGGGGCATGGGGGTCTCTGTCCAACTAATTAAGTCTGAGGGTGGAGAGGTAGAGCTCGTAGTAGATGGAATGCCCTCATTTTTAATTGCTTTCCTTTTAACTGAAGAGTAGGGAATGAGAGGGCAAATCTTAGTGTTGATAAAAACTCTTGTGATAAAAATTCTATAATTAGTCAGATAGCTTCGTAAGGACATCATATAAGTTGGAAGCTTTTTAGAATCAAAGGTGAGCAGTATCCTCTGCATGTGTGGCTTGCTGTAAATGTGGACAGTAGATTTCAGATCGATGGAAAGAGGATCTACGCCCAGAAGCTCAGCTAAATGCCTTCTTGCGACATGTGTAGACGACCAGTTAACAACCTGACCTTTGAAGGGGAGGATAATTAAACAAAGTCTAGTGGCTTGTAACGAAAGATTATAGGAAGATATGGTGTGTAAATCTTCCATAGATTGTTCGTTTTCAGATTTGCAGCCAATCTGCGGGGTTGAGCGTAATAGGGCAGGTACTCTGGGCGTTGGTTCAGCCCTATCCTCCGGTGAAACGTCTACAGGGCTGACATTAACTTTTGGGGATACAAAGGATGTAATATTCTCTAAGGAGCCTTTGATGTCTCTTATGTATTTAAAGATACAGTCCACGGTTTTAGCCACTAGGTCTAACGTAGTAGAGTGTTCAAGCAGTAATTCAGAGAGATAGTTTGCTTGTTCTCCGATGCAGTCTTCCGCCTGAAAGGGCTTAGTTGGAACTTTTTGGGGCCTTTTGGTCTCGTGATGGTGTTGTTTAAGGAGTTAATGGGTTGTTTAGTGGGTGGTTCCTTCGGTGTAATTTCTTTATCTATTATCTCTGCTAATGGCGAGAAGCTGTTCGAGGTCGGAATATTAAAAGTGTCCTTTGTTTTTCCATAGAAGAATTCGCTGATTTTGGTTTGCTTGGTAAGGGGCAAACATGCCATTTCCTCTAAGTCCTCAGATTCTCTGCAGCGTTTACCAACCCCCCTCCTCGCATCAGCAGGGCCGTCTAATTGCTGAGTCATCTTTCCCTTTGCCTCGCTCTTTTATCTTCCCTAAGTTTTTCAAAGAGTCGAGGGAGTATTTTCCTTGAAAGTATCCTATTCAAGGAGGAGGAGTGTGCCAAAGGTTATTGGCATAACACTAAATTATGCTCCGTCTGTGCCTCCAGACTTATGGTGGGAGCAGCCCATGAATTTTCCTGTAAGCTCTTCGCAGTATGATAAGATAGTCAATGCGGCTTTAAAGTTCCAAGAGGAGTCCGGAAAGCGGAACGTGGGATAGAATGGGGTGAGGTGCTTAAATTTATCTGAGCTCAATGTTCATTAAAATAGCTCAATGTTCATTAAAATAGCTCAATGTTCATTAAAATAGTCTTTAAAAGGGGTAAGAGAAAGTAAAAAGATAAAATCAATGGGCTCACATTAGTAGAGTGCTGTCCGCCATCATACCGGAAGCCGGAGCCAAACCTTACTTAAGTCATATAATTTCATTCAACATCCTTCAAACATTTATAAACATTCCCAATATTAAAAAATAAGAAAGCAAAAACAATAAGTCAGATTCAATCCAGTCAACTTCCAGCCTCCCCTCCCCTGGACCCGGGATTGTCAGTCCTTTTAACTTCAATAATCCGGCTCCTTAACCTGGTTGTCTCATATCCGAGGCCCTCAAGTCTCTTTCTTGCCCCTTTCGCCACTCTTGTTGATATTTCCCTTTCAGTCGTGGATACTCCAGCAAGAAGATGCTTTTGACTCTTTGCAGCAAGTCCATCCCAAACCCATTGCCCAAGCCAGACAGCAGATAATACCACTTCCAATTTCCACGAAACTTGGAGACTTCAACTACTCCATTCCTCTGATGGCCCATCACTAGACTCGGAAAGTCCAAATAACCATATAGAGGGGTGTCAATCCATCCCCCCATTTCCAAATCTGACCCCATTTCATCTTTCCGAATCAGGTTTGTCCCAAGTTCATTTATCAAGTTCAAAGGCTGATCTTGCCCATCCATAGGTCCCTCCATCTCTGAAGCCTCCGTCGCTACAGCAGGTTCATATACTTGTATAGACTTTAACTGAATTTCATTTGTTTGCTGCTGTGCTCTGGTAACTTCCGTCCTCATCAAGGTCGACTCCTGACGCATCTGGTCCAGCTGGGCACTTAATTTTGCAAAACCTTCCAGGAACACTTGTTCAAGCCTTTGTACAAGCATTGTCCTTCAAGGTCAGAAAAAATTCTTTCCCACGAGAATGATCCTTCTCTTTTAAACTCTCTGCATTGCAATTTCACTCAGTTCCACTAGATGGAAAACCCTTTTTTTTTTTTTTTTTTAAGAGGGGGAAAAACAACAGTAACCATCTTTCTTTTTCCAGAAACACTTTATCCAAACTTCCCCTTTCAAATTCCAAGAGGCAACAGTAGAATCAAAATGTTACCCTTCTTTTAACTATCTGTCGAGCTGGATAAGCTTCAAAACGTCAGTTCTGACAGCCCGCTCCTGGTTCAGGGTGGTGGAAAATTACTTTATTTTAAACTCACTCCGCAGGGTTGAAAAGATCAAAACAACCCCTTCTTCTCCTGCAATCGAAGGGGGTTCAGAAATCTTAGATGTTGAATTTTAGTTCTCTCAGAATTTAGTTTCCAGGCTTTAGTATAATTTGTCTTTGCTTTCTTCACGTAACAAAAGAACGGAAGGCGACTTCCTGTTTAGACCTTTCCGTTCCGAGTCCCATTTAAATTCAATTTCAAGTTCAAGTCCAATGTTATTTATTTATTCACCAATCTTAAAAGTAGTTCAGCTCTTCCAGGATCGGGTACTCACGGATAGATGTTTTAGATGCCAAATTGTCCAGGGAAAAGGCAGCGCTCTCCGAAAACGGCAGTGCGGCTTTGCTGCACGGAGGAAGCAGACGACTCACAGCACCACGCACCTCCCACTCCGGGCCCGTTACCGAGCTCCTGTACAAGGGGAGAGCGCTCTCGGTGCCCGCCGAGTCCCACGCCCACAGGCTTCTTCCGCCTGTGGTTTTTAAGGGTCCCCGCTGCGCCGTAGCGGCAGGACCCAAGCCTCCGTGCAGCGGGTTCCCTTCAGTTCGAAGGGAATTCCGCCATTTTCCGGAGGCGCCACCCCGGAAGTGCCAGCCTGTTAATTTTGGATTCTTATGTTTTCTGTTCACCCCATTTCTGCATCAGTTTGCTTTTCAAAAAGTCTTTATGAATATTCATCACATCCGCACTTTTGTCTGCATTTAATATGCACATTTTTTCCTAGGCATTTTCACCTAATATACAAATGTTTTCAACCAGTTTGCCCTACCATAATGTATTTTTGCATGCCATGTTCCAATATATTCATTTTTATGCACACTTTCCCTAAATATACACGCTTTGTTTTTGTTTTGAATTAATTTTATTGGGGTTTATAGAGAAAATACAAAACCTAATATCAAATATATTTCCCCCTTTTTTTGTCCGAACTAAGACTTTGATCTAAATACAATAAAAACATAAAGAGATTTAATTGGGGTTGGAGAACAGCATTGCAAGATCGAGAGAAGGACACACATGTCAAAGGAAAGCTGCAATTCGGTTTGCAGGTCATTCCATCTTTGGAGGTCTTTAAGCAGAGGCTTGACAACCATATGTCAGGAGTGCTCTGATGGTGTTTCCTGCTTGGCAGGGGGTTGGACTCGATGGCCCTTGTGGTCTCTTCCAACTCTATGATTCTATGATTCTACTGGATTCCTAGCCCCGGGCATCCTTTTTAAAGTTCTTTCACATCCCTCTTATGACACTAACAAAGCCTCTGCAGTAAAGAGAACATCTTTAAGACCATGTGTGATGGGCCAGCTCTTCCACAATAGCCTACTGCCCAGTTGTTATAATAGCCATGATAAATGATAATAAGCAAATGCTTGCAAGAGCTTCACACACAGTAGACAGTGCCATCTCAATGGCCACCCTCAATTATAAAGGGGAATACACCCAAAATGAAAAAAAAAGGGTCAGAAAGTCTAATCCGGTGAAAGCACAAAGAAGGCTTCTATTGCTGTTTAGTCTCCAAGTGAAGTTCAGAAGTAATGCAGCTTGTATTTGTGGGCTAATAAGGGGTCACCAGCCTTTTTGGGTTAGTAGACACATTTGCAACCTTGAGAAAGTACCATACATTCCAGCCATAAGATGGCTACTGGGGTGGGGGGTGGAAGAACACAAAATGGCAGGAGGGGGAATGTGGCATAACAGAAAATGGCTGCTGCATTTAAAAGAGCAGAAAAAGAGACAGCATCACAAAATGGTGCCGGCATGCCCCAATCAATGAGAAAAAGGCACCTACATCACACAAGAAGCTCTTTGCATCTCTTCACTGTTCAGAATGAAAAACAAGGTGGGTGTCCAATCCTGGCATCCAATGTAGTGTCAGCATATTTTAAAAGGGGTTGATGTAGGAATGGCCAAGCAAGCCCAAACAGGAATTAAGCAGGAAGAGCAAATTTTCTCGTTCATTGTGAATTTTTGAGGGAATATTTATTGAGGACCTTTGTGGGCGCCAGAGGAGGTGGGCACATTTGTGCCAGCAGGTCCCAAAAATAATATTAAGGGGAGGGGAACCCTAATAGTTTTAACCTGGCACCTAAGGTAAGATTCACCTCTAATATCTCTGAGGTGGGCATTCCATATGTGTGGTGTCACCACTGAGAAGGCCCCTCCCTAGTCACTACCTGCCTGAGCTCTGAAGGCTGAAGGAACACTGAGAAGAACTTTTACTGCAGACCTTGGCGTCTGGGCAGATTTGTATGGGGAAAGGCACTCCTTCAAATACCCATTTTTAGGTCTTTAAAGGTTAAAACCAGCACTTCAAATTGTCCCTGGAAAGTGCATAGCTTTTAAAATGGTGGGAAATGATCAGATTAGCCAGCTGATGTGTAGTTGGCATTTCCTGGCAGTCTTCAAAGGCATCCCCATGTGCTGCACATTAGAGGAATCTAACCTTGATGTCCTTAATGCATGGATAATGTTAGACACAGAAAAGCCATTTAACTATTGCCTAAAGAAATAAAGTAGGGAGCACTTTGAGTAAGGGAAAATAGAGGTGGACATAGGTAAGCAAGGTGAGTAACTTTCTGAAAGCTCCTTCACCTGCAAGCCTTACGTGATAACCATTTTTATAAGACAATAGTGGTATCTACAGGATCTTTTTGCAGAGTTGATTGAGGCATGGGCATAGCCAAGGAGGAGCAGGGGGGCAGCTGCCCCCCCCCCACACTTCAAGTAAAACAAGAGAAATACTTAACTAACTGACTAATCATGTGGGTTCTTAAAATAAAAAACAAAAACAAAAATCCTGGCTACCCCCATGGATTGAGGGCAATTCTTCCACTTCAAAAATGAATCAGCCCTCCCAAGTTCACATATAAAGCATTTCAAAACAGTATGCTGTTCACATAAGAGGCTTCAAGTAAAGCGCTTTAACCTCAGATGCTATTGGCATAATGTGAATTCTAAAATGGGTTTAAAAGGGCACTTGCAAAAGGCAAGCCATCCCAGAATGACTTCAGGCTAAATGAACAAGGATGCCTAGCAGCAGTATAGAAGTCTGGTGCTAGATAGAATCTCAAACAAGCTAGTTGTTGTTTTTTTTAAGTACATGCTTAAAATCATAAAAAGAAAAATCCCTTCATTGCGAATGAAGTCTCAAGAAGAATTTATGGCTGATGATGATGGTGTTGGTGGTGATGATAATAATAATAATTAATAATAATAATAATTAATAATAATTGTTAAGTTGTGGGCGAACATATCAGACAACACAGTGATTCTTCCAAAGCAGCTCTTTATTTGTAAGCTGGAACAGAACTGAATTGAGGAGCTCAGTCAGCCTGCTTATATAGAGCTCCAGAACAATGTAACTGTTGCCATTTTCTAAAACTATCCAATCACTGAACGTCACTTTCGATCCTTCATTTGCATACAAACTATCCAATCACTGAACGTCACTTTCGATCCTTCATTTGCATAACTATCTACAGTATCCCCCTGCTGGCCCAGGGTGAGAATTTCAGTACATAACAATAATAATTAACAATAATAACATCTTTTCAGCCAAATGATTTCTTTTACTGTACACATAGCAAAACAGAGCATGTGTGAATGAATCATTATTAATTTTCCCATTACAGTGAGACCCACTGGCCTACCTACCTCTTCCATGAACTACAGTTTTTCTGCTTATGTGGAATGTAGGGTGAAGTCGCATTTTCTCCCGAACCAATGAATGAGACTGATCCCATCTCAGCTGTAAGTGGCACGCTGAAAATCATTATAGGCCTGTTTTCTGTCCTTCCAGCCAACATACTGATATATAAACTTCACATATGTCATAAAATAGTTGGATATAAATTATTGATAGGTGAAACCAGCCCATTTGTGGTCCATTAAGACAGGGATAGAGGATCTTGGCCAAAACCCAGCTTTTTCAGCTCAAAATCAACATGAATTCTGTCCCTCTCTGTTTCCAGCTTTGCTTGCATCTTGGGCAACACCCAGAGGGATCTGTGTCTGCTCGCAAAGCCAGGGTGCCAACTTGAATAAAATATTGGGGGAGCCCAGGTAAGCCCTGCCCCACATAATCGATCACAAGATGTGGCATACGCACACCATTTGAATGGCAGTGTCCATCAACTTTGGCGGGGCCCAGCCCCTTCTAATATTTTATTGGAGGGGCAAAGGACCTCAGCCCCTAGGAGTTGGCTCCTATGTCGCAAAGCAACTTGTGACTCCGAGTGGTGTGGGCTGCTTCATGAACATAAGCAAACATTCTGAAATTCTATCCAGACCCGTGTCTCAGTCACAAAAGCTAGCCCACCCTATCTTTGCCATGGAAAAAATACAAGCCATCATTTGTTTATGCATTTTTCGCAATACAGTACAATTGCAATTTCCACCATTTTATTTAATATTAAATAACTTCAATGAGATTGTGAGGATATATATATGATATCTATTGTCCTATTTTAAAACTTTTAAAACAGTGGTGATAAACTCCCTTACGCACTGCTTGGAACTTTAGCGCATTACTGGACCTTTAGTTTATGAAAGGGGTAAGTTGATGTTGATGCTGAAAAGACACCTCCAGTAGTCCTCTTCTCCATTAGTTCCACTCCTGTCATCCTCAACCCTGGAAGGCTAAAAACTACCAGTGAGTAGAAAGAATAGCATGCAGATATGATTGGGAAGTCAGGCAAATCTCTAGGAAGAAGCCCAACTCTATGCATTGGCCTACTAAAACAGGCTGTTTATACCCATTCATAATTATGGTCAGGGCTGTCTTAAGCATGTCCGGTGCCGTGGTGCAAAGATCCCTCCCCCCCGCCCCCGTTTCCCAGAGTTGTCGACCTTTTTTAGGGAGCTGACACCACGTTACACTGCTTGGGAAAAGAAATCAGGAAACATAAACAAACTTTTTTTAGTTGCTCATTTATTAACAATGCACTTATATATACAACACCACGTGTTTTTTTTCTTGTTTTTTGCAGATTTAAGAGAGATTATCTTATTATGTAACACCTTGTTTTTAACAATGTTGATTTCTTTTTAATTTCAGATCTTTTTTAATTAAAAAAAAATCTAAATGACTGCAAAGCCAGTCCAACAGTTCTTTTTTCATAAAAACAATCCAAGAAGCTCACAGCAGAGCAAAGCCAGAAATTATAGATAAAGCCTAAATCTGGCAACAGACTGGAAGGGGTGTTTTTTTTTCTTAAACTGGTGTGTGTGTTCATGTATGCATGTGTAAAAGAGAAAGAAATCTATAAGCAAGTGATGCTATGCAGCAAGAACTAGATAATGTGATCTGCACAGAAACAACAGAATTAGGAAGCATCATTGTTTTAAACAAAAGCAAAAGATCCAGAAGGAATTGTCAGCTGGTATAGCAGTGCAACACTTTAGGCCATTTTTTGGCACAAAGAGGACAGATCAGTGTGATTTTTCATTCTAAGCACTAGCAGGGCTTTTGTTGCACTGCCCACTGTGATCCAAGCCAATTCTGCTTGTGTTCCTTTTACCCACAATAATTCTTAAGTACACACTCAATATCAGATTGCAGAACTAGCTGGAACATATCCAAGGGAAAGCATATTATTGTTCAGAGGTGCTTTCCTTTCACAAGAGATTAAAGGGAAATAAACACAGAAAAAAAGGATCATCTTACATAAATTATATGAGATAGTTCTCTGTTAAAGCGCCCGATAGGATATACTAGTAGTGGCTTATGGAACACAGGAAGCTGAATTTATTGTCCACCGTGACTGGCAGTGGTGAGGGTTTCAGACAGGGAGCATTCCCAGCTCTACCTGAAGATATTGAGGATTGAACCTGGGATTGATCTACTGCATGCAAAGCAGCAGCTCTACCACTACATGGGAATATATATGTGGGGTTCAAGACAGCCTATGGGCCATGTTCTGTAGTCTCAAATGCATGTGGGCCAGCCAAAATCTGACAAGTCACTCCTGGTCTCCTAGGAGCTCCCATCCCTCTCTCCACCCCCCCAGCTGGGAGCCAGCTAGGAGCACCCATCCATCTCTCTCTCTCTCTCTCTCTCTCTCCTAGCTGGCTCCCAGTGGCTCAAAGGGACAGGAACCTCCAGCTACTCACTCAGGATGCTGGCAAACCTTCCAAGAACGCTGTGAGAGTCAGGGGGTGGAGTCTTGAGGGGACAAAGGAGCAAGCAATCAGGCATCTGGGAATGGCTCTACACCCAATTACCCCCTATTGCACCCGCCAGGCGCCCAGGCAGCCCCTGTGGGAGGGGATGCAAAGGGGCTTCCCTGAGCCGGACACAGCGCGCTCTGATGGGTGGCTAAGAGGAGAGGAGAGGGCTGCCCCAGAGCAGGGAAGGGAGCGCGCCCTGACTCTCCTTCCCGGACACTCAACCTGTGATGCCCTCCAAAATCCTGGTGCTCTGGTGCCCCACGCCACTAATGTCTATGGGCAAGATGCCCCTGATTATGGTTAACACTGTACAGTTGGACCACATTAAGACATGGAGGCAAAATAAGACTCGGTGTGCTGAAGTGATGATCAACCCTGACATTGTGTAGGTGGTGTTTGAAAAATGTTTCCTGAAGGGTAGATATTTCTAATGTCATTAATTCACCCCAGACTGCCACGCATTTCACTAAGAAAGCAACCTTTTTTTTTTTTCTTAATAAAGAACAGCCTTCAGTGATTTGTTAAGCTATTTAACACAGTCGAGGAACATAATTTAGAATAGATTTGTGTGAATGGAGCTTTCAGAAATCACTAAAACAGTTTATTAAAGGAGGATGTATCCAAGGGGGAGGCAGCCCAGCATAGCAATTAGACCTTCTGAATTGTAGCCACCCTACCGAGCTGGGCTCTCCGCAAAAGCTTTTATTTCACAAAGTGTTATTTTTAAGATTAATAATCGAAATACCAATCTGAAGTGCCCAGTAAGCATATGGATAATTTTAGCATGTGTGGGTGGTACCATTTCAATTGCCTTGCTAGTCTAGCAATAGGCCTCTTCCAATGTATGATTTCTTTTATCATATTTATCTAAATAGTGCTGCGATAAGCAGGGTGATAATGACTTTTTAATTTAGAAAAACATAAGAGGCCCTATTCATCTTCAGAATCAATGTGCATTGTGTATCGCACAGACACTGTTGTCTGCACTTGAAAAAACTCCAAAGATGAATTATCCAAGTAGAAATGGAAAGTTCCTGGAGAGAAATTGACATTTTTTTTACACCTTGGGAAACAAATGGAATGTCTGACAGATCGTTAGTGCATTATATAATATGCTGTAACTGCCTATGTTTTCATTTTCAACTACCCAGATTGATAAGATCCATTCTTCCATAAAAACCTGGGTTAAATTCCTCTCAGATAAGAACCTGGGGGTTTGAGTCATCAATTTCACATGCGTGCATTAATAAGTATGTGTTCGTGAATAAGTGTCTTTTTCATATTAATTCACTTTTTAAAAATCTGTATTTTACATATTTGATCGCAAAATACATATTTCTTCTCAATTTATCCATTACTAAAAGTACTTTATCCTAAAGTACAGATTTTAACTTACCTTGGTACTTGTTTTTGAGCTAAGAACGTTATGTAAAAGTGCTGAATCCAGTGAATAATTTCCCTTCTGATCTACACACTAATCCCCAAGATGCGGATCAGATCATTCCCCATCAGTGTTTACAGAAATCAAATTCTTCAAGCATCTCTAGCCACTTTAAATGCAACCACATAGAAACTGTTCCATGCAATTAGATTTTCTTATGCAGTGGCTTGTGACAATCAAACTGGCACATTTCCACAGTGTAAACACTTGTGGGTGGCTTGTGGTAGGCATGCATTAGCTGCCCAGTTCATACGGTGAGCCACTGCATGCAAATGTGGGAGAGCTATGTGGCTAGTATCCACTATGGCATTGCCTGTTGTCATGAATGATACATTAGCCTCACCGCTTGAAAGTGGTGGGGGCGCACCTTCATGTGACCGGATGCCTATTTCATTCTATGAAAGGCCCCTGCCTCTTCTCAGTGTGGTGTAGTTGTTAAGAGCGGTGGACTCGTAATCTGGTGAACTGAGTTCAATTCCCCGCTCCTCCACATGCAGCTGCTGGGTGACCTTGGGCTAATCACACTTCTCTGAAGTCTCTCAGCACCACTCACCTCACAGAGTGTTTGTTGTGGGGGAGGAAGGGAAAGGAGACTGTTAGCCGCTTTGAGACTCCTTAGGGTAGTGATAAAGCGGGATATCAAATCCAAATTCTTCTTCTTCTTCACTATTTTATAGCTTGCCTAGAAATGTTTAACTAGTTCTGCCTAGAACCCTCGCCATAGAGCTCATCTCACGGGCATTTGTCTCCCTTAACCCATAGTATTAACTTCATCCATTCCTTGTCTCACTTTCTACCACTTTTCTCATTCTCAAATCAACGGCCCTCAAACTGATATTATAGCTGATTTGACTTTGGCATTCAGCTCATCTATATTGACTTCCATTACCATTACAGAAGGCGTGCTTATGTATGTAAGAGAATACAAGTATAGAGAGGGGGGATTTTTAATCAGATAATTTGGGGGGTGGGGAATGGCAGTCACACCCTTCTCCCCCCTCCTCACACAAATACACTGTCAGGCTCTTGGGGAAGGGGTCTCTGGATTTCAGCCAGTGTAGTGGAGTCTCAACCTCTGAGTTTCAGCACTTCAGAGCTCTGGTGGAAACCCAGGGGAAGGAAAGGAAGCATATCACTCTAGAGATCAGGGTCTTCTGTGTTTCATAAGCAAGCTCCATCTGCAGAGTTGGCTTTCATTGGCCAGCTCTTGCAGGAAACAGTATAAGAGTCACAAATATGAATAGGAACATTGCTAAGTCACCATCAGTTCTCATCTGAAGGCATACCAGCCCTTTCTCTCTGCACCTGGCTCCTGGCATAGTTATATAAAAAATACATGTGTGATTGTGGATTGGATTGGATTGGATTGGGCTGGGCTGGCATCTGATCTTTTGGCTCAGCTTCATAATAACTCAGACCTACAGCTGTGCCTCTGAACTTCTGGCGTGAACTTTTGATCATTTTTGGTCATTCATTCTGATCTTGTGGCTTGACCCTTTGCTCAGACAAACCCATGGAGAATAAAGCTATCAATGGCTACTAGCTGTGATGGCTATATTCTTCCGCCCCTGTCAGAGGTAGCCTGAATCACAGGCTGGGAATCACAAGCAGGAAGTGTGCTGGTATGTTCCTGTCCTTCTTGCCGACTTCTCATAGGCATTTGGCTGACCGTTGTGAAATGAGGGTGCTGGTCTAGATGGGTCACTGGCCTGATGCAGCAGGGCTGCTCTTACGTTCTGTTTCATACTTCCTACCTACTTCTGTCCCAGATGCTGACCACACTTTGCTGCCGCCCATGGCCCAGTGTCACACACCTTCCCGGATACAATGAATGTTACTTTTCTGAACTCATTTGCTTTGGAAGGTCTTGCTACTGGGTCACGTATGGAATCTTCCTAGCTGGTCTCCATGGCTACAGGGTATCTACATTATTAATTCTCTTGACTCAATAGAAAAACAGTGGGTCTGTTGCTGTTGCTTGCTGCTGCTTATCATTTTTCTCTTGTTTCACAACAGGCCATCTAGTAGCTTTCAGATGCCACCTGAAGTGTAGACTCAGATTACAGAAGATGGCACTGAATGAGCTTTCGCTGTTTCCTTTTACTTATGCTTTCCGTGTTCATCACGTTTACCAGAATTTGATCCCTGGGTATTCTCATCTGAGCTCTAAAATGGAACCTAAAGCAGGGGAGACTACTGAATCCCCACGGTTCTGCTTGCTGATCTTGCCAGTGCAGCAGGATGTTGAAATCAAGCCTCAAGATGAATTTCTCGGCAGAGGCACAGGGAGAAGGGGAGACTCGTTCATTTTAGATTTCTACGCAGAGAGCTCTTGACTGTGCAGAGTTGTCACCTTGGGAAATGCAAGTTTATGTGCCACTCCCAGAATGATAAGGAGGGAAGGGTATCCAAAGGGTATTGGGGCTGACAGGGTGATGTACGAGGGTAGAAAAATCACTAAAATGGAGCACGCTATGTCAGATATGCTTGTAGTTGTTGTCTCTTTCCTGGGAACAGAACAGACAGAGACAGAATGCTGACTTCTGCAAGACTCATTTTTCTCGAGCAAAATGCAGTCAATCTCTTTCCGTCTATTACTCTTTGCTGAGGCACTGCGTCTTCCAACTAACGAAGGTCTTGCCCTTCCAGGACCGCTGTAGTCATAAAAGATGGAAAGATCTTGTCGAGAGTCCACTTTAATTGACCCCCAAAGACAACTTAGTTTCGACTGCATTGCTTTTTGTCAAAGCTTGAGTCCTAGTGGACAGTGTTTTGCATTGGAACTCCTTAATCCCATTCAGAATTTTTTTAAAAAAATATTTTACTCCATTCTTGCATTGTATCCATGCAATTTTTAGAAAACATTAATAGAGATGATTGTGTTTACAGTCTAATATAACTTGAGATGAGAGAAACCAACAGAGCAGTATCTTGTGTTATTTCAGCCTTCCCCCACTTGGTACCAAGCTCCACTGACCGGGTTTGGTGGGGGTTGTGGCTCAAAACATCTGAAGGCCACCAGGTGGAAGAAGTGTGCTTTTTGTTTCTTAAAATGCTGACCTCTGCACCATGATCTTAAAGGCTTTTGTATGGTGCCTTTCTTAAATGCTTTTTCAAAAAAAGTTAAAGACTTTTGACAAATTCACCTAGCTTTTAGCTTGGGATGTGGAATGATCTTCCTCAAACCTGAAACTTCCAGATGTTGTTGGATTTCAGCTCCAATAAGCCCAACCAGGGATGATGGGAGCTGAAGTTCAACATCTAAAAGGTACGTTGGGTTTTAATGTATTTCTTTAAAAAAAAATTTTTTTTATTGATTTTCCAATAAGAAACAGCCAATTAATATATCCAATCATAATACTTCAATTAAAATAAAAAAACTAAAATAAAAAAGACCAAGTTATAATCAGAATTATATTTATTAATTTTTTGGAGATCCCCACAGTCCGGATCTCTGAAGCAAATCTCCACATCTTAGTCCTGCTTCTCCTCGTTGTTTCCATATTTTCCACATCTCTATTTTAACGCTCCAGGGTTTTAATGTGTTTCTATTGCTTTTATGTGAGATGCCTGGGTGGCTTTTTTAAGGGTTGAAAGACAGCATATAAATAATTTTAGAATATCTATTCCTGCATATCACGACCAATTTGAGATAATCCTTTGAACACTCAATTAAATCAACAATATTCGACCATGAACAAGTTTATGCATAAGTCCAATAAGTACATACTGAAGAGCCAAACTGGGTTATTCCATGTGAGTTGTTGTCTTCAAAGGCTGATCTGATTCCATTATTGCTGAGAAAACATAAATGTGGGAATCATATATGCAGCCTTAAGATACTTCCTTTGGCATGGCACCATCTTATATTCTTATCAGAAAATGAAATGTGGACTAGAGGAAATGATCATAAACTTGAGAAGAACTAGTGTCACATTGACACCCTTCAAACTTGCCCTTAAATGCCTAAACATTTCTTGGTCACAGTCCACTGGTAGGCATGATGAGTGAATGCAGGCACCATCCCAGCCTGTGTGCATTCAGTTGAATGTCTGCCTAATGATACTTACATGCATACAACTCACTGTGAACTCTAGCAAAACAGTTCCTGGTGATAGGGATAATGTATTTTCCACATGTGGTTGTATATGTGTGAGGTCTATGCAGACTTTCAGCTGGACATGAATCTCAGTCCCATCATGTTTCTCCATTCACCCTGGATAGGACATCTGATCTGGGCTTTCATCTCAACTTTATTCATAATTTGAAAGGTTCAGTTGTCTTGAATCCACCACAAATATTTACACCACAGAATGGTTTCAGAAATCAGCTCTTGTTGCTAGGAAACAGAAAAATTGTTCACTTAAGAAGGGTACATTTGTCCACACCTCGCACATAAACACATTTTGGAAAACGTTGCATTTCCCTTTCAAGGATACTGAGATACATCAGGTATCAATCTGTTGATGTCACTGCTGTGTCTTCATTTAGTGATGCCAGCATTAGTAAAGGACCTAACATAATCTGAGGTTTACCAGATGCAATTAAGCCAGGGAGAGAATGGGATTGGGTGGGCGTTGTTCCATTCACAATGCAAATCTGCCCAATTCATATCTCCTGAATCAATCCACAAACTGAAACAAAGCTATTCTTCAAAATTCACACTTGCCTGAATTTTGCAATGCAGTTCTACAGTAAATTTAAAAAACCCTGTATAGATATGATAGATATAGATATCAGAAGAAAGTGTGCAGAAAAATCCGTAGGGTAGTGCAAGTAATGTGGAAAGTAAAATTGCTTGTAAAAGCGAATAGCTAATGGAAGAAATGCAGACACAAATATGCATGAATTTTCATGAGGATTTCTTTTCAAAGTTTGCAAACTGATGTGGGAATGGGATGAACTTGAAAAAAACAGAAACTGAAATGGACAGATTGACCTGTCCCTACTAGGTATTGCTGTGCCTTACATTTCATACCTGTCCCTACTAGGTATTGCTGTGCCTACTTACCCTTCCTTTGGAGAGATCTGTTTGTGCAATACCCCTTGTAGGTGCAAAGCCATACTGATAGATGCTTCTGCCTTGTCATCTGGAAGCAGAGCCACCTCCCAGGACCAAGAAACAGCCAGTGCTGATAGTCCAGTACCTGATTGGTTTCTCTACTGCTGCTGTGCAACAAATTTTGGGTCAGGTTGTTCTGTACAAATCACAGAAGCTCTAGTTCAAATGGAAATAGTGCTTCAGCGGGATCACAAAAGCCCGGATCTTATTATTCAGAGGGATTCACATGCCAGGCATCATAGTGTCGATCCTGTGCCACCCTTCCTTGCTCTCTCTCATAACGCATGCTCTTAGAAAGGCTCATTTCCATCTCATTCCACATCCCGCCAAATGAACCTGTGTAAATGTAGAGAGACGACTTTCATTTCGTTTTTATTACTAAACTAAGCCCCCCCCCTTTTTATTATTTTTTATTTAGTGGGAATGTGGAAACAATCTCTCTTTGTGGGGTGATAAAAGAGGAAGGTTCATTTCCTTGGGTGTCGAGAGCACTGCCTGCCCATCTTTGTTGCGACTTTGGATGAAGAGCGGGAGCTAACACGAGACAATAAAGTGCTCAACCTCATCAGCTTTCATCTCCTTCATCCTCTGCCAGGAAGTGGGTGCCAGTGTTTTTTCTGTCACTTCCATTTTAAAAAACTGCTTTCATGGCTTTTACAAGAAAATGTCATTGTGCCTCTGGTGCAAAGGAGGAGGAATCTAATTTCATTACAGTTAAGTGCCTGCCTCCCCATTACCTTCCATAAGAGCGTAACGGTATATTATAGAGCGCTAATAAAATAGGAAGGATGGAGGTAAGAGCACATGTCAGGAAGCCAAATTACTTTGGGCCACCTAGTTGCCTTCTCATTTCACCCGGGCGGCTGCCTTTCCCACAACCTAATTACAGCATTTTCTGGGACTTTGCTACCCAGCGATAACCGGCTGGCAATGCTTTTGTGTAGCTGAGACATGGCACGGCGTGAGCTTTGGTCTTCATCCTTGCCACCAAATAATTGCTTCTGACGGCTGTATTAATCTCCAGAGACTTCGGAGTAAATGAAATATGAACATTTATCTTTTATTCCCATGTGCCACCGGCGTGGACTGGGGCAAATAAGTGGGAAAGGAGTGCCTTTGCAGTCCCTGACTGTATTACTGATCAAAGGGACAATATTCACCCAGTTTCTCTGCTCCGTGGCAGATCACAGGCCAGATCATTAACTGTGTGTCTCATCCACTTAGCAAAGTGTGAGGCCCTTGTCGGCTTGAATCAGTGTCACCGTGTGCAGGTTTGAGAGAAAAGGCAGGCTGGCTCTGTGTGAGAGTGTGTGCTGTATTGTGGAATTCCTCTGATAAAAAAGAGTGGGTTGATCAAGCTTTACTTTATTTGAGTAAGAAGTAGTCTTTGGGATTGGGATTAACCCTTTGGCATCCTTCTAGTTGCAGTTAACTTTGTTACAAGATCAAAGCAGGAAAGCTGCTAATATGTGCAGTGCCAGGTAACTTGAGCGCTGCAGCTGATATTCAGAAAAGGGCAACCAAAAATGATCAGAGACTATGAAGAAAGTTTGCAGCATATAGGACTTTTTAGTTTCAAGAAAAGGCGAGTAAGAGGTGGCTTAATAGTTTAACCCTCCAACATTTCTCCAATGAAAATAGGGACGTCCCATTCCATAATGATAATTTTACTATTTATAAATATAAATCTTACTGGGTTGCCCCAGCCACTCTGGGCAGCTTCCAACATATATAAAAACATAATAAAACATTAAAACTTTTTTTAAAAAAAACCCGTCCCTATACAGGATTGCCTTCAAACAGCTTGGGAGTCAGGTAACTCCATACCTTTCAACATTGCTCCAATGAAAATAGGGACCTCCTAAGGAAAAGCGGGACACTGGGATCAAATCAGAAACCAGGACAGCTTCTTTAAATCAGGTACGTCCCTGGAAAATAGCGTCTGCCACGGCATGGAGAAAATAGAGAAAATGTTTCCTTCCTTTCTTCCTCTCTCGTAACATCAGATTCAGGACAGATAAAAGAAAGTAGTTCATAGCACTGCACATAGTTAAACTATGGAACTCGCTCCCACAGGAGCCAGTCCTAGCCACAAAAGTAGATAGCTTCAAAAGAGGATTAGACAAATAACTGGAAGAGAAGGCTGTCATTCCTCTGACTGCCAGTTACAAGGAAGCTCCTGGTGATGAAAAATCAGGGCAGAGGGGCTCCTCCCCACAGCTTTGCTCTGTCACTGGCAGTTTTGCCACTGGCAGGGGTGGGACGCTTCAAACTCAAAGACCAAATACTGCCCTCTAAGCTTCTCTGTCTGGCCCCCAGACCACACCCCTCACCGGACCACGCCTCTCCATGGCCCCGCTCCATGCCTTCCTGAAATATGCTCTTAAACTGTTATTGTGTCTGTTGGTTGCATGGATGGAGAAATGTGGGTGGGTGTCAGAAACACCAGACTAGAGTCTGATTTTTTCAATTTAAAAATGCTGTATAACAGTAAGACTCACTTCTCCTGCTCCACCCACTTTTGCACTGAATCCCACCCGCTATTGGCATGTGCCCATGTTGTCCATGACTGAATGTGGATCTTGGACTGAAAAGGATTCCCCACCACTGGCCTAGGGAACCCCTCCCCAACCATCACTGTCAATAAAGCAATGTAGGTTCCTTGAACAGCCATTGTCAAATTCCTAAGAGCACAGATCAGTTTGGTAGGTGATTCTCTCAAGCACCCATCATTCCTGACTGCTTAGATATGAGGTTTGATCTGGATCATCAGACGTTATTTTGCTTTTAGAACACTATAGGGACTTGTAAATGACTTGTTTTAGAATAACCCTACTCCTTAGAACAAGAAACCTCCTGTGTAAGGTATTGTACCACATCTCCACGGTGTTCCTTTGAAATCTGGACATGAGTTGCCCTTACAACGTTCACATATAAACTGTATATAAATATAAACTGTAAGAGGTTTCATCAGGTATCACACCTTTCTCACTTTGTGTTTGACTCATGATTCAGAACTTCTTGCTTGTGTTGATTAGATGCATATCAGAAACTTGAACATTTTCACATGCAGAAGCTAAAGCACACATGGATCCAATGTGGAAATTATAGAAATTTAAAAGGTGTGTGTATGTGTGTTTACTTTATCTGTGCTTGAATTACTTTCAGAGAGCGTTCTTATGGGAGAAGAAGGATAAGATATCTGGGTATTGATCTACCTGCAGGGATCCATTTTCAGCAAAGGCTATCAAAGACTTTCTGTATCTTTAAGAATTGCTCATGAAATTGTAATGAGCCATCTATAATCCTAAACAAAGCAAAAGAAAACCCCTGGGCAGGGCAGATAGTCCTTTGAAAGAGTTGCTTGTCCTCTGAAGTGAGGGGTAGGGATTGTTATAATTGGGTATTAAGCCCCCTCTACCTGTCTTCTGAGTTAATTTTCTTTAAAATATTGGTAGGATTTACTTAGTTATGATCATCTTTCTTTCTTTTTTTAAGGCCTGTAATGCAGTAAGGGAGCAGGGGTGGCATCCTGCAACTAAAGATTGATCGCCTGGCCAGAATATTGCTGGCCTTGCTTGTATCTGGCAGTGGAACTTTAATCTTAAGGGGATGTCGGGATGATGAAAAATCACTCCCAGGCTCTCTCGTTAACTAGTAGCTTTTATGTTTGTTCCTTTTCAAACATTAAATGTAACTGACTGTTGTACTTCGGCATTGTATTATCATTCCAGCCTGATCTTTCATGACACCCAAGGGCAACAGACAACGAAACGGGGGCCCTTTTCTTTTCGTCCTCCTGCTGCAAATTCCTGTATGCTTCCAGAGGCAAAACGTTCATTTGGCTCGTTTCTAGTCCACCTGAACTATGGAAGCCTTTCCCATAATCTTAACTAATTGGAATTTCCCTACAGGACCAGAGGCAGCTATTTCCACATACCTGTGAAATTTGATGGCCACACAGTATATGTGTGCATGCTATTTGTTTATTTTGCTTTTTATTCAACCTTTTCTTCAAGGTGTTCAGTGTGGCACAGGCATTCTTCCTTTCTATCTCTGTGACCTCCCTGCAACATAGGTCAGACCAGAGCTGGAGCTTGGACTAGGATCACTCAGGGAGTTTCATGACTGAATGAGGATTTGAACCCAGGTCTCCCCACTCCTAGCTCTGTCCACTACCCCATGTGTCACACCTACAAATGCGTACATGCACACACTTTATGTAAGGCTCAGCATTGTGGTTTGTGACATGTTCCAGATAAATACTAGGCAGTTCCAGAGAGCAGCACTGAGAGGATGCCCTGTGGCCACCTGGCATTTGAGTTACGGCTTGCCACAGGGCAGTATTTTGCCCACGATGCTATTTAACCTATGAAACCATGTAGAGTGGCCTTATTTTGAACGAAGTGTCATTAGTATTATGATGACACACAGCTCTGTTTCTCTGTAAGATCTGAAACAGAAGTGACCGTGTGACCGTGCAGGCTTTGGACTAGCGTCCGGGGCAGTGGTTGGCTGGATGAGGACCAATAAGCAGAGTTTAAACTCCAGCTGAGACAGAGGCTCTTTGAAAGAACAGGTATGTAGTCTAGGAATGCTGCTTGATCCATCTTTGCTATTTGAGTGAATTTTTCCAGCTTCAATTAGTAAGGCAGCTTCAGCCGGGCCTCCACTGAGATAGCTTGGCCACTGTGGTTTTGGTGATGTCAATACTACATTACTGAAATGTGCTCTATGTAGGGTTTCTTTAGGGCTTAACCCAAAAGGTGCAGCTAGTGTAGGATGCAATAGCTAAGTTGTTTACCAGGGGGGCGGTATACCATTGACACCATATAATACTTCTGCTGAAGGAGCTGTAGTGACTGCCAATGGACTACTGGATGCAGTTTTTTGTTTGGTTTGGTTTGCTGTTAGCATTTAAAGCCCTAAAGAGGGGACCAGGTTACCTAAAAGAGCCCCTTGCCCCATAAAGCAACTGTGTTCCTTAGGTGGGACACTGCTGAGAGTACAGTATGCCGCAGAGATGAGCTTACTTTTTATTACAACTGGGCTTTTAGTGTTGCAGCTCCAGCCCTCTGAAATCAAGTACCAGCCAAAATTGACATATTGATGTTTAGGCACCTACGGTTTATTTAAAAAGCTGTGGCCCAGCCATTTACTTGTTATACATCTATAGAAATGCTTTTATTGGGACAGATCCAACTCACCCACTCCACTAGTGGAAATCAGAGCTAGGACTCTAATGCAATAGGGCTGCCCCACTCCTCCCACTGTGTCATAGGTGTCAATGTTTCCCATTTTTAAAGGGAAATTCCCTTATTACAAATAGGATTCCTCACAAGAAAAGGGAAAAGTTGACAGCTATGCACTGTGTGCCCTCCATGACTCCTCAAAATTCCTTCTGAAGGATCAAGAAAGCACCCAGAACAGCATGCAGGGGAGAATAGGGGAGATTGTTCTGCTAAGCAAGCAGAAATGATTTCAATGAAAGAAAAATCTACTCTGAATTCCACCCTACATTTGTTGTGGACATCGTAGGAATGGTTTTTATTGTTTTTAGAGTTTATAATTCTTATACTTTATCTCATTTTATCATGTTGTATACCACTTCAACAACCTCTGTCTATGAAGCGGTTTATAAATCTGTAAAACGAATAAAGTAAAATAAATAGTGTTCTGAACATGGGCATGTCTTGAGTTGAAACTAATTGAAGTGAGTAATCAATTCAGGATGCAATTTTGCGGGGATTCCATTATTTATTGTGTTTCATAGCCATTGTGAAAAGTAGATGGAAAGGAATGAATGACGCCATTGAAAAAGGGTAACCAACACACTGACCCCAATCCAGCTAAAGTTCAGTATAACTAAATGCCACTGGAAGCAATGAGCCTTGAATTGCTGGCAAGCCACTTTCCCCCTTGGTTTCAAGTGAGAACCTTAGCTGGATTGAGGGCATTATTAGCAATCAGTTGTAAACTGGGAAGGAATATGTGATTGTTTCAGTCGCACGTACTTTGGGTTAGCTACAGGCTGAGTTTCCATCGAGCATGAGAGCTAGGGGTTGTACTGAAGGCTACAAGCTCAACTGCGTACAAAACAGGCACAATAATTGTGTTTATTATGTTGAGGCTCAAGGGAATTGTATTAACAAAAAATACAACTTGCTTACTTTAGCTAGAGTTGGAAATGCAAGGTCAAAATCTCGGTAAAACCATTCACTAAAATGCCACTCAATGTGTTCATATATTTGGAAACATCAATACTGTAAAGGTGAAACCCCATTCATATTCCATGGACAATATGACGTGAGACCATTAAACACTCTATCTATGTTTTGCTGCAAGAGCTTTGTCTGAATGGGCTTTGCATACTATGGGTAATAGGCAGCTAAATCATACCCAGAATAGATACTTGTGCATTTATTTCAGTGGGTTTACTCTGCGTACAACTAACATTGTCACTCCATGTGTTTTTGCTTGGAGAAACATTGTGTTCTCTTTCATGGGTGAGATTCCCATTCCCCAGTTTTATGCTCATGAGAACCACACCATGTACCAAGGACAGCCAGTGTGGTGCCCTCCAAATCCTTTTGGACTCCAGTTCCCATCAGCCCCAGCTAGAGTGGTCAAGGATGGTGGAAACTGGAGTCCAGCAGCATCTGAAGGGCACCCTTGTCACATAACATGCTGGTAACTCCCACCATATCTGTCTCCATCAAGCACATTTTGCCAATCATTTCAGCTTTTCAAGCATGCCATGATGATGCCTGCCATTGACAGTTTGTTATATTCCTTCGTCAGATCCCCTGTTATGGCTGGAGGTCTGTTCGCTGTTAACAGAAAGTGGTTTTGGGATCTCGGTGGCTACGATCCAGGTTTAGAAATCTGGGGAGGGGAGCAGTATGAAATTTCCTTCAAGGTAAGCAGTCAAAATGTTTATTCATGGTACACGCTGCTTTTATATGGTACGAGGCATGCACTATATCTCTAAAACTCAAACGAAATGAGATGTAGTCAAGTGTATTTGTCTACTGACTTCCCCCCCCCCTCCTTCAACCAAAAGTAGCCACAGGAGGCTGTAAGCTTTAGCGGAAGAATAGAGGAGCAGAGTGCTTCTTAGCCCTTTACCCTCCAAGAGTTTCTCTGTTCACAATGATCCCTTCCAAGATGCTTTCCCATATGAGAAGACACATGTACAGTAGTACCTTGTGGATGTTGTTGGACTACACCTCCCACCACCCTTGGCCATTGCCTATGTTGGCAGGGGCTGATGGGAGTTGTAGTCCTTGAGGACGCCGTGTTGGCTGCCCCAGGGTTAGCAAGTCAGAGCGGGCCTGGAGTGACCCAGGTTCAAAGTCCCACTCAGCCATGAACTTTTAGAATGACCTTGAGCATTGCCTACCTTTTAGCCTAACATATCTTACAGGATTGCTGTGAGTATAACCTGGGGAAGGCTGGGGGCAGACTGACCTTGAGCTTCTTGAAAGTAATTGCCTTAAGTTACTTGGAAGAAACATTGGGTAATAACTTTGGAGTAGTTGTAGTAGCAGCAGCAGCCGTTAATAGCTATCCACCCCATCCGCCTCTGTTGCTTTGCTCAAACTAACAACCTCTCAAGGCTTTTGGGGTGGTTGTTTATTGTTTTGTTTTTAAGTTGGGCCACATCTAGTTTTGGGCGTGTGATTAGCCTTTTGGCCCCTGGGATATTCCTTCTAAGTATTGCTCTATAACATAAACTCCATTTTGAGCACACCAAAAACCAAAATGCCATTTACAATGTAATCACTACAATGTGACTCCTCTCTACCGAGCCACATTTTGAAAAACTACACAGTTGCCTCCATATAATTTCCATTGCCCAGATACATTGTGCATGTAGGCAATATGGGCAACTTATCTTATGTGCAGTCATAGCTAGAAATGGCTGGACCCAAGGAAGAGTTGCAGAATAGCCAAAGCTGCTAAAGGAAAACCTAGCCTGGAGGGGAGATCTCCACTCTGATCTCAGCAGGGCAGTAAGAAACCCTTCCAGCTGCCTATACCATAATTATTTGGCTCCGCCACACCTGGAATTACATAAGGAAAACCAAGACACATAGATGCCTACTAGGAATTTAAGTACACATCTGTTTAGGTCATGCGAGTGAATAATACTGGGTATGATGGATGAATAGTATAATCTAGTATAAGGCAGCCTTTTGTGTTTTACAGCAGTACATTTCAGTCTTTCTGACATTCATTTATGTCACAATTTCTATTCTGCCTTTCTGCGCCCAGTGCATCCGAGACAGCTCACAAGGCAACTAAAACACCACAGACACAACCAAACAATAAAATATATTTGAAAATTATAGTTAGGTCCCAGGTTCAATCCCTGGCATCTCAAGACAGGGCTGGGAAAGATTCCCAGAGACCCACTGCCAATCGGTGTCAACAATACTGAGCAAGATGGACCTATCTTCTTAGCTATAGCCCTTGACTTGTGCATGCTGATTTCCCCTGAGCATGTACACTTACCGTATTTTTCGCTCTATAACACGCACCCGACCATAACACGCACGTAGTTTTTAGAGGAGGAAAATCCGTAGGCATGCCACCCGTAGGCATTTCCTCCATAACACGCACAGACATTTCCCCTTACTTTCTAGGAGGAAAAAAGTGAGTGTTATGGTGCAAAAAATACGGTAAGCATCCTTTGAGTCTCATAAGGCAGAAAGTTGTCAAGGCAAAATAATGTGACTGTTCTATTAAGAAAGCTAGATGCATTTGGAAAGTGTACAAGGTCAGTTCAGTTGTTTCACAATTGAAAGTGTCATAGAGAATTACAGCGGAACCTCGGTTGTCAAACATAATCTGTTCCAGAAGACCGTTCGACTTCCAAAACGTTTGATAACCGAGGCGCAATTGCCGGCTGGCAAATTGCTTTTCAAAAATGGAGAAACACACCTCAGAAGTTGTTCGACTTCCGAAGCGTGTTCGAAAACGGAAGCATTCACTTCCAGGTTGTCAGCGTTTGGATACCAAATTGTTCAGGTTCCGAAGCGTTCAACAACCAAGGTTCCACTGTGCTTTGCTTATTATGTAGTAGGCATTGTGTTTAATGTTGTTACCATCTTCCTGCACCCCTCGAAAAGTTCAGGTCTTGATGACGCTCACACCTGGCCTTCTTGCACTGTAAGATGTTGTTACTACAACTTTTTTCTGTAAGTAGCACTTGTATTTAGCTCCAAGTCATTGCCTAGTCTGATTTAATCCTCCATGATGCCTGCTCTGTGTTTACCACTGAATAAATTTAATGTGTCAGTCATTGATTGGCTTTGTTGCAAACCTCCTTATTCTCTTCAAGCATCAAAGGGGCCTAAAAGAAGCCTTTCCTTTACAAACGTGTTGCATGCACACACTGAATTCAAGCACGTGCACTGACTGAATTGCACAGAAGCTGTTGGGGATGCCTCTCCTCCAGATTGCCCAAGTGGATTTGAGGGTGTTTTCCGCAGAATCAAAGTGACCCACGTGAACTGAACTGGTGTCACGTAACTTCGAATCAATTCCATACTTACAGAAAACAAAAGCTGAAAGACAAGAGGAGCCTACAAGCTAAACCAATGGACATTTTGTTTAGAGTACATCAGTTTGCACTCTCTGTTGTTAGGATGTTTCAGAGATAAATGAATGCTGCCTCTTGCATCTCACAGTTCTGACAGGAGGCCTAAAGATTGTATTATCCCATTTCCTAGTCCCCTGTTATTTGTCATTGGAAGGAATATAATTGCAAGGCAGTCCATTGCTCTCTGTGCAGAAACCATGGCAACCATACTGGAAGCTCGGATACTAAATAGTCCCGACCTGTTTTGTTCAAGTGACAGATTCTTTGGAGAGGGCTGTGTTATGCTGGGCCCTCATTTCAGCCATATCTCTTCATTCATCTCATTACCATGAGTTGACCTAAGGGTCCACGTCCTTCTGCATGAATATATTTTGAACAAGATATCAACAGCATTTTGTAGCATTTGCCTTGAAGAAATAAGAACTCACTCTGAGGCGTGTGTGAATGTAGGGAGCTCAGTAGAAAGTGCATGCGGAAAAAAGCATTTGGGGTGGGGATGCTATTGATGGGGCAAAGTAATGGGGTGTGGAAGTGAAATAAAATGGAGCCATGGCTTAGCATCATCTCGTGAGAGTTCCCAGAGATGGCAGCTACAGTGCTGCACCTGTGGTCCTGCTGCACCACCACTGAGAGCTAAGCCAAGACAACATAGTTTGCGCACACTGAGAGGATGACCTCCAAACCATCCTAAATATCTTCGCAGAAGCTTATGAAAAGCTTGGCCTATCGCTCAACATCCAAAAAACCAAAGTGCTGCACCAACAAGCACAAAACAACCCCTCTGCAGCACCACAAATCCAACTCAATGGTGTAACATTGGAAAATGTCGATCACTTCTCCTACCTGAGCAGTTATCTTTCCACAAGGGCCGACATTGATGCCGAAATCCAGCATCGCTTGAGCTCTGCAAGTGCGGCTTTCTCCCGATTGAAGTGCAGAGTGTTTGAGGACCGGGACATTCACAGGGAAACCCAAATGCTTGTTTACAAAGCTATTGTACTACCAGTCTTACTGTATGCTTGAAAAACATGGACCACTTATAAACGCTATCTCCAACTCCAGTCCAACTCCTCAAAATATTCCATCAATGGTGTCTCCGAAAAAATTTACACATCACTTGGGAACTAATCACAGGCGAACTAATGCCAGTGTACTGGAAGAAGCAAATATCACCAGTGTCAAAGCAATGATTCTTCAACATCAACTTTGTTGGACTGGTCATGTTGTGCAAATGCCTGATTATCGTCTTCCAAAGCAACTACTCTATCCTGAACTTAAAAATGGAGAGTGTAATGCTGGTGGTCAACAAAAGAGGCTGAAAGACTCTCTCAAGGCAAATCTAAAAAAATGTAGTATAAACACTGACAACTGTAAAACACTGGCCTGCAAGCGCTCCAATTGGAGAACAGCCTTTACCAAAGGTGCCATGGGCTTTGAAGACTCTTGAACTCAGGACAAAATGGAGAAACGTGATAAGAGGAAGGCACGCTTGGCAAACCCTCACCGTGATCAACTCCCACCTGGAAACCTATGTTCCCACTATGGAAGGACGTGTGGATCCAGAATTGGCCTCCACAGTCACTTACGGACTCACTGTTAAAACTGTGTTTATGGAAGACAATCTTACTTGGCTACGAGTGATCGCCAAAGAAGAAGAAAGTTTGTCTTAAGTGTGCTATCCAACCTGAGCTCATGGTTTGTCTACTCCAGACAAACCGCAAGCTGTAAACCCAGGAACAACCCTTGGATACAGCATGAGGTTTGTCTGGAGTGAAACAAACCACAAGCCTGGGCCACCATGCTAAGCCAAACCATGGCTTAGCTGCTCACATCAGTGGAGCAGGAGCGGAGCAGGAGCAAAGCAGCTGTGATCCCTTCTGTGGGAAGCCTCGTGCATCTGTGCTAAGTCATAGTTTGGTTTAGTGTTGTGTGCAAACCATCTCTTTCTGTAGACTGCTCAGGGGTGGAGTAGAAGAAAACAGAGTCTAGTGACCAGAGCCTTCTGTATAGGTAAAAAGGGATAGTAATGTTTAGCATTTATATTGCACTTATTGAACCAGCTACTGAGTCTTTGGGATCCTGGCAGAGCCCTTCAGCACTGGCATCTGCTCCAGGCCCCTCATATCAGGTGGGTGGTTCTGACAGTCACCATTCTAATTTCCCCAGTGCCCTGGATTGACACAAGGTCAGGCACTTTGGGGCATTATGGGGATTTAAAATGGCAGCTCACAGATGCTTTGGGAGTGCTGCTGTCGCTACAGCTCACCAGAGGGCATGTTGCCCACTGCCCCTTCAAACATTGAATCTTCCAAGTCTCTATCCTAACAACAGCCTTGCAAGGTCGGCCAGCATAATTTCCATATTGTAAATTAGAGATTGAAGCACAATGACTTGTTTTTAGGGCTTTGCACATGCAATTTCAGTTGGGGACTTTCTGGCTCACTGCTCACATCCTTACAATTTTGGGTCAGATCAGAATTCATACATGTTCATTACCTGCACATAATAAGGTCATCAAACTTAGAAAGTAAGTTTGGACTGTGTTGAGCTATGGACAAAAACATGCTTTGAACAGGGCTTTTTTTCAGCCGGAACTCAGTTCTGGCACCTCTCAGATGGGTGCCATTGTCATTCTAAGAGAATGAGGGAGGTGTTCATGGTGAGTTCTGATACCTCTTTTTCTAGAAAAAATAGCACTGGCTTTGAAGAATACAAACTGAAAAGGAATTACAACTTTCCCATTTTGGGATGGAAAAGTGTTTGCAGAGTAGATAAACAAAAAAAGTATATGACTTCAGTGGCCTGCCTGTCAAAATGGCCTGTGGAGAGTGGAGCTGAATCCAGTCCAACACTGCATCCACTTCACCACCCCTGGGGTGCATTTTGCAGTGACTAATTGCAAGATTACAAACTACACTCTACTTTTAGCAATGGCCAAATGCATCTTTTTCAGCTAAGTAAAATCTTCCTAAAAGTCTCTTCCTGAAATAATCTTGCTTAAAGGCTGATTGAAACATCCAGGCTAAATATGTTTGCGGTACAGCTTTAAAGTAACAACAGCAGGAAGCTGCTGCTGAAGACCAACTTTTTTACATATGTAAGAGAAGCAGAGGTTTGATATGCTAATTCCACAGTGTGCAAAGATAAGGCAGAAGTACTAAAAGACTCCTTGAGCTATTAATATGCATGCTAACAGTACCAAATAAGATTTTTTTTTAGCAAACTTCTCTATTTTTGTTTGGAGAGAAGCTCAGAACACACTTTTGAAAAGGGATGGAGAGGGCGAAGATTTGCAATTAAGTAAACAACTTAATTCTGTGGCTGGCCTAAGAGGATTTATTAATGGGAGCCTTGGGTGGGGTGGTGGAGGAGCTATATTAGACACAGATGCATGTAACAAGGTAGTGACAATGGTTATGAAGAAGCCTAAGGACGCTGAAATGCTGTGTCTCGAAGCAGATGGGAAGAGGTTAAGTGAGTGCTTAGCCCTGTCCCCCATTTTCTGTTTTTCAAAATGGACAACCAACTGTTCCCCCCTCCCTTGGTCCTTCATATGGAACAGCCTGACTTATAGTTCGCCATTGTCTCACCTAATTTGGCATTCAGCTAATGCATGAAGATCTAAAGGATAATGAAATACTAAAAAAGTTAAATGAAATAAGATACAGTCAGCCTGCAACTTATTTGGGGGTTATGTTCCAGGGATAGAGCCTAAAGCCAAAATCGTGTATAGTCAAAACACATTGGGTTCAATGACAGGTGAGATTGCCGTAGTCTTTTCCCCCGGAACCCCTCCCTCTTTCTGCCATATATATATATAATTTTGCCAAGCGCATAAATCTGAATGTACGCAAGTTAAATGTGCACAAGTTGCAGGATTACTGTATGTTAAAGCATGTTGTAGGCATGGCCTTCTCTTCCAACAATACTAATAAAGATGCATATTTGAATAGATGGATAAAGCTTGGATTCAGTCCCAGAATTTAGCCAGTCTGAAACTTTGAGAAGAAACCTAAACATTATAATTTACCATTTGCCTGCAGTCAACCATTTTAGCTGCAAGTCAGCCTTAATTTTGTGCTACCACTGTAGCCATGTCTCTTGGTTTTATCTGTTACATTTGACTGGTGTTGTTATTATCCACTGTGCCCTGTGATATATATGAAGCTTTGATTGGACACTGCAAGACAGATAATGTTGTACTGAACTCCCTGTTCCCTTGCCATTTAAGAACCCAGAACAGCAACAAAGGCGGTACTTTAGAGATCTAATTATCTCCTTCAGGCAGTATATGTGTGTAATATTCTTATCAGATGTCACTTCATTGTCACTTATGCACTGCTTAGGTGAGCACCATCAAAGAAAGCAACCATATATATTTTGAAACTACGTCAAACGGACGTGTATACTGTATTGTAATTCACAGCAAAGGTAACTGCTGGTTTATTAAGTTCAAATCAAATATAGCACAGGGGCGGATCATTCAGCATAAATGTTGGTGGAGGAAAATACACCCCTCCCGTGCTCTTTTGTGATACTGACACGCTTACAGGTATTCACGAATTGAAAAACCAGTTTCTGCTGAGGGCGGCAGCACTGATACCATAGGCAATTTTTTTTTTCATATCTTCTGGCATCGTTCCAAACACAGTTCATACTGCCATCTGTGAACCCTCAAGGTATGATGAAATGGTGGCGAGAAATAAAATGGTGTGCATGTGAACATATGGGAAAGAAACCGTACAACTGAGTTGTAGCCATGCTGACACCTTCCACCATTGGTGGGAAGGCAGTTCTTGGCTGGAAATTCTCCCTGACTTCTCCTTTTTGCCTTCTCTCTTCTGCCCTGTAAAGCTCAACTAAGAATTCAGATCAGGTTACCAGGAAAAACAGAGCCTCATGTCACTATTGTGCATTTTGTTGTGTGGACGGAATGGCAGGGTCCATGCTGGCTCAGCTTATGGTCCTTTCAGTGCACAAGCACCATTTCTCAGGATACAGTGGTACCTCAGGTTAAGTACTTAATTCGTTCCGGAAGTCTGTACTTAACCTGAAACTGTTCTTAACCTGAAGCACCACTTTACCTAATGGGGCCTCCTGCTGCTGCCGTGCCGCCAGAGCACGATTTCTGTTCTCATCCTGAAGCAAAGTTCTTAATCTGAGGTAATATTTCTGGGTTAGCGGAGTCTGTAATCTGAAGCATATGTAACCTGAAGCGTATGTAACCCGAGGTACCACTGTACATTATATAGGCAACCCATCGTCATCTCTTCCGTCTCTTGTCTTTTTTTTAACAATTGGATTTATTAGTGCAGTTTAGGTTTTTTTTTGTTCCCTTTGTTTAAGCTCCTCACATTCACAGCTGCCTGATCTGTAATTATAACCAGACATGGCAGTATGTGTCTTAATTATGCATGAGTGACAAATGCCTTTTTAGACACTGTTCCCTGTGCTTGAGATCTAGCGTCAGTTCATCAGTGCACTCTGGAGAGCAGAGGCCCTGCTCGTACACCCGTATATGACCCAAAGCCTGCCAATCCAAGCAGCAGCAATGGCTCCTGCCACCCTTGGGATCTCAACATCCCTTATTTTTATGGTTCTTTCACTTGCTTTCTGCTTCACCCCTTGTCATCTCTTTCATCCTCTTCACGGGAAAAGCTGGTAGGAAATAAGGAGCTCTGACAGTGGTGGCTGGTGCCCATTGGGATTGGTAGGGCAGAAGGCAGGAAGGCCTGCAGTAGGAAGGGCAGAAAGAGGCTGTGCCAGCAACTCACTGTTCAGAATAGGAATGGAAAGTATCAACGTTGAGCTTACCTACGCAGGTTTTTTCCTGTTCCCATGTTGATTCTTGATCTTGCCAAGAGGCAAGGTGTTGTTGTTTTTTAAAGTTTTGCTAAAAATACAAACAATTCTCACATCATATATGCTTTATTATACGTATATTATATGGATAGTATACACATACACAGTAAAGCTTTCCTAAAGTGACCAGTACACAGAGATGCAGACAGCAATGCGTATAAATGTATAAAAATACTTACATATCAATGCTTACAAAGTTATGCTACAGAAACATACTACTGCATGAGACTATTTTTGCATATTGTCTGTATAAAATATGTATTTTTGTCATACATTTTTGGATATAATTAGAGAGGCTTTTTGGTTTTTTTAAAAAATGAGCCACTCATATATAAGTGGGCACTCAAAGAGGTGATATGAAGGGAAAGCTAAATCTGGTCAGACCCACCACATTTCACATATAAACCTTTTAAAAAACAGTTTCCTCCTCCACCCCTACTTCAGAACAAGCAATATTCAGCAAATCTTACCAGACACCAAAAATATCTGTTGTTTGGTTGTTGTTATTTATTAGATGGGTTAGGGCGCTTGCTACCCAAAGGTCTCTGAGCATCTTACAACACACTGAAAAACATAAACACAAATGCATTGTTCCATTAACAGAATTCATACAAAACACCTGGGACTCAGCTACACAGCTGCAGATAAAACATTTTAAGTGAGTTTTAAGTGCAATGTACAATGTGACAGTAGATGACGATGGTGAGCCGTGCGGAAAATTCAATGTATTTTTTTAAACACTTTTTTTATATATAAAAAAGCATTTTCAGAACGGTTTTATGTGTGTAGTTCATGAACCCTGCAGTTCATTAACACAACAACAACAACCCCTTCCCCTTAACAGCCACAGGATGTTTGCACCAATATTGTCAAGCATGATTTTTTGCCTCTTGGAAGTGGGCTTATAGCCCATGCTGAGACATCCTGGATTGCAGGTCCTCAGTGAAGTGTACCTGTTGGTTACCTTCATATCCCACCTTTCCTCCAAGAGTTCAAGGTCATATACATGGCTTTCCCTCACTCCTATTTCTCTCCCCCATGCTTGGGCTCTAATTCTACTTATATCACAGGCAGGCGAGAGCTCAGCATATCGTTTGCAGGGAATGGTGTCTCCTGTAGAAGATCAGCTTACACAAGGCTGCAACAACTTTTCTCGTGTTATGTGCCAAAGTGCCCACCCCCTCTCTCTCCCCTTATCAGTCCTACCTCAGCACTGCCATTTAGCAGAAGCCAATTATAAAGGCAGTGAAATGTTGGCATATATTTTCATTAGCATAATACAGCAAACAGCATAAAAATGCTAATTCTGCATCCCAACAGTTTAAGACTTTAGGAAATTGCTATGCAAATAATTATTAAGAGGGGTGCGTTAGGTTCCTCCCACCCCCCTTGCCAAGAACGTACAGTGAGAGCAGCTAACTCAGAGGGGATATATCATTATTACTGCTGCAAGGTGTACACTTGCAGTGAAATACTGCTTTTGTTGGTGGAAAACCAATGAAGGCAGCATCCATTAATCACAAGGAGCAGGTTGGTGCATGCAGGTCAGCTCAGGGCAGAGAGCCCAATCGGAGTTTTGGGTGAAAGCTCCTGCGTCGAAAGTGAGAAATGTCTTTTTCTTCCTGCAGACATCCTCAGTGGTGCACTTTGGTAATATTGGATTCTGGACTTTAATGGTCTCAGGGGTGTATGTATTCCTTTGAAGTGGGATAAGTGACCCCTGCTGCTTTGGGGGACCCTCTTGGTCATTCTGCTGAGTGGGGAACCAAAGCCTTGCTCTAACAACACCACTTAACTCCAATTGTGTTCTTTTATGTAGAGTGTGTATGCAAACTATGCTAAGAAGAAAGTGTGGTGGTTTTCTATTCCTGAGCCAAAGTGTCTGCCCAGCCCAATTCCTTAAGGATCCAGTCCATAGCTTTGGAGAGCTTTTGGATGCATCCCTCCGTATGGGATCCCCACCTGGCAGTCGGTGTTTTAGATTTGCTCACCCTTGGAAAAGGGAAGAGCTTGCCAGAATTGTTCATGAATCTGCAACATCCAGGCTGGGTTACTGCAATGCATTACTATGCATGGAGCAGCCTTCAGAAGGCACTTAAGAACCTCAATTGGTTCAGAATACAGGGTCCAGGGCGGTAGCATTGGCAGGTGGGCTGGGCAGTAGCTGGTTCCTTCCCCACCCATAGGTGCCAACTCCTAGGGGCCCAGGTCCCTTTTCCCCTATTACATTTAAGGGGGGCACCTCCACCACCCCCGCAAAGTTGATGGGCAATGCTTCCTTCCTTTCTTTCCACATTTGGACTTGGGTTTCCCAACAACCCCTGTAAGCGAACTTATAAAAGGGCTGCTGGATGGCAAGAGAGCTGGGATCAAGAAGTGGGGTGAGGTGGGAGAATAAACCTTCACCAACACTAGGTACCTCCGTTGTTAAAATCAGGGGGTGGGTGGGGATTATCTGCCCACCACCACCAATATTTTATTCATGTTGGCGCCCCTGTCCTCACCCTACATGCAGGAGCTTCCTACGTGTGGTTTAGAGAGCACACATAGGTCAGAAAAAGTGGTTCTGCCACAATGCCTCAAACCTCCCCCCACCCCCAACATTTGAAAAGGGATGCCGTTTATGACAGACCTAGAACACAGAACCTGAATTTGGATCCAGTTCCTCTCTTGAAAGCCTCCTTTTGTTTCCCTGGCTCCTTTGCAGTATTTGTTTTGTTTTAGGCAGCAATCCCACCCAAAAAACCTTATGTGGGGCTATTGGGGGGAGGGGGGTTGGACCGAGCAGAGACATCCCTCCTCCCACTTCTGCTGGCTCAAGTAGTCTGATGTCACACTGCCAGCATGGACTTCCCCTCCTGATGCCCATCAAACATGCAGACAACTGTTAAGCCCACCAGCAGTATTCCTGACAACAGAGCATGGTGGATCCTGAACTGCTTTCACATCCAGTACTGGCCAACATAGGATCCAGAACTAATCTGCCTGGCCCCCTTAACCTTCCACTGCTTCTGCCATGAGGGTGGTAGCTCCATCCAGAGTCGCTGCAGCAAGTTCGGGTTGCTGTGCCTGTGAAGAAAAGGGTAATAACTTGTGGCATAGTTCTGTGGTCTACACAGGAGAATGTTTTTATTCTAAGTTGGGTTTCAGGAAAATACTTCCCATTCTTGTTTATATTGGCTGCTGGCTCCTTGCTATAAAAGACAAGTGTTTCAGTTTTACAGCTTGCTCATTAAACACCATCAAAATTTTCAGGCATTAGCAGAAGTTCCCTTTGGGTCTGTTACATTTAGCGGGGTGTTTGTGTGTGTGTAAATTCAGGCTGCTTCTCTATTTTAGCACAGTCCAGATGATATTAAAAATCCATTTTGAAGGAGTATTGATCAGGTGATGTGTAGGGAGAAGGGATGAATGTATTTTGAAATGATAGTTGGAAAAGTTATTTTATTGGGAGCAGCAATGGTCGGCGGAAAATAGAGGGGACGTCTGGGGGTTGGAAGTCAGCTTTTAAATTTGTATTGAATTTGTATTAATTTAGTGACAATTTGTTAAAAATCGTGGAAAATCATAAAAATAATTAGCAAAAAAAAGGAGCGCTGATCTTCCAGAAGAAATAAGAAATAAACCTTTGGAATCATACTGAAACTGATGAACGAACAGAAACAGCTGCTAAATGTCCTACAAGCCAGCCTGAGATTCGTTTCAATTACGCCATAAAATGTACCTCCGATGTGTGCTGCAATTTGGTTTTTTTGTTTGATGCCTGCTACATGTGCCAAATGTTATTTCCTCTTGGTTTTCACCTCCATATCTCCCAGACCCTTCTAATTATTCCTATACACTAATAGCAAATTCATTCTCCCAATATCCTTATGGAGCCCAAACAGTGCCAGTCATGTACAGCCCTAAATAGGGGAAACCCCTAAAATAGCCCAACGAGGTATTAGCATGCTCACAAAATTCTGACTGTTGGGAAAGGGATGGAAAACCTGGGGGAGGGGAATGGAATGGAGTATTGTGGAATTGGGCGTGGCTGGCTGAAACCAGGAGCACTTAATGCTGCAATGTTTCACTGCAGTTCCCACTTGTTTTCAGATTCAGGTAAAAGCTGGTGAGAGAAAATAATGGGTGAGAAAGTCTTATTGGAACACTTTCGGATGTTGTTGGCCATTGTGTGTCTTCTGACTGAAGCTCAGTCAGACTGTTCATTAAAACTGTTAGTGTTTAGCATTGCTCATTGAACCCATCTTCTTAATCTACAATGCTTGTTTAGTTATAACATTTCCACCTAAACAAAAACGTTTCTGTTTATTTTGAACCGTAATTACTTTTTCTTTCCTATGTGAATCAGACTTCTTAATGAGATTGCAAATAACCTTAATATGAGTGTTTTGCTAACTTTCCAAAAGCTAATGTAATCAGTAATGTATATTGTCCTTTGGACACTGTTCCCTGTCTTTTCAGTTTTCCATTATCTTGCTTCTGAAAGGTTTAATTATACGTTGCCTTTTAGTTTCACTGCCTCAGTCATCTACACACAGTCATCTACTGTGCCTCAGTCCTCTATACACATAGCATTTTTGAATTTTACGAACTCCAGAAGGTGCTTCAATAATTTGCAGAAATTGCAAGTGCTCAGTCAGGAGGTTGCCTTTGATACTTTCCAATTTCGAAATCCCATAAGATCACATATTTATGCTGTATTAACTATTACCTAGTGTGTCCTTTATAGTTCTTAAAAAAAAACAACTTAGATGCAAAATACATTTTTTTCCTCCAAGCAATGACCTTCCCCACCATCATAATAAGAGCAATAAGCACAGTAATCTTGATATCGTCAATATACTTAGTATTCTTAATATTCTCTGTATTTCTAACACTTCAAGTATTTATAATACTTTCTTTATAATGTTTTGATTTCTATCCTTATATTAATGATGGTATATAAGACTAGATTAAGCTTATCATGGTTATTTGGTAGTTTCCTTTTCTTTCTTTGAACTAGTACTTAATTTGTGCTTAACTCGTGTCTCTATGTCCTCTTCAGTTTGCTTGTTTCGGTTTTGTTTTTTGTTTTGTTTTTTGTATATTTTTTCATTCGAAATAAATAATTAAAAAGAGCTATGAGCACAGAATGGTGTGGGGGTTTTTTGCATACACTTGTAAGTTTTTCAGACCCTGACTTTTCTCTTTCAGCAGTTGCCAAGCACATTCTCACCTTACAGACATTCACTCTCTTGTTTTGTTCCTCTCTCAGGTCTGGATGTGTGGAGGAGGGATGTTTGACGTTCCATGTTCTAGAGTGGGGCACATCTACAGGAAATATGTCCCTTACAAAGTCCCATCTGGCACCAGCCTAGCAAGAGTAAGTAACTTATGTTCTGAGGTTCATTCAGCTGTGAGACTTGACCGTATAAAATGCTGTCCAGGAAACCTGTAACCCAAAACAGAGGCTCCCTTCAAACATCACATTCCTCATCTACCAAACCTTAGTTAGGAGCACCAGGAAGAAGTGATGGTCTCAAGAACTCCTTCCATTCCTTCCGTCCCACTCACATGCAGTTCCAAAGATGATTTCCTAATTTCCCCAAACCACACTTTGCTATGGCATCCAAACAAGCAAACTATGGGGTGAGCGATCCATTACACAGGAAAAGCTAGGGGAATCTACAAACCCCACATGGTTGGTCACTGTGGGGAAAAGGATGCTGGATTAGGTGGGCTTTTTAGTCTGGTGGATCAGGGGACTTCATATGTTTGCCCATGATCACCAACTCATAGCCGTCCTGTAGCCTTCTAAAAATAAAAGCTAAGACGACAAGGTCCAGTAGTCCTTTATGGTCCAGTGAGAGATGGACCATAAAGAAGGCTGATCGCCGAAGAATTGATGCTTTTGAATTATGGTGCTGGAGGAGACTCTTGAGAGTCCCATGGACTGCAAGAAGATCAAATGCATCCATTCTTAAGGAAATCAGCCCTGAGTGCTCACTGGAAGGACAGATCATGAAGCTGAGGCTCCAATACTTTGGCCACCTCATGAGAAGAGAAGACTCCCTGGAAAAGACCCTGATGTTGGGAAAGATGGAGGGCACAAGGAGAAGGGGACGACAGAGGACGAGATGGTTGGACAGTGTTCTCGAAGCTACAAACATGAGTCTGACCAAACTGCGGGAGGCAGTGGAAGACAGGAGTGCCTGGCGTGCTCTGGTCCATGGGGTCACGAAGAGTCAGACACGACTAAACGACTAAACAACAACAAGACAAGGACCTCTGCCTTCCTTTCCCGTAATTCAAGCACTGGAACAATCTATCCAAATCAGGATTGCAAAACCATAGAGGGATCACTCAAAGTTTGTCACTTTGAACAACATGGTAAATTGTGGTTTGAGGAAACCAGGTCATCTACTAAGCCACAAACTAAGTAGGAGGACAGATCTCTTGTGCTTGTTACACTTTCACAATCCTCCAAGGCATGATTTGGAGGATTGAGAATGAATGTTGCCACTGTTTCCATTTTTTTTGGAGTAGCTAATAAAAAATGTAATCTGCTTTTGCAGAGGAAAATGCCTATTTTGGACAAAAATGCATTGCTGCAAGATCTGATAACGTAGGCCAAATTTGCCATAAGTTCCTTGGAAGGACAAACAACTTCCAGTAAGCAAGAGAGGAAAAACTCCATTTATTGCTTGGAAGCTCCTCAGACATAATTCTGAGGAGAGTTCAGCTTCAGCAGAGGACCCACAAAGCAAGTCTGGCAGAGTGGTTCTCTTAGGAGAAATATTGTTGCAGGTATCTGCCTGGCCCTTCAACTTCAGGCTTGATAGAAGCATCCATGGGACTCTAAGCTTAAGGGCCGATTTTAACATTACTCTTGCCACTGACAGGAAATCACTCAGTGAAATCAATTCCAGTTGGAAATAACAACCTTGGCACAGGTTGCTGCAATATATGAAGGGTATGTTGGAAATCGCCCTGAGTCAGCAAGCCTCATTTTGCTCTGATGCTCCCTTTGGTTTCAGTTCAAGAGGCAAAAGCTCAGCTGATTGCCCAATCAGTTCCCACATGCTCCATTTCCTGAGCCAACTGCCAAACATAGGAGGCTCAGTTAACATGAAGTGATCTCATCAAGTCGTTTTATGGAATCAATGAATTGCAAGCTTACCAATTGATGCGTTTTCAAGAGCTCACGTAGAAAAGGAAAAAGGAATCTTTTGTGTAAATATTGCAGAAAGAGGTACCTTTGTGAGCCCATTTGGACCTTAAATGCTGGCAATTGACAGGATAAGGAGGGGCAGAAGATGCATGTGCTCCAAGCAGCAGGTAGGGAGGTGGCAAAACAGCACTGGGGGGAGGGGACACAGAGGAAAGAGGTAGACCACGGCTGTGGCCCATGTTTGGTGACTCTCTACATTCTGACTGAGTTCCATTTATTAGTAGATGTGGGTGATAACATAAAGGAGGAGGTGGATGGCCATATAAGGTCCTCCCTCCTGCCCACCCCAGGAAGAGGAACATGAGAAGCTGCTGTGGCCAGCCCAGTAGCAGGACGACGATGGCCAAGATGAGAAAGAGGTTCTCCCCTTTGTATCCTGCTGCCGCCACCACTTCACATAGGGCACAAGGAGGGAAACCACTGGTGCTGTCAGGGGGCTTCAGTGAAGACTTTTGTTTCCCAGGGCAAAATCTGTAGAGCTGGTAGCTGATGCTTGACTTCGTCTCCAGTCACTCACACCGTTGACAGAACAGCAGTGAGGCTGCAAGGTGACCCACAAGTCACCTTGAACTCAATGGGCATGCTTCTGAGAACACATGTACAGGTTCACCCTGCATACAACAACAGCAACGTCGTCTTGATCATTAATCCCGATTACATCTTCTGCTTCTGACACCTCCTCCTCCCAATCTGCTCCTTCTCCCTCCAACCACTCACCATCTACCACCAATCCCCTGGCTCTAAGCCTTCTTCCCCGGTGGGTTCCCTAGGGGGCTCCCCAGCAGGTGTCTCCCACCACTCCTAAGCATCCAGCCAGTCGATGACATTTGTGTTCTTCCAAGTCAGTGCACCTGCCTGCATCTTTGGGGCAGGTGCAAGGACAACCTGCTCCACCCCTGCCCTGTCCCATTATGCTGCAGCAATGCTGCTGCCGGGAGGCCAAGTCTATGGCTCCTCTCTGCCAGCCACACCTTCCTTTCCTAAGAGCGCCACAAAACCTAACACCAACATTGATGGGCTCAGCCCTTTTTAATCAATGAACCCAATTCTCTCCTCCTCTTCAGATCTCACTTCTTCAGCAAACTTTCTTTGGCCCCTCCTCAAGTATACAGAGCCACCACCTCCAGATTCAACTTGGCTTCCCCCGCCCCCTTTGTTTTTTTTGCCACTTTAGCATAGAGGATTGGCTTTCTAGAGAAGGCCTCCTTCATTCATGGGTTCTGCGCCTAATGCTGGTGTGTTAAATAACTGGTAAACAGTAGCTGTGTCTATCCTTAAGTAACTAAGCTAGGAGCGACTGGCAAATTGCTAAATAATACAGCACATAGTATAATTTTATAAATGTGCTCAAGAGGGGGCAAACTTCTGCAAGGGTATCTCTGCAGTGGCATCCTCATGAGGTTTGAAGAATTCTGCATTTCAGTGATCTGGAACTGATGTGCAGCTGGGGAAGGGGTGCCATGTGCTTTCTAGTTTCTGTCCCATTTGCCCATACTGTCAAAATATGATGGCTCAGAAATTTCTCAGAAGGATGAACTTGTATTGTTTCTCACAAACAAACGAACAAACAAAAACTCCTGTCATTTAAGAACAAGGACTCCCGAGCTATCATCTCCTAAGCAGCTCTAATTTCACATCCCCAGTTCCTGCTGGCATAAATGTTTTTCTTTCTGTTGTGGAGACAAAGCAGGTGGTAACCTATCTTGCTGTGCCAGCTGAAATGTGCTCCATTTGTTCTCTATCTCGCTCCCTTTGTATTCAGATAAGTCTTATTGGTTCTGAGACATCTAGCTTTGTTCAGACGCTCGAAGCACAGCAGATTAATCAAATTCAAGAGAGGTGCTTCTAAATGAATGTCGGAAGCAAATCACAATGGGAGAAGTCATTCTAAGCAGAAACATTATCTTACGCCACAGATTATGAGATGAGTATTGCTCTTCATCTCTCACAGAAGATACCCTTCAGTGCTCTATGACTAGTACTCTATTAAACAGCTAGCAAGTTCTGCTTTTGAAGTGGGGTTGTATGTGACACGTCCACTCTCAAAATATCCTCTCAACGAAACCTTGACTCGGGAGTCTGATCAAAGAGAAAAATAAAATATGAAAATGTACTTCCATCTAGTGGGGAGAAAACAGAGGAAACAACAACACTAGGGGAACGCTTGCAACCTCCTGTTTTTAGAAGGTGTGGGTGCTCCTTCAGATTAGAGGTGAAATGACGCAACGAATCATATAATTGAAAAGTTGGAAGGGGCCACATGGATTATCTAGTCCAACCACCTGCTATGCAGGAATCCTTTGCCCAACATGGGGCTCAAACCCACAACCCTCAGATTAAAAGTCTCATGCTCTACATACTGAGCTATCCCAGCTTTCGTAGAGCCCTTCCGAGACTGGATTGCTGCAGGAGACACATATTGTATTGTATTTTTGAAGGTTGTCTCCTTTATTATTATTTTTAAAATGTTGCAGGTAGAGAATTCTAGCTAACAACTCTCTCTTATCACAAGGATTTTTAATGTGGGGGGAGCCATTTAAAAATATGATGCTCCCAGCTGCTGTCTGAAGTGCTACAGATCAGTTTTGGGGAGCTTAGCCCAGTGTTTCCCAACCAGGGGCCATATGCCCCCGGGGGGGCAGAATATTCCAAAGGGGGCACAGGTGAAAAATGTGTAAATGGGGGGCCATAGCACAAGGCTAGGGGGCCACAGAGGGAAGTGAGAAGTGAAGAGAAAAAATCCTTTTTAAAAAATAAATCCTGATTGGCTAGCTATCCGCTTGGCCAAGCACAAGTGGGTAAGGGGTCAGCCCACCAGAACCTAGTACTCCTTTTTGCCATGTGCATTTTCTTGGAGCAGTCCTGGTTTGTTTCCGGCAGGAGAGGGCAATCACTGAGACTCCTGCATTGACTAGTAGAGCCCGAGATCCAGAACCCCCAGGTCAGGTAAGTGCAGCAGTGGGGTGGCAATGGGTAGGGCTGGGTGAGCCGGAGCTGCTTGTTGCTTCCACCAGTGCTGGGCCCAGCGGCAACCTGGGCCTGATTCTGCAAGGTGCACAGTGCAATCCATCCCAGCACCTAGTGGATCAGGGCCTTTGGAGGTTGCTGAGGGGCATAGGACCTGTCGACAGCAGCAGCCCAGCTCTTCAAAGTGTGGGGTGAAATCCACCCCAGCGCCTAGCTGAGCAGGGTTGTTTGGTGCTGCTGACTTGCATCTAGTAAATAACTAGTAAGTGTCTACTCTGAAGAAAGCTGCACTGAGTTCAGTGGGTCCTACTTCCAGCTAAGGGTGTGGGGGGCTATAATGTTTTATCTAGGCAGCCAGGGCTCCTCCAGATGACAAGATCTTTTTGCACCAGATCAGTGAGGACCAGTTGCTTTTAAAATTCTCCCATATATACAAAACTCCCTGTGTGCTTTTTGGACTGTATCTATAGGTTTCCTCCTCTGGAGTCAAATAAGTGTAGTTTACTTTTTATAATACGTGGAAGATGGATCTCCCTTGGGAGGTTCTGGACTTCCTTGGAGGTTTCTAAGCAGAGGTTGGATGGTCATCTGTCATGGATGCTTTAGCTGAGTTTCCTACATTGCGGGGGGGGGGGGGGGCACTAGATAGATGACCCTCGGGGTCCCTTCCAGCTCCACGATTCTATGTTTTTCTGCTTCAACAATATTTCATTATACTCCTATCATTTTATGTAATTGTATTTTGTATAAATTATAAAAATTATAAATAAAAAATGTTCTATTTACAAACACACCTTTAAATTGCTACCTTTCTACCAGTCGGATGGGGGGCACGGGCATAGCCAGGATTTTTGTTAGGGAGGCATTCTTTTGTTGGAGGGCAGAACCTCATATTTGTATTGATTTGTACTTATTTGGAGGGCAACAGTCCCCCCTCTGCTATGCCCATGGGAGGGGCACAGGAAGGAAACAGGGTGGAAGGTGCCCATGTTTGGAAATAGAGTAGGAAACACTGGCTTAGACCATCCCTTCCTCTCAGTACAAAATATGTGGGTTGGATTACTGCCACCATGAAGCGTGTCAGACCTGTGTCTCAATCCTTTGCTTGGAAGCAGCTGTGATAATTCATGTTTACATCATTCCTTCTGTTTAAGAAACCCTGATTGCAATAATATTTTATACTGAATGACCAAAACTCAGGGCATGGTGTTTACTTCTGTTGTGTGCTGCATTCCAGTACAGAACAAGTAATGTCTCATGTAAGAGGGAACCATTCCTTTTAATAATGAATTCAGGTGTTGAGTGCCAGTGACTATATAGCCATGCAAGGCCACTGAGAACCAAGAGGGAGGGGTCAGCACGGTTAGGAAATCCAAATATCTGAAGAAGTTAAACATTTTTTATGGGGGGGGGGACTAAAGGACAAAGAACTTTATAAGATCTGAGCATGCTCAGTGCTCACATAATAGGGGTGGGGGGTGGAAAAATGAGAGGCTGCAGATAAAATAATATGGAGCCTGCTGGAAAAGAGAGCATGATTCAGGAGCCCTGAATAGGAGCAATCCACACTGCAACATTTTATTGCAGCTCCCACTTGTAAGAACAAGCAGAGGCGGTGGAAGGGGGGACGTGGTGGGTGCGGGCCGCCCCAGGTGTCACCACTGGGGGGGGGACACAATGTCAGGTGGCACTCACCGCAGGGCCTGCAGCGTCCCCGAGCCAAGCGTCTCTCCTGAGAGAGATGCGGTGGCTTGGGCAAGCACAGGCTCCAAGCTGCCCAAACAGTCCACTTGCTGCCTCCCCCCCCCCCCAGCTGTAGGGCAGCTGAGTGGGAGGAGGCAGGCAGACTCTAGAGGACCTGTGATGCGCCCCACCCCTATGGGCGGCTTGCCCCGCCCCTCGGTGCACTGCTCCAGGCACCCGAGCAGCTTCTTCCGCCACTGACAAGAAGTTAGCAGTGTGTTGATGAGGCAAAACAGAAGTCTGTCTCTAGATATTAGTTTTGCAAGCCCAGGAATATATTGGGCTTTTAAGGGGGAGTGTTAGGACATCGGATTATACTCAGTATTATCTCTTTAGAAAGAACTTCAAACTCCTACATATTTCCAAATGGAAATGATGTGGAAAATCAACTCAGGCAATCAAGCAACAAGCAAGAGAGATATCTGCAGTAAGATTCCATGGAAATAATTAAGTGAGCCTTTACTGTATCTCGTTAATTAAATCCCTTTCAGTAATTGCATTGAAGTTTCTGCGGGGGGTTTTGTTGTTTTTTTAAAGGAAGAGAGAAGCCATCAGTCTGACTTTTATCAGGCTCCTAATAGCAATTGAATGCAAAAGGCTTCCATTTGCTTAATGCACAACCATCCAAAGCTAGATAAGGGAATGGCGTATTGTAATTGTGTGTGTGTGTTATCAGTGCTAATACTTAAGCAGGAAGAGATGACTGACTCTTGCTTTCTGCTGCTCAGAACCTGAAGCGTGTGGCAGAAACGTGGATGGATGAATTCGCAGAGTACGTTTACCAGAGGCGGCCTGAGTACAGACACCTCTCCACTGGCGATATCTCAGCCCAGAAAGAGCTTCGCAAGCACCTGAAGTGCAAAGACTTCAAGTGGTTCATGGCTGCGGTGGCTTGGGATGTCCCTAAGTATTTCCCTCCGGTGGAGCCACCACCTGCTTCCTGGGGAGAGGTGAGGAACATTATTGAATATGAGCCAGTTGCTTCAGGTGATGTCGGATGCAACACTACATTCCCTGCGAAGTGGCTGCTATGGTGACAAAGAATTCACAAAATTAGTTCCAACTTCCGTGGCCAAAGAGGTCAGTAAGGGAGCGGGTAGCAGTTGGAACTACCACAGTAGCCGTGGTTGAAGTAAGAAACGTTTTGCCTGTGACCCTTTATCTAAGCAGTGTTTAGCAGCACCACACTGTGGATGCACATGCGAAAATGTTTTCAAAATGCAAAGATCCTTGTTGCCATGCTGATAATAATAATAATAATAATATGCTGCCTATCTGACTGAGTTGCCCCAGCCGCTCTGGGTGGAGCTGCAGAGCCATCCTCTATTGGTGTGTAATTACTATTTAACAATTGTCTTTTATGCTTTTAAGCATTTTGTATTGTTTTAATTTGTGTAAGCTGCCTTCAGTCCTGGTCTGGAGAAAAGGCAGGCTATTCGTATTATTAATAATAGTAATAATAAACTTGACACTGCTGCTTATCCAGGCAGGGCTGGGACAAATGCACTGGCAGGAATGCCAGATTGGTGGCATACTTTCTGCCTGCACACTCATCCTGCCCCAGTCTTGGCATGACTCCATCCTGTCCAGATAACTAGCAGTGACACCAGTATCAGGAGTGTAGCTCTACCTCCCCACTCCGGACATGCGCTGCTACTGGTGGATTGGTAACTGCTGTATGTATTGTTGCGCTGAGTTCTGTGCCACTTCTGACATTTGAACTATACAATATTTGTGTGTGTGACAGTGTGTGTGTGTGCAAATGGCAGCTTGGCTTCCCAGTTTTCCTATCCCCCGTTTTCTCACATTTACACACAACAGCAACACACACACACATTTTGCCTTTCTCCTTGCAAAACTCTGTCTGCTGCAAATGAGTGATTGATTGGCAGCATGTGTTCTTGCAAAGGCTAAACGTGAATTTTGAACACCACCAAGCGTACCCTTGAAGCAACCTGCTATTTTGGGTTTCTTTGTGCCTCCAGCCATGCAGAGTGCTGGAAGGGAACGTGGTGCATCTGGCCTCCTGTTTTGCCTTTTCATCACTCGAAGCAAATGCGCAAAGTCAGATGGATTTGCAGAGGGGTGCAATGTGAAAGTCACTGCTTGGTGAATTCATTGCTAGCTATTTTACACTTGGGCCTGTGTTCTGGCTGTGATTCTGTGGCCACAGAATTTGGACTCCTCAAAATCTCACTAAAAAACAAGGACACTATCCACCTTTGCATGGATGCAACCTCTCACATCTGGAGGGTTGGCCCAGAGCTCACCAGAGTCCCCTTCACTGTCTCCCCTTTTTGGACTGACTTGTGTCAATTGTAGTCTGCTGGCTATTTTATAAGCTTTTGGTGCTCATCCAGCTGTTGGTCTTCTCCTTCATTTAGCTCTTGGGGCTTCTCCAGATGGCCTATATATTGTGCATTCATCCTGGTTTGCTGACAAAAAGCTTATGTGAAGTTTAGACTGTGTTCAGAATACTTTCCTGTTTGCAGGGCACTTAGATGACAATAAGCATTCATCCTTTTATTTGGGTGTTGGTTGTGGTGGGCCAGTGTACCTCTTCCCATTAGACATTCACACAACTCACACTTTTCAATGTGTTTCCCCATCACTTTCCTAAGCGCAAAAAGTCTGCTTCTCTTTTAAAGTGGATTAGTTGTACTAGGGCAACAGAGCCCTTTGATCCATGAACTGTGCAGACCTACATTTATGATATGTGCTTGAACGATATGTGTCCCGCATTCAGGGCAGTCAGGACACACCTTTACTCTTCCTCAATCTCGGGCTATTCTGTCCATCTGAATACAGATTCTCACTCAGCCTCCTTTGGACCTAATAGCTGCACCTTATATAGATGAGGATACACAACCCCATCGAGGGCCAATAGTGCCAAGTAACAAAATGCAGCTAGGATTGTTTGGGGGCCTTTTCATTCTTTGGACCTTACCCTGATCCTTTTCTCTTCTCCTGCCATCAGCGATTCCCAAACTCAATTGTGATGGATAAGCAAACCCACTTCCTGGCTTCTCCAAACTTGCCTAAATCTGAATGAAAGCAAAGCACGCTGCTTTAGCATCATCTTTGCAGACAACTTAACTCATGAATCTCATGAGGGGCGTTTGGGGAGGGGGGTTGTACCACAGTGACATGAAGGTCCAAAAGGGAGAAGTCTGAAGTTGGGCCTAGCAACAAATGCAAGAAAGAATCAAAGTGTTAGAACTGACAAAACTCCTTTGCTATGACATTAGTTTCAGAGTTGACACCGTGGCTTTAATGACCCCATCTCAGCCTTGCTGCATTTATGGTGGCATAAAGGCAACGGTTAAAAAAGAATCTCATCTGGAATGCTGCACCCTCTCTTTGCCTGTCAAATTCCCTCCATCAAACCTAATGTCCTTCTGAATTCCAGAGACATTGTTTTATCTGTGCCTGAGCTTCTGTTCCCAACCCTTTTCTTCTTCTTTTTATGGCTTCTTTCTTTTTACGGCTTGCACAAAGGAATCTGTGTGTGCGTGTGTCTGCTTTAAAAAGTTACTAGATATCAGTTGGCTTAAAAGGCAGCTTATTGCTAGGCATTGAGCCTGTAGATGCTGGTTTGTGAAGTATGCACTGCTCTCTTTCTCTGTCTCGCTAATCACAGTAGCTATGTCTGTTCAAGCGATATGTGCACTGCTTTAAATTTAAATGCACAGGGCAGCCTTCCTTCTTTTGTATTCTGCACCCTTGAAAATCTTTCAAACGCTCTCCAGTTGCAACACAGCCACTCGAGCATTCAAGTCACTGGGGCTTTGCTATGCGAAAGGCATTTGGTAAATTTGTGGGGCTTGGAAGCCTTTTATGATGCTGTATTGAACTGTGGCGACCCTAACAAGCGAGTCAAGGCACCGACTTTGATAGTCAAGGACAATACACTATTTGAACAGAACATTCAATTGAAAAGCATTTCTGACTTGATTTGCTGTGTGTTCCAGACACTAGAGATTGCTTCATTTAGAAGCTTCAGCCCTTTGCTACATCCAGCATCTGTCATTGTTAAATGCTGCTAGACTGCTGCCCTGTATTTTTCTAATACCATGTAAACTTGGTTTTCAATTAATCTTATCAGGGTAGAAAACAGTCATGGACCTGTCAGTTTGATTGACCAATTCATGGCTAGATCATTGCTTGAAAATGGAGCTTGAGTTGATTGCAACTAGCCAGCCCAGTTTTCAGATTACTACTGCTAAGATTTATCACATGAATATACCACACTTTCCCCAAGGAGACTATTTCTCATGATGATCTTGGGAGGTGGGCTTGACTGAGAGATGATGAGAGGTTCCTCAGGTCTCCAGTTTTGTCAAATGGATGGATTTCTCTGCCCTCTTGCTGCAGTTTCTAAGAGCTACATTAAGTGGACAAATGTGATCTCCTTTTCATGAAACGGATTGAAATTCTCTTCTAGTTACTGAACAAGAAGTATCATTTACCCTCTCATGTTATGAAAGGTTTTACATGCAAAGGGCAATTCCTCTTAAGTGTGTGTGTGTGTGCACAGTGGTACCTCGGGTTAAGAACTTACTTCGTTCTGGAGGTCCATTCTTAACCTGAAACTGTTCTTAACCTGAGGTACCATTTTAGCTAATGGGGCCTCCCACTGTCACCGCTGCACGATTTCTGTTCTCATCCTGAAGCAAAGTTCTTAACCCAAGGTAATATTTCTGGGTTAGCAGAGTCTGTAACCTGAAGCGTCTGTAACCTGAAGCGTCTGTAACCCGAGGTACTACTGTATATGGATCATATGGATGTCCAGATTGACCCTGGGAATAGCTATGCATATAACAATCTTGTATTCATCATAGGGTGGCCAGATGCAAAAAATAACAGGATCCTTTCACCTTTAATAGTTGTGCAGAAGAGAGAACTTCAGCAGGTGTAGCTTGTATGGCAAACTACACCTGCTGAAAGTCTTTCTTCTGCACATCTATTAAAGGTGCAGAAGCCCCGTCGTCTTTGGCTACCGTAATTCATTGATAGGAAGTCACTCTTGAGAGTGGGATTGAGCCTTTAAAATATAACATGAGAAGTAGCCATGACTCATTCTGCCACATGTATTTTAATCACAAACCTTGAAAGCTTTTTTTGCTGCAGCGACACAGTTCATAAGATCCAGAAGCAGCTGGATGATTTTGGTATTTAAAAGTGCTGGGCTGTAAGGATAATTCATTCATATTTCCATCTCATCGAAGTGAAGCCTTTCACTGCTGCCGCCACCTGTAGCCTGACAGTTCTGTTTTTCTTTCCCAGATCTTTTTCATTTTAAATTAAAGCAAATTTGCTTAATTAGGACTGTAGTTGGGGTGCCAATAACAGATGAAAGGGCGTGTGGCTCTCACTGTGTGATTAGCGGGCTGATGTTGTGGGTCATTATTTTTAAATGTAGAACACTCATTTATAGTTATTGCATCCATTCCCCACCCCCGAAGAGTTAATGAGAGAGATTTAAAATAATTAAGGCGTTTAGGGAGACACATTGAGAGGTTTTCAGACCTGATCAGGTCACCTGGAGGGGGATAAGCCTGCCCTCTAATAATAAGGCTATGCTTAAAGGCTGCGCTCCTATACACATTTACCTGAGAGTAAGTGCCACTGAAAACAATGTGACTTTCGTCCAAGTAGACACGTATAGGATTGAATTGGAATGCCATATACAGGATGGGAAGGCAGGTGTAAGATTGCTCTGGCACCACCCACTAATCTTCCCTTTTGGAGTTTTTACTTGGAAGGATGCAGTTCACCTGCCTAGTGGCTTCTAGACTCTGGTTATGGCAGAGGCCAGAATCTCTTTTCCCCACACTTCTGCAGTCTCAGGACATCCAGCACTCAGGGTAGTGTTCTTTCTGGCTGTGAAGTGGGGAGCAAGCTCTGTGCAGCTGCTCCTTCTCTGACTGATGGCTGGGACCAGCCGAGTCTTCCTCTTGCTAGTCTTCTTGTGGTTCTTTTCCTCTGAGCAATGGCAGAGGCCAGAGTGGTCTTACCCCTGCTTCTGAAGCCCCAGGGCAAGGAAATTAGGTGTCTTCTTGGGTTCCTTCATCCATCTTTACAAATGGATTTCTGCTAAGGATTCGGTTTGCATTTAAAGGGGAATCTACCTAATTTATACAATTCTGAAACAACACGCAAACCTGTTGAAATTTGCACTTCTTCAAATTTTGCAGGGCAACTCTATGGCTGTAGCTATTAACAACCTGCATGTTGAGTATTCTCAGAGGTTTGTAGCTATGCTAATCTCATTGAATGAGTGTCTGGGTACTCTTGGCTTTAATTTTAAATCCAAATATTGCTGCTGATGACACTGACAGTATGCCTGCCAATTTCCTAAATGTCATGATTGTAGGGAAATAACACCATCCATATATTGGCCTCTCATCCATGTTAGATCTTATCTTTGCTCACGTACGTTGTGAGCTGGATGAGCTTGGGATGTTTCCATTAGGTATGGAGGGGGGACATGGAGGCCCAGTATGTTGATGGAGATAGTCCAACAAGATCTGCAGAGCCACATGTCCCCCACTCCTGTTATTAATAATATTTGGATATGGAGCCTTTCCTTTATTCATTTGCTGGATCAGTTTCCATCCATCCATCCTCTGCAAATCTGTGATTCCTCCATTCTTGTTCTGTGCAGCTGGTACTCTGTGCTGATCAACATTGACAAAAATGAACGGGAGAGTCTATGCTTGTATTTATTTATTTTTTTAGTTGGCTCTCTGTTTTCATGGACATGCAGCATCTTAAGTGAATGTGCTCCCATCTCCTTAATGCTGGCTGACAACAGGACATGCTTACACGGTTTTCCACTCAGCATTACAGAGCGGCAATCCTTCATCTCTCGCAAGCCATATGTCTTGCAAAAGTAGTCCCCAAGGTGGTGCCAAAGAACTTGCATTTCCTGCACATATCCTTGCAAGCTGCTGTCGCAACTTGGGCCACTTCAACTTTGCCTTTGCCTGGAATACTGTCAAACTGCCATTCCTTACCTGGGTCTTAGGAGGTTTCCGTTGAGACAGTGGCAAAACCCAATGAAGTCCATGAGTGTAATTGCAGAACCAACCTGTCCCCAGCTGCTCTTGCCACTGGACCACAATATGCTTCCGAGCCTCAGATACGGTTAGTCTGCAAGTTATAGGGCTAATTAAGCACCCAACAGTGCACAATCATATTGTGCAATATTTACATATTAAAGCAGGGATGAGGAAGGTTGTTTTTTTCAGCCAGAGGGCTGCGTTCCCTTTTGGGCAGCTTCTCAAGGGCCATAGGCCAGTGGTAGGTGGGGTCTGAGGCAGAGGTGAGTGGAACAAGAAATGCAAATGTTACCTCTGGACAGTAGGCTACTTTCTACACACACTCACATGCCACACTGCATCCTCCAGCCAAGCAAGCAAGAGGCACTACTTGAGTTCAAGGGCATCTTCCAGCCATGCAAAAAGACTCAAGAGTGTGACGCAGGGCCAATGAATTGGGTGGCCAGGGGAGCGTTCCCAGGGCCAGATACAGAGGCCGGAGTGGGGGGCCGCATTCAGCCCCTGGATCTGAGGCTTCCCAACCCAGCAGCAACACTTGGTGTTCAGAGGGCAGGCGAGCAATGCCACCTTACCTGCGCTGTCCCAGCAACCACTACTGACCCTGGTAAGAGTGGCATCTACCCACTTTTTGCTTCTGGTCACACCCACCACTGTTGTGCAGCCCCCGGAAGATTCCACACAATGGCAAGCGGCCCTTGGGGTGGATAAAGTTATCCACCCCATCATACCCAGAGGTTATGGTAGCTTCCATCTTCCTTTTAGTAGTGGCAAGAGATAATTCACCTCCTGCAAAGCAAATCAGGGGGGAATCCAAGGAATGGCCGCTGGCATTATCTAGGATGACATAGGAGCAAAGCATCCAGCAGTGCTAAGCAGATTTGTTCCTAAGTAAATGATAGATGCTGAGAGGGTGCAACTTATGTGGTGACTTCAGAAGCTCAGCTATTGAGATCTAAGTAGTGCTGGTTCAGTGTTTATACTACATTTTTTTAGATTTGCCTTGAGACAGTCTTTAAACCTTTTTGTTGACCACTAGCATTACACTTTCCATTTTTAAGTTCGGAATAGAGTAGTTGCTTTGGGATACAATGATCAGGCATCCGCACAACATGAAACCAATGTCCCCACTGTGGAAGGACGTGTGGATCTAGAACTGGCCTCCACAGTCACTTACAGACTCATTGTTAAAACCGTGTTTATGGAAGACAATCTTACTCAGCTATGAGTGATCGCCAAAGAAGTAGTAGTGCTGGTTCAAGTGACCACTGCAGTCCAAAGGCCAGTGTATATTTTCAAGGTTTTTTAAATCCAGTAGCACCGCATAAGTCAGAATAGAAGGGGATGAGTCAGCCATGGATGCACCAGGTGAGAAAGAGCAATGAGACTAGCAACCGAATTCAAACCATCCAAGCAGGAAGAAGCTTCTTTTTGCCCAAAGGGAGGCAAGACACCCTGAGGCTCAGCCAGCCAATGTAGCTCTGATTCCCTCCCCCATCCAGTTGTCTGCTACAGGGAAGCAGGCTTTGACAAGCCTCATTCCCATCACTCATTCACAGCCACTTGAGGCCCTGGGAAGATTCAGTCCAAAGCCTCGCCTGCTGAAAAGCAGGATGTATTCTTTCGCTGCTAAACCTCCACAATCTTCCTCCACCAGCCCTCAGGCCCTTTCTCAAGTCTTTTATCTGGAGCCATCTGACAAGCCTGGGTCCAAAGACATCTTCATTACGTATCTGCTGACTGCTCTGTAAGCTTCCACACGTATTCATGGCTGCATCCAGCCAAATCTGCAGGGGATTTAATGCCGAAATAAGGATAAGTGCTGGGCTTCAGCTTAAGAACTTCTCTGATCTGTGATTGGTTCAGAAAGGAGTTCTTCTGACTATACTTTTCCCAGACACGTCTGGTTGCTAATGGAAAGCATAGGGGAGGCTTGTCCATTAGGGTCAGTGGAGCACTGCCCCACCAAGCTGAATCCAGCCTCAGCCTACTTACAACTGGTCAAGGTTTCCACCGACTTTCAGCTGCCATTTCCTTAGCCTCAGGGTTGATTTTGTAGAATTCAGCAGGGAGGAACAGCGGTGTAGCTAGCCGCTCAGGCACCTGGGACACCAAGGGGGCAGGGCGAGCTGCCCATGGGGGCGAGGTGAGCCTGGCAGGGCACTCTACGTGGACTCTGACCTACTATTGGCCTCCTTGCCTTCTGCCCAATGGGAATGGTCTCCACTGGGAAAGTCTGATGGGTAAGCTGAACTTTGATCTTCCAGGTGTTCCTGCTCGCATGTGCTCCTCATTCAAGTAGATAAGAGTCTAGAACTGCTTATTCCTAGATCAGTACAGCAGTTGGTTATTTTGGTTGGCCAGTGTATTACATATGTCAGGGATGGAAAACTTCAGGCCTGGGGGCCAAATGCAGTCCACCATTCCTCTCTGTCGGGTTCTCCCTAGGCCAGGCTCCACCCCAGGCCAATCCTGCTCTACACCTTCCTGCAAGAGACAGGAGAGAGAGGCTCATGCTCATTTTGGTCCTTCCAAGTCTCTGCAAACATTAGGGAGGGATCTGCCTCCTCTTACTTGGTTATTTAAAGTGCCATCACTGGGAGAAGCAAAGCTCTGAACTCTCTCCAGGCAGAAGCCATGGACGGTGAAAAGGCAGAGGATCAAGCAGCACAAAGATAGTCTGAACAACTCAAAGCCCAAAAGGCACAAGCATCCTCCCCCTACTCTCACTTTCTCCCAAAACCTCTCATTAACAACACCCTTCCCCCTTTGCACAAAAGTGCACCAAGCATCAATTGTCAGAAAAAGTGTGTGTGTGTGTGTGTGTGAAAGTAGGAGCTAGAAATGCTGGGGGGGAGTTTGAACTTTGACTCTGTCCTGTGTTCACTTTTTCTGTTCTTGGGAGTAAATCCCACTGTATCTGAGAAGATGTATAGAATAGTGGCTGCAGATGGTAGCCCCCACAAAGGTGATTTCCAGGGCCGTGGAGCTGAGGGACAAAAGCTTCACCAGTAAGAGCTGGGGGTGGCTAGAGGGGCATGGAAACCAACCAGGCACTTTCCATCTGGCAAAGACATCCCTACCCTCTCTCTGCCCTCTGGTGTGGACAGACAGCAGGCTGAACAGAAACACATTAAAGTGCAATGCCGCATACAATGCTGTACACATTCAAATTGAAATACAACGAAACAAAAGCAACCTCACTGTGTTTTAAGCCAATAATGTGCACAAGCCTCTGATCCATTCACATTCCCTGAAATCTGTTGATGATATTGACTAGGCAAGGTACTAAATTCTGATGTTGCTGTTAATTCATGCTGAATAATGTGAATTTGCATAACTGCCGGTGTTTATGCGTAATGACCAGTCTATATAGCAGCAGGACCAGCCTAAAACATTTGGTGCCTGAGAAATAGCAGCAAATGGTGTTCCCCTCCTGCCTCCCACTTAAAGTTAAGATGCATAGGACCCAAGGCTAGCCAAATGGCAGCTGGAACAGAAAATCCCATAAGTACCTCTTCCCCAAGGTCCTTCCCTGAGCAAAAAATTCATTCATTCATTCACTGAAATAAACAGAAACAAATTGAAAACTAACCTTTTTCGTGACCCCCCAAAATCTGCTACCTGAGGCAATTGTCTCACAGTGCCTAATGGTAGGGCCAGCCTAGACTTACAGTAATTCTAACAGAGGTATCAGAAAACGGCTGGTGTCTTCATCAAACTGATTTAGGCTGTGCACAAGACACACGCATCACAGAAGTAAAGTATTCTCTTCCTTTTCAGGTTTCCAAGCTGCATTTCGGTTCATAATGGTGGTTGCTTAATTTTCCAGATTCGAAACGTGGCAGCAAACCTCTGTGTGGACAGTAAGCATGGAGGGACAGGCACAGAGCTGAGGCTGGACATCTGTGTGAAAGATGGCTCTGAACGGACCTGGTCACATGAGCAGGTATTTGGACCATCACATGGTTTTTCCTCTATTCCAAGATTGTAAAGGGCTTTCTCAGGCTAGTCCCTCTGGCTGACACACCCCTTCCTAACACATTAATCACCTCTGTCTAGAAAAGCACATGTACCCCCTCTAGCGCAGAGTCCTGAGCACAAGAGTTGTGATTTGTTATGAATAAGCTGAGGTCTCCTGAAACAGAAATGCTTCTTACGTTGCTGCCATTGTGAATAGATTCAATACAAGTGTATGTGACATAATGCGTGGTCTGCTGGATAAATATCTGAGGCAAAATGATGGACTGTAGCAGAAGGTAGAGCACAGCAGACTTTGAACATTTGACAAATCCTTTCCTTTTATGTTTTGTTTTGTTGAAATGAAATAGTACCACGTGCAAGCTGCAGTTATTTGTAAAAGCAGCAACATACCTTTGTTGTCAGCACTGACTTGGTATTTGCAGTCTCTGTTGGCCAGTGGGTGGTTGAAATACCCAAAAGCAGGGGTCGGCAACCTAAGGCCCATGGGCCACAAGCGGCCCACGGGGGTCGTTTTACCACACTCCAGGTTCAGACCCTGGCATCTTCAGGGAGGCCTGGAAGACCCTGTCTGAAACCCTGGGAGGATGGAGCCTCTGCCAATCAATGCAGAGAATACTAAGCCACATAAACCAATAGAAGGATACCTTATAAGGCAGCTTCCTGTGTTCTGTTCACAGTGTTTTGTTCTTTTCTTTTCTTTTGCTTCTATATAACAACTGTTTCCAACTGGCCAATTATTTTGATAATTGTTACATTGCAAGGTATTGTATTGCTCATCCAAAAGACATGCTGCATGCTCCTAATCAGGCTAAATCAGAAGTAGGTCCTCCCGAATTCAGTAAGCAGGAGCAGCTCACCTGAAATAGCTTTCCTGTATGGGCATCACTACTGCTTACCAGGAGAGACCAAGTGGTGGTGAGGTCAGGGCTATGTGGGTAGGAGAACCAGATTAGCCCTGCCAGTATGGTCACACAGCCCTGACCTCACCACTATCCCCACTTCCCCATAAGCTGCAGCATCACCCCTGCTAGGAGGCTATTGCTGCCATTCCACCTCATCAGGAAAACTGCTATGGCTCGCAGGGTTAGGATTGTAGCATGCCTAGCTTGTGCTCTGCCTTAGTTTTCTTAGGGAGGTATGCTGACATTCCTGTGTCTGCCCCCCTTTTGGCAACCCCAGATCGCTCCAGGTGAACCCAATGCAACCCAGGGCTGCCTCAATCCAAATCAGTCTAATTCAGCCACTGCACAGCCCTAGTTTTTACCTTTTAGCAGATAAAAATCCCTGGCATTTCATCGGTTGTGGCAGAACTCCCATCAGTAGCAGAAAAGGCTAGGAAGCAGCTGTTCAATAGAGCAGCTGCTCACCTGGGAGACTTCCCTCATGGAGGTTATTATGGGTTGCTGCTATCAGTTTGTTTTGTGTTGCATTGGTATTTTGTTCCTTTATGTAGCAACTGTAATCAGTTGCTGAAAATTTTTGATTCTGGTCTTTGTGTAATATTAAGGTGACTGTCTTTGTAGAACCAACTAAAATGTCACAAAGTAATGAACAAGATTTCAAGTCTTCCAGAAATTTCTTCAAGCTAGATGTTCAGGTTTTGTTTTGTTTTTAAAAGGGAGGATTAGCAAGAAGAGATAATGTTGTTTCAGGGCAAGATGAAAAAGCCTCCAAACTGCAGGCTGGGCCTTTTTCTGTCCACACATGCCCTCCCTATTTATTGCTTTGCTTTTGCTTTACATCTAGCTTAAAGAAGCGTTACGAAGAACTCAAAAGATTGCTCACCAGTTTGTGGCATTTTAGTTGGATTTTTTCCCCCTAATAGAGCTGTAAAGCCACCTGCAATTTTTATTTGGTGCATGTAGTTCCTAGAACTTATCAGCAGAGGGCACTGCTGGACAAGCAGAGTTCCATGCTGAAGATGGAAAAGTTGATGGTCGTTTTGTTTTTGTTTTTAATTGTTGAAGATTTTCGATAGAGAGCTTATCCATATTCAAGCAGACTGGGAAATGGCTTATACTGAGTCCATCTAGCTCAGTATTTTCAACTGTGATTAGCAGTGGCTCTCCAGTGCATCTTACGAAAGTCTTTTCCCAGCCCTGCTAGGAGATTCCTGGCATTGAACCTGGGATTTTTTGCATGCTAAATGCATGCAAAATGTGTGCCCTGCCACTGAGTTATGGCCCTTCCCAAGCCCTATAGGATTTTAAAAGTTAGAACTAGCCAATCATATCCAGAAACAACTGGTAGACACCCCCCAAAAAAAGTTTGAAAACTAATGTCACAATTGTAAGTGCTGCAGCAGAATTCCAGACACACTGAAGTAAGCTTTCAAAGGCAGCCCACACAATGCAGGAATAGGAGTTTTAGGCTCCCATCTCAAACCTAGAGCTGCATGGATCTAGAACCTGGTCATCAGCTCATCGGACCATTGTGGATTTCTGCCCATGACAGACTGTACCCTCAGATGCAACCTGTCCTGGAGCTTGGCCAAGTGTCCAGCAGAATTTAGGAAAACTGAATTATCCAAGCCAGCCTGGTGCCCTCTAGATGTTTTTGGTCTACAGTGTCCATCAGCCACAGCCAGCATGGCCATGACCTTGCTGACTGAGTATGATGGGTGTTGTAGTCCCAAAAAACTGCAGGTTATCAAACTGGGAAAGGTGGCTCAGAATGTGTGTGGCATGTTCTCTGAGTTGAAGCTTCTCGGGCGCTTGGTTCTAGAAGATTTTATCAGGTCCGAAGTTGATCAACTTTAGATGAAGGTCTACCAGGATTGCGTGCTGAGCATGCTGTTTTGTGGAAGTGAGTCATAGGCAACTTACATGTGCCAGAAACGACACCTCGACACCTTCCACATGCTCTGCATCAGGAAGATTTGGGGCATCATAGGGCAGGACAGAGTCTCAAACAAAGATGTGCTCTCTCAAGGCCACATTCCCGAGTTTGCACTCCTGTCTCAGCAACTTCTATGCTGGCTTGGCCACGTACACAGAATGGAAGATGGCAGGATCCCCAGAGACGTGCTTTAAGGGGAGCTGGCTTCAGGCACCAGGCCCACTGGCAGACCAACTCTACATTACAAAGATGTCTGCAAATGTGACATGAAGGCTGGCAACATCAACCTTGCCATGGGAATCCCTTGAAGACGACTGCAGCACCTGGAGACAGTCAGTCAGGTGGTGTATCCACAGCAATGGCCAGAGGAGGAATGACTGCTGGGAGGAGAACAGAGAGAAGAAAAACCATGGTGCACCTTCATCAGCACAACCGGACACCTTCATCTGCCCCAGCTGCAACAAAACATGTATCTCCTGTATCGGTCTCTACAGCCACAGCAGGTGCTGTGACTCTTCAGTGGTTTGACTTTACACTCAAAGGGGCACTCTTCAATTGTCTCCTGAGACAGACGGATGCCGACCAATTTCATCCATTGAATATTTCATGTGTGAACACCTACATGTCCTCATATAACTGTAGCATGTGCTGACAGCCTGTACGTATTTGCCGATCAATGTACTGAAAGTTTCACACACCGGGGAGGCAATGCTGATCAGAGAGATCCTGGTCGCTTTGTAATGTGCAAAACAACCCTTATTGTATCAGTAGAGTTAGTCCTAAGCCCCTTTAAAAAAAAACCAGGAGGTATCTGTAAGGAAATACCACACAAGAATCCCTGAGTAACCTGTGACCCTCCAGATGGTGTTGGATGATGATGATGATGATAATAATAATAATAATAATAATAATAATAATAATAATATCAATATGCTGCCCATCTGACTGGGTTGCCGCAGCCACTCTGGGCAGATTCCAGCTCCCCTCAGCCCTATAACAGGCATGGCTAATGGCCAGGGAGTTGCAGTTCAACTATATCTGGAGAGCCATAGATTCCCCATAAAGTGGATCTGGAAGGATAGATTTTTACGGCTCTGTAGAGTTGGAAGGCCCCAAGCTGGTCACAGCCAACTGAGGAAAAATACACAGCCTTATAACTGGGGTCTTCAATCAAGAAGCCAGTTGTGAGCCTTGTCCCCAAACAACCCTTGTTTTAAGTTAAGGGACCACTGGAACCTGCACCTAGAAGTAGAAAACTTACTGTTCTTATGTTTTTTAAAAAGCGCCTGATTATAACTGGGACAAGTGCAGTCCATAGGATCTTTGTTGCATCCTGGGAAATAATTCACCCCAGCCGCCCCACACAGTGCATTCTGGGTATTCATCCCCTTCTATAGCCATTTGGCACCAGCAACAGCCTTTCTGAGGGATTTGTCTTTGTTCTACCTCTGCACTGTAAGTGTCACATCCTTAGGCTATCTGCCATCCCCAATGCTGCCAGCTAAATGTAGCTTTATTTTATCTTCAGTGCTGGAGACATTTGTGCAAGAACTAAACGGGAACAAGAAAAAGCCATCCTGCTGTCTTCAGGTTCATATACTGCTGTTCTCTCTGCTGCAGACATGATAAACAACCTCAGCAGGTTCATTATCTGACTTTTCAGATGCCAGCAGAAGAAATGAGAAAATAGTCACAGTATTCACAAAGTGAGGATCGGCTCAAGATAAAATTAAGCCTGGCTTTCACAGTGTGGCGCAGCATAATAACAAGCATGTTATCCGGGCAGATCCTGTCCATACAGATCAGCCCTTTGCCAGCCATTGGGGATAGGATGATATCGTTTTGTTTTGGCCACATCAGTGATATTGTTTCATTCAGTTCAGTTTATTAGGTTTTGTAGAAGCATTCTTTTTCAGAAGAAAAAGACTCAGTGTGTCTTCGCAGCAACTGAAATGTACAGACAGGCAGTGTAGTGTGATGATTAGAGTGTTGGATTAGGACCTGGGAGACCAGGCTTCAAATGTTCTTCCTTGCCTGTAAACCCCTGTGATCATTCAACCAGCCACCTGAAAGGCTCTAACGAGTTGTAATGGAGTCAGTAGCTACAGAAGAGGGTATTCTAAATGAGCTTTACAGCTGTGGTTCGGAGAGGGAAGTGACAAAAGAGAGAAATTAAACTGACAATACGTAGCCTTGAAGGATCCCAGCACAATTTAGATGAGAAGGTTGAATGGAACTCAGCAATGTGCAGCACCTTCAGAATAAAAGGAACTGCAGGTTACATGTGGAAGCTTATCTCTCTCATGGAAGGAGAAGGCAGTGGGGAGGGCAGCAAGCAATCACCAGACTATTTAAGGTGGACTAATTAGCTCTTAACGCGCATTAGTTAGTTTTACGCACCAGCTCTAGCACACCATCAGGGATGGCTGAGTTTATAAAATGTCGGTGTTGGAGTTTTGCACTTTTCCAAAGCGCAGTTCAGCTTTAAATTATAAATAGTGAAGTGTAAATAATGCATGTCAGCATTTTTAAAAAGAACACTCACGTTTAATTTATCTTGAAGAAAGGCGAGTTCAGATATTCTATGATTCTGTGTAGGGGCTTAACTTCTGTGGCAGCATCCACCATAGATCAAACGCCAGGCGAACCTTAAAAATATATCGTGGAATTATGGTGATTATCATCATCACCACCACTGACTGTGACTCATCAACTGAAAAGCAGAGATTGCAAATTCAAAACGGCTTCTTTCTGGTGGCTGCCTGCCGCCGCCACCACTGCAGTCATAACATCATTCTTAGCACCAGCCAATCATTCGTAGCACCTGCTACAGGGAATTTCCATACTAATCTTAGCCACTGGTGCTGAAACATTTTATGTCAAGTTCCAGAATGATGCATTGGCCTAGTTCCTGTGTAGCGATACCATTCAGATAAACCATAGTTTGTACTGCTAACAACATAGGAAGCTGCCTTATGCAGAGTCAGACCACCAGTCCATCTTGCTCCTTATTGCCCACACTGACTGGCAGTGGTTCTCTAGGGTTTCCAGCAGGACTCGCACAGGACAGCCCTACCTGAAGAGGCCAGCGATTGAATCTAGAACTTTATGAATGTAAAGCATTGCACTCCAGGGCTGGCCCAGGACGTTTTGCTGCTTCAGGCAAAACAGAAAATGTTGTCCCCTTTTCCACTGCAACTGCTTCCTCTGCATACATATACGCTATCTCCTCCTCCATGCCCGAACACTTTCTTGGTGGGCAGTCATGGAGGCGGTGGCCATGGGCCCATGTGTGTGGAGGAGGCAGCCAGGAGTGGACGACAAAACAACAAGGAGCAGTGGCAAAGGAGGCCAGTTCTGCTGTCTGAGGCGACTGCTTCACCTTGCCTCATGGACAAGCCGGCCCTGATTGCTCTACCACTGATCCATCGCCCTTGAACAAGCTGAGGCCTAGTCCTTGCTGAGGTGGCAAATCTCTGTCTGGGCTGCACCACAGCAAATACACTCTCTTGCAGCTTAATGCTTCCCTGTATCAAATAAAACGAAAATGAAATTTTAAAATCTCCTGTCCAAGGCTAGGCTAGAGCCCTGATATCTAGTTTCCTACATGGAGGATATTGGTTGCATGGAAGACTAATAAATTATACAAGCACTCCTGAACAAGTATAGCCAAATTTATACAGATTTACTACCGCAGTGAGAACTAGGCCTCAATTCTTCCTGTGAGGCTTCATCTCCAGGCTCTTTCACTGCCCTTAGGGCTCATTTCCCAGCTTCATCACCCATTATCTTGACAGTCTTTTGATTAGTTCTATAGAACGGTGGTTGTTTCTAATTTCCCCTTCAGTGGGATAAGCGTTTTCCTGATGTTCATTGTGTACCTTTTCGTGCTGAGGGTTTCTTTTCCTTTTAATTATTGCAATTCCTTGCCAAAAACCTAGCCATTACTCCTTAGGGTTGCTCTGGGCTGTTATTAATTATTACACTGAAGCCAAATACCTTTGGTTTAATGGTTGGTTGGAGTCTACTGTCTAGTTATGCACAAGTAAAGCCAAGCCAGACGTTTCCTACTATCCTACTATCCGATCTCCCAGTCCAATGCCAAGTTAGAACACAGTGTCACTTGAATGCTTCCCCCCACCTCGCCCCTTAGCTCTTCACCTTTGGTTGGAGAGAAGACATCCGTCCAGGAGAACCTCTTCACACCAGAAAATTCTGCTTTGATGCCGTTTCGCACAGCAGCCCCGTCACACTTTATGACTGCCATGGTATGAAGGGAAACCAGCACTGGAGCTACAGGAAGGTCAGTATTGCTTTGGATTGTTTCAAAGTCTTTCAGCTGCTGGGCTTTGGGCAGGGGTGGCCAGCTGTGAGGGGTGGTGCTGTGAACCTGGCCTCCTGGTACCACTGATGCTGATGCTGCTTACAGGGCAGTGTGTGGTTAGCAGTGGTGGGCCTACATTTTTGGGGCCATGAAGCCTTTTTGCAACCAGCAATGACATCTGGGTAACCACAGTTACCTTCTTCAGTGGGGTTGTTTATAGCAACCTTTACAACATCTGTACTACAGACTTTAAAACATTGGGATTGTTGAAACACATAAAACAAAACAAAAAAATCAATTTGAGATGTGCGACTCAAAATGTGTCTACTAAATCCATTTTTTTTAAAAAAGGAATGTGGACTCCCTGGAATTGGGGCCCCCTAAGCTTCATTAGTTTCATAGTAGATCGGACCCTGGTGGTTAGGGCAGCAGTGGCACAAGCGAAGTGGTCAGATTCCAGTAGTTCAGCCACACCTCTCTGCCCTCACCACCGCCCTGCCCTCACACCGTTCGCTCTGTGTCCCACTGCTGTGATACTGGTACCCGGAAGTGAGAGTTACAAATACTCCCCATCCTCGCTGGCCGCTCCTGGTTTTGGGTAACAGAGACTGCAATGTTTGTTCCATCAGAATAATTCATTTTACACACTGCCTTGGTTCAGTTAAAAACAAAAAACACTTGAAATGTGAAATAGCACTGCCATTATATAGGTCAAAGTTAACATTAATATGGATTTCACCCAGCACAAAATGAAGAGCACATCCCCTGAAAGATGCTTTGCCATTTTGGCACATCAAGACATGTGAGTCATTTTAACAAAGGCAGCCCTGAAAATGTTTTTATTCCATGTGACAGGCACAAGAAAAGCTCCTAATGAATTAAATACAATATAATCTTTCTTTACTTTAAAGATTGCAATTGGCAGATGTACAAAATGCTGGAAAGAGCAGCCCTGTATAGCTAATGAAACAAAATGGTTTACAATTCAAGGGTCATCGGTCTAGGATGCCAACTGCATTTCGAACCATTTTAAATAGCACTAGAAGCAGGTTGGCTGTGACAGAAATCGTGCATGACTTTTTCTTCTTCACATTTTAGTAGTTACCATAACAATGCTTTGGAGTGACATGATTGATTGCTTTTGAAATGGGTACCAAGGAAGTGACCTTGTTTAACCTTCTCAGTGCAGGCCTTGGTGGAACTGCATGAGATGGCTGTTATTCTGGTGCTCTGTTTCACCTATCCATCACCATCCCCACAGCACAACTTCCTTGGCATTCACTATCTTCAAATTACTAAAACTGCAATCGTATGCACCCCATTGGACACAGTGGGGCTTGCATTGCATGGATATGACACACTCCTTCATGTAAAGACTTCTGAAGGGGCTTAACAGAGTTCTGCCCCCAACCCCGTACACTGGTGTTTCCTCCTCCTATGCCCCCTGACATGTGCACACAAGCTCAGACATTCACAGCCCTCTGAACCATTACAGAGCATGGAAGGTCTGTGTCACCTTCCTTATCCCTGCCACCCTGCCTAGCCCTCCTTATTGTCATACAGGGACAGAGCCCTGGATGTGGATAGATGAGCACATGGTATCACTAGGCACGCGTGCTTCTTTTATTGCCTTGGAACAGGACAGCCCTTTATTGAGCTGTACAGGAATCCTTTGTACATGGGTGCTGTTTCTTCAATGGGGCTGGATCATACCCAAAGCTGTACAGAGACAAAAGCTATTTTGGCCTTCATCACCCTAATATTTTCTAGTTTACCAAAGCATTCATGAATTTGGAAATAGATTAAAGGCAGACCTACGCTACACACTTCAGGCTTGTTGAGAGTCATTATCTCCTTCCAGGGAGCCAAGAGAACAATAGATAATGTGTGCTGCGGGTGGGTGGCAGCAAGGAAATTTGAGCCAAAATTATCAGCACTTCACCAGACTATGGCAGTTAAATTGGCTGTAAGAATATTACCGTATTTTTCGTCCCACAGGACGCTCCGTCCAATAGGACGCACCTAGTTTTTTTGGGGGGAAATAAAGGAATTTTTTTCCCCTTTATTTCCCCCCCAAAAGCAGGTTGGGGAAACCGAACCAGGTCGAGGAACAGCAGGATGGCGGCGCTGCTCGCTGAGCTTGTGGGGCTGGCCGATGTCTGCCCGGCGCGCGAGGCGCTCTGCTTCAGGGCGCCCCGCCCACCGGGCAGCAGGCTGCTATCCGCAGTGTGGGGAGCCCTGCGGGGAACTCCTGCAGGGCTGCCTAGGCTGCGGATGGTCTGCCGGCGCCGGGCGCTCTGCTTCAGGGCGCCCGACCGCCCGGGAAGCAGGCTGCTATCCGCAGCCTGGACATCCCTGCGGGACCTCCCGCAGGGCTGCCTAGGCTGCGGATGTCTTCCTGAAGCCTGGAGAGCGAGAGGGGTCGGTGGGCACCAGCCCCTCTCGCTCTCCAAGCTTCAGCGAAAGCCTGCATTCGCCCCATAGGACGCACCCAGATTTCCCCTTCATTTTTGGAGGGGAAAAAGTGCGTCCTATAGGGCGAAAAATACGGTATATGCTAGATGAAGGGATAGGATAACCAATGAGGAAGTTTAGTCATCAGGAGAGCAGGCAGAGAGGTTTAGAATCAGTGCAGAGAGATGGGGAATTCCCAGAGGAGGGAAACAACAGATGGCGACTCTGCCAGGGTTTATATTGTCTGAAACTGTGGGAGGGAATATCTTGAGGGGGTTTTTGTCTGCAAATGTGTATCCATGAAAACTTTTGTGTGGGTTACGTGGAGGGGACTCTATTGCCATTCAACCCATGACTTTGGTTGATCAATTTCGTTTAGGATTTACACTTTAGCCAGAGAAGGATCAGACTTTGTAGGGTGAATTGAATTCTCATTCCTAGTAGAGGTGCCATTTGAAAGGCGTGTGCTGGATCTTCAAATTATACGAGATGGCACAACGCCCTCAAAGTCAGAGGAGAAAGCTCCATTTATGTCAGATAAGGATCTGACTTTGTACAACTGCAGCCTCTTGCTCAAACACCAAAGTCAATTTATTTCCTGGCTTGCCCAAGCTGCTGAAAAGAAGCTTGATGTCTTGAAACACTTCATTGGTGCCTAATGTACCAGGGGTGTGTGGGTATGGGGCAGCACAGAGCAGGCACAATTCTTGCATTGTCCTCTGTTCCTGGCCCATCGTATTTTTAATCTGGACCTCGGTGGATGATCACAGTGAAATAACAGCCCCTTAAACAACCATGTGACATATGCCATTGGCCAATGGATAAAACACTGTCCTGTCTGCTGATTTATTTTTACTACTTGTGGGAATGAGGCAGTACATGGGAGTTTCTTGTTCCAAGGCAAAATCTATATTTCTGAGTGAGAAATTCTTCAAAAAGCATTTTTATAAAGGAAGTGCTGGCCAAGCTGGAGCTATATAACACTGATCTGGTAGCCATCAGTCCTCTCAAACAATATACTGAGGCAAACACTTATGGTTGGCTATAAATTGCTCAGACAAGGAGCCACAACCATTGTAAAAATAATGCCTAAATCAATTAAGTTTATCTTTGGTCTAAGATATCTGCTTTCTGCTCACCTCAGTCCTTTTTTAAAAAAAAAACTTTTACATACTATAAGTTAATTAATGATAATGTGTCATATTTATACAGAACTTTCTTAGCATCCATAAAATTCTCAGCAAACAACCCTTTCAGGTAGGTCATTATTTTCTGCATGCTACAGACAAACCTGAGAGGTAATTGCTACTTGAAACCAATATTGTGGCCTTGAGTATGTGCTTGGGCTGAGAGATGAGCTGGGAATGTTTACTACAGAGACAATGTGCAGCTACTTATGTACACACAAAAGCCAGCTGTGTACAAGCAGATCCACATACAGAAGCAAAAGGTGCTGTAGAATGCTGTCCTGCAGGTGTAAGTTTAGAGATGGAGATTCTGTGCCTAAGAAAAGATGCTGATCACTATACTTGAAAGACAGATTGCTTATGAGCAACACTTTCCCTTATGAATGCTTAGTCATATGTGTAGATTCTATTTATTTATTTATTTATTTATTTATTCATTCATTCATTCATTCATTTCATTTTTTATCATCCCCATTCTCCAAAGGTCTAGTCACTACATCATGGGACTCTTTCTACAGACTTCCCCATTTCACATTATACACAGCATAGCCTCTACCTATGTAGCCATTCACCTGGGAGCTCCAACAATGCATGCAGTGCTGATTCCACAACCGACACATTTGAATATCAATTAAATAACATGGTATTCAAAATGTATTTGGATAAATTTGTAATCTATTCTGCTAAAGGTCCTGAAATCGCTGTATTGAACCTGAAATGTACCATAAAAATGAGACACTCTTATTACATTCAGTGCTCAAAGAGGAACCTACTGTAATACTGGGGAAAGTATGTGAGTCACAGAGTTGCACACACTCCGTAAGAATGGGAAACAAAGGCTTACACACCAATACCCTTAGTTCAGAGAGTCGTGTCAGCTTTTCTACATCAAGATGCATCGCCAGCGAAAAATCGCAATCTGGCGATATACTGCAATGTTGAAATGGAGGGAGGAACAAGCTGCGTTGTCCAGGAGCTGAGGCCAATGCAGCCTGTTGCTCCCACCAGGTGAAGGCAGCCAGGCGGTAGCCAAGCGGACAGAGCCTGTCAGCTCCATTTGCAAGGCTGCCTCCTCCCCAGCATCAGGCAACCTCTCCACTGCTCCGGAAGGCGCTGGGTGCAAGTCACCCCATCGATGCCTTGCAGAATGGGACTGCCTGATGCTGCTGGCGAGCGCTGGGCCTGGCATCAGGCAACCTCTTCACTGCCTGGCTGCCTTCGCCTGGGAGGCTGGGCTCCATCTTTCCTCCCGGGGTGAACGACTACCCTGGGGGGAAAGTTGTAGCCCTCCCTCCCTGGCGATGGCAGTACCCTCCCTGGAGAAAGAGGTAGTAGCCCCACCTCACCCCCCGTGCCAAGGCAGCAATGCTTGAGGCAAGCGCATGCATGTCTGACGTAACCTGCCCACCCCCAGTGCCAAAGCGGCTGCCTTTTTTCTTCTGTTGACTACCATCACCTGGCTGCCTTCACCTGGGAGAGCAGGCCACGTCTTTCCTCCCAGAGTAGTTGTTCAGCCCAGGAGGAAAGGCAGAGCCCACTCTCCCTGGCTAGGGAGTGCTACATCCACACCCCTCAGCGGAGAGGTCTAAGGAAGCCCCCACCCCATCTCCGGCTTGTGCAAGCAGGAGGCAAAGTGGGGGATCCATTAGAGAAGAATCAGGGCTCCCTCAGCTGTGGAGCAGGAGCACTTTAATGGAGCCCACACCCCACTGCTGGCTCATGTGACCCACTGGCAGGTCAGGGGTCCTTGGCTGAGGCAAGGGCAGCCTCGCGCTCCTCAGCCAAGTAGTTTATAGAAGCGGAGGGAGGAACAAGCTGCCTTGCCGATGCAGTTTGTTTCTCCCTCTGCGTCGGTATGAGGGCAGAGTGGGATGGCAGTTTCACTCAGCGGGATATCGCTGGTGAAACCGCCACCACTCCTGAGCCCCTCTGCCTCCAGATTGTCTCTCCCTCGGCACCCGCTGGGTGCTGGTGGTAGAGAGACTCAGGAGTGGCGGCGGTTTCACCCACAATATACGTACCACCGAGTGAAGCCGCCATCGCGGTCTGCCCCTCGTACCAGTCCTGGGCGATATATCGCCCAGGCCTAGTGGTGACAAGGGAAAGGGGCTTTTCAGTAGTGGTGCCCCAGAGAGAATCTCCTGGCACCCACTATGGCATCACACACCAAGCAAAACCTTTTCTATATATAGCATGGCATTTGACTGCTGCTTTTTGGGCTGAAGTCAGTTTTAAAGATTAACTATGTAGTGATCATGTCAGCGGAGGTTTAGGAGAACTGTAGTATGTTTAACTGATGTGTTCACTGGTACAGAATATTTTACATTTTGCACTTTACGAGTTTCGCATTGCAATGTGTCGTTTTTATATTTTACCTTGCCTTGAGGTGACTCATCTAAGGTGATTAATAAAGCTAATAAATTAATCATTATCATTATCATCACTGTTCCAAATCACTGGATTTATTCATTAATCACGTATTTAGATTTTTTAAATACAAACTAAATTTAGATCCTACCTGATGTCTTTGGAAGAGTTTGCAGTTCAAATGTTATTCTTTTCAGACATGATCTGTTTACATCATTCTAGTTAATGACACCAGTCATCCCACACAGCAGGCTGTGTGCACATGAAGATCTTCATACAGCTGCTCATCAAAGATGAACAATGTTCTCAGTTTTGCCAGTCCTAATAACCCATTGAGAGAGAGGCAGAAGCTACATTAGATTCAGTCCTTGCACTACCCCCAAACACATCCTCAGTGCCCTCAAATCTTACCACACCAAATATATTTTAGGATTATGTGCAGAACCAGTGAAGCAAGGATCACTGAACATGCAGCCTTGGATTTTTATCTCACAACTGGGGCCTATGCCAAGAGGCTGAGACATATGTCTTTAATATGATTTTCCATAGGATGGCCCATGACATATTTCGTATCTAATGTAGTTCTGCTTTGAATGCAGCAACAAGTTGTGGGAGAGACGTAAGAGTTGGAATTCAGGCATTCATTCATTTATTGGGGCTATTGGACTTTATGCTACTCCTGAGAGAGCTGCAGAGGCGACATCTACTAGTAATTCAGACCTGGCACAAAAGACTCTTAAACTGCAATCCCATCAAGCATTGTTCTCCATCTTTATCCCCATTAAATCAAGCTCTTTGGTAACAAATGGAGAAGGAAGCATAGCAGCAGGGCCTGGTGGATCGCACCTTGACTTTGCTGCTGAAAAGCTCACAGTGTGAATATCAGTTCTAATGGTGTGTTTTATCATGTGGACATTTGGTCTTATTGGGCCTATGCTGAGACTACCAACTCATTTCACAGAAATGACTGCAGCCGTCAGACGATAATGACTCTCATTGACTACTGACCTTGGCCATAGTTAAAGCAATGACCTAGAAGCAAGGAAAGGAACCTTGTCTCATTACCAATTACCTGAACTGCCCAGGCCTGCCTGCAAGTCCATTATCTTATGGAAAGGGTGTCACTCTGAAATAATATGCCTTCACTGCAAAAAGAAAGGGGAGAAAGAGTTTTTTGCCCTTCCCAGAAGTAACTGAAACTTACCAAGAGGAAATGTTTGCAGTCTCTTCTTGGTTTTCATTCCCCAAGTGCATTGGCTGCAGTGTGCCGCTCATCTTAACGGGCCTGGTTCTGCTTCTGATAAAGTCAGCCGAACTTCTGCTAACAAGTGGAGATAGACTGTCAAAAGCAAGCATCTTGTAACGGCCTGGATTTATTTTAAAATAATCTCCTGGAAAAAAAGCACTCACTAGTATAAAACACACACACATAGCTTCCTTTTTTGTTCAGATTATTAATGACTGAGAATGGCTATTTCAAAAGTCTGTTGGTGATACTAGTTTAAACACATGGATTTTTTTTTTAAAAAAGAAAAGAATGTAAGAAGACCCTCCTGTATCAGGGCAACAGCCTACCTAGTCCAGCATTTTGCTCCCACAGTGACTAACCAACTGCCCATGGGAAGCCTAAAATGTTGCCATAGATCAGGCAGAGGCAAACTCGGCCCTCCAGATGTTTTGGGACTACAACTCCCATCATCCCTGACCTGTTAGCTAGGGATGATGGGAGTTGTAGTCCCAAAACATCTGGAGGGCCGAGTTTGCCTATGCCTGTCATAGAACCTCGCTTCCAAGGTGTTCCTTGTCAAGATGCCAGCCAGCCTTTCCCTCCAAGCAAAGCATTCCCAAATTAGTAAGTGGAAACAAGTGAGTGGGCTTAATAAAAGCTTTTCAACCTTGGGCATAGTCCAGGATGGGTTGAGGGCCACAGACAGTAAATCAGGAACCAGTAAATGGGAATCAGGCAAAAAAGTCATCTAATTCAGAGGTCAAGCCAGAAGATAGGGCTGATAGTACAAGCTAAGCATCAGAACTTAACAGCAATACCAGAAACACAACACATGCTAGAGCTCAAAGCACCACTGAGACAGGAAGTCCTCTTATAC